GTCCTTTTTCCCCGACAACACTCAAAAGGTGACTATATTGCAAGTTGGTAGCAGTTCGGAATTACATATCCGAGAAACGCGAACGGGTCCGTTACAAATATTCCCGTCAATGCTTTGGTAAAGCATTTTAGACAATTTTTCAACGGCGATGCATGGGTTGTACCAAACGGACTGTTCTGTCGTCTTACTGCATCTTTCAATATCCCACCATATACCCTTGAGCAAAACGGATGCAACACGGCAACGTTCCCTCCAACTTTAGAGGCAACCGCTGCCCGGTGGACGCGGGAAAACCACGCTGACACAATCCCTTGACCTCCCCCGCCCCGCTGAGACCACCACGCGACTGGCGGTGAGCGGCCTGGAGCCGCTTCGCACCGGCTGCCGGCGCCTGTCACCTACCTGAGGCGAAGCGCGGTGTGCGGTGCGGACGGACGGACGGCGGACTTCGCGGCGTCTGCGGCGGCGGCGGCGGCGGCGGGCCGGCTGCCTCCGCGGCGCCGACGGCGACCGCGCAGGCCCGATCGACCGGCGACCGACGGCCGCTGCGGGCAGCGCCGCCGGGCTCGATCATGAGCTGATTGCCGGCGACGCGCTGTCTGATTGGTGCCGGCGTGAGCGCGCCGTCTCTGGGGTCGCATCTGGGCGCGTCCGCAGGGCGCTGGCCGAGGAGATCGGCGGCGTGGGCTGCACAGCGACGGACGTCGCAGGTCGAAGAGGGACTGGCTCGTATGGCTGCAGGCGGCATGGGTAGAGGAGGGGCTGGTTTCATGGCAGCAGGAGTCGCAGGTAGAGGAGGGGCTGGTTCGTATGGCAGCAGGCGTTACAGGTAGAGGAGGGGCTTGTTCGTATGGCAGCAGGCGTCACAGGTAGAGAATGGGCTGGCTCGCATGGCAGCAGACGTCACATATCTGGGAGGGGCTGGCTCGCACGGCAGCGGGCGTCACCAGAACAGGAGAGATCGAGCCAGCGGTGACACTCGTGCTGCCAGGGAGGACAAATTTGAGGATTGCGTTTGAAAGCGCGCTCGCCACAATAAAACAAAACGTTGCCCACATGAAACCGACACGGCACGAAAGAAACTCCATGGATCATGAGCGACACTCATTGATGTTGACCATCGATCACTTTTACTCGCATGCGGGCTTTTCAAAGAACAGCGACGAAGTCTGACGTTTGTCCCAGAGTCTAGGCTTTTATCACTGTATGGCGACGTCAATTCAAAGTTTTATTCTGAACATTGAATTCGGTTTTGGATATCATGCTGGTTTGAAGCCTTCATTTTTGAAGTGTTTGATTCATTTGCATGTGATGACATATCTGCCATGAAATGTTACGGCTTGTTTGACACATACTGGTTATCAGGTTGATAATGCTGGAATTTCGTAAGCATTTTAATTCCAATTGCTAATGAAATATTTACGTTTATCTAAAAAGAGCTGATCGAGCCAGTTGTCCGCCCCGTAGGACAACTCCGTTGAAGCGCATTCCTCCCATCCTACCCGTGACGAAGGGGGTGGGTTTGAGTCGCTCTGACGCTTGCTGTTCGTCGCTGGTTGGATGGGAGCTGCCGCTCAAGGTCAGCTGAGGTCAAGGGTCGGGGCGGGCCGTGCCGAGGATTGTGGCACGCTAGACTTAAACCATAGAATTAAATCAGTACGCTGGAATTTCACCATCGGGTGGTGGAATCAGGAGCGAGTGCCAAGGTGCCGCTGCCGTGGATCGATTACAAAAGCCAAGTGCTCGTTCCTGGTCTGACACGCATCCAACACGCACACCTCCAAGATGCCGTAGCCCGTTCTCGCCAGCATGCCGTATGTCAAATGCTAAAAGCCAGCATTTCGGCATTTGGCTGGAGGTGTCGGCATAGAACACCAAGTTGAAGTGGGATCTACGCATGTACGTCTACACCCACATGGATTACCGCTGTCGCTGCGGGAGCTGTCCAGCGACTTTCCAGTGTCTGAGTGACGGCGGTCACGGGAAGGTACAGTCTGAAGGCAAGGGCAGGCAGACATGCTTTTTCGCACGCCACACGATGTGAATTTGAATTGAAGGCTTTCGATGATATTTTTAGAACTTTGAAAATTAAGTGTGGAGGCTTTCGATAATATTTTCAGACTGAGAAGTAGACAAAACGTTCTGGACATAATCTGATGCGTGGCGGTGCGCTGTGAAATACCCGTTCGCCTGCAATGGCCGTCAGAGCAGGCACTCGCCATTAAATCGATGGAAGTGTTTCGCTTCCGTCGTTATCTCTTGATAGTGCTAAGTGGCCAGCTAATGGTCTTTTGAGCCCAGTGACCTCGGGAACTGGTGTCATAGCACTTCGCGGATTGAAGTAGTCCACGGATGACGGATTGTTTCATCGATTGGATTAATTCGAGTGAATAATTTTCACCCAAGGATGTTAAAATGAGACGTTCCAATGCCTCACCCCATGTCACTAAGACGCTGTGCAATCTGGAAAAATAATTACATTTCCTCTTGCAACGTGCCGATGCCAAGAAAATGGAAACAACTTGATCCAATGTGGCGATATGCCCATTAGGAATTGGTTTTGCACTGTACACCTATTCATTTTTGCAACTCTTCTACACGTAACCAGGTTCATAAATATACTTTTGCTTCTGGTGTGGAAAAAACGAGCACTTGGATCTGACATCTGGAGTTTTAGCGGTGGGGCTCAAAATTCTGTACATGTTTTATTCTGAAATAAGGATGACTCTGGAAGTAAGGATGTTGTTGAAACAATTTAGTGTCAGGTGTAGACATGCTGCACCTAGCTGAAAATGCTCAAATGTGAGGTGGGGCCTACATCACTGATGCGTCTCAGTCAGAAGTGAACTTGCCTCTTCCATAAGGTGGCGAATGACATATTGGTTCATATTAACTAAGATGTTGTCGTAACAGCATGTATAGCGTTTCAGTAAGATGTGAATGTAATCTTGTATTCCAAACAAGCAACGAGCCATCTTATGTTAGCACTTGTGGTGACACCAATGGTGACAGACGAATGAACATTTGTTTAATGCAGCTCAAGGAATGAGCAATGGCTGATATGTTGTGATGTACAACATATGCTGTTAATGTTTAAGAATTATGAAAGGTAAAAAGACTGACGCGGATTCATATCGTCTATTTTTCTAGCAACCCGGACGAGCCAGATGGATCGGACTGAACTAAGAAACAAAAATTGGAGACAGTAGATGAGAGGCCGATAAGTCCCAGACTAGTCGGACTAAACTGGATTGGACTCTAAGATTACATTAGCGAAGGGCTCTGATTGGTGCAAACTGCCTAATTTGTAGGCAACGGAGGAATGAATACAAAGTTGGTGACCTTGCTCCGATCTTTCTGATACGTTGATATACATACTGGACATATAGGTCATACAGATCCACTGGTAGCGCTGGTCGAGCAGAGCCCTTTTCTATAAGGTCAGGGATGTGCTGTGTTCTTTGCTTCAGAATTAAAGTTAAAGTTGTGCTGTGAACATCGTCTCACAGCCCCTGGTGGACCATTCACGACTGTGGTGGTCATAAACGCACCCAGAGGCCCAGTGGTGATTCCAACCTGGAGACTTTACGTGCAAGGAGAGAGTTATACCGACTGAGCCACATCGCCTCTGACTATACTGTGTGTCTTCATGCTCATGCAAATATGCAACAGCATGCAATATGTCGTTCGTGTTCCTGTAAGCGGACGGATTATGTTGTGTCGCTCAGCCTACCTTTGCTCCCGCTCCCTTTCTCCCTTCTTTATAATTCAGAAACAATGTTGGAGTTGCCAGTTCCACCCCTGAAACAGTGAAGCAACGTTGGCTGGTCCGTATTCCCATAGCGCAAGAACAGAAACAGTCCTTAGAACACAGAAAACAGAAATATAAATATTTCGATCCCATTCCTGTCAGCACGGTCAATGCCGAGAAATTTTGTTGTGCAGCTGTTCAGGATTTAATGCTCTTTCTGCTGGCCAAGTCCTTCTACAGTACTAACAAAGGTGAGATCATGCATGCACGGATCCCGTCTTATTAGGAATAATGCGTGACCCAGTAATACTGTTTCTCTGCACCACCGTACAAGCGTGCTGGGACTGCCGACGAGTCCAGTACAGCTGGGACATGTGCTGGGATTGCCGACAGGCCCAGTACAACCGAAACAGCGTGCTGGGGCTGCCGACGGGTCCCCACAACCGGACAGCGTGCTGGGGCTGCTGACGGTCCCAGTACAACCGGAACAGCGCGCTGGGGCTGCTGACGGGTCCCAGCACAACCGAAACAGCGTGCTGGGGCTGCTGACGGGTCCCAGTACAACCGGAACAGCGTGCTGGGGCTGCTGAACTGCCGACGGGTATCAGTACAACCGGGACAGCGTGTTGGGACTGCCGTCAGACAGGCTGTAACCCAGGAACGCGTGCTGAGATTGCCAGCGAGTCTCCATGCAACAAGGATAGCGTGCCCAGCAAGTCCCTATGCAACTGGAATATACGGTATGGTCCCTATACTGCTAGCGAGTCCCTCCGAAACCGGAACAGCGTGCTGAGGCTGCTGTCAGGCCGCTGTACCGCAGGGACAGCGTTGGGGATGGCGTCACGGCCGATGCAAAGTGGGCGTAGCGCTGACTCCATCAGACTGGGGCTGCGGTAGTACAGTGGTTAAGCTGCGCGTCGGGAAAACCAGAGGTACGGAGCTCGATTTCCCGCGGCGCCCGCCCTTCCTGCCAGGATTAGAGGCCGGTATTGCGCCATAAACTTAGCTGCTGAGGACATCGTAAAGCCCCAATGACAGCACGCCCCCCACCAGCTCCGGCGCCGTGCAGCCGGCGTCGTGCCACGCTCCAGGCGCCGGCTCGTTGGGCGCACCTGCGGCAGCAACGCCACCTACCGCCGCCGCTCCGCACTGCCCGCCGAGTCTGTTTACAGCATTACCATAGTAATGCGGCGCGGCTATCGACATTCGCGTCGGCAGGCGCGCCGTGCGGCCGCCAGTGCGCCGAGGGGGCCCTTGCCCTGCCGCTGAGCGAGCGAGCCACCCGGCCGACAGCCTGTGACCCCGGCGCGACGCCTGAGAGCCGCAGCGAGCAGCAGCGTCTGCCACCGCCGACGTCATGGGCTGCGGACAGAGCACCGACTCGGCCTTCTCCAACCGCGGCTCCATCTCCAGCTTGGTGAGCCGAGCGCCGCCCCGGTCGCCGCGGCTGGCCGATGGAGGGGTAGGGGGAGGGGGGGGGGGGGTGAGCGGCGGCTGCCGGGCGGTGGTGAGAGCTGCCATAGCAGGGTGCAGGTTTTGTGGCAACTAATACTCCTGCTATTGAGATGGGGTGTAGTTTACCATGCGTTCGGAGGGCCACAGCCCCCCGCCGAGCTCCGGCTTCCGGCCCCAGGCTGACGCAGCACCAGGCCTGTGTCGGGTGCGGGACCTGAACTCAGGCCTGCGCCACATGACCTTGCCGGTTTGGTTCGAACAGGACGGTGCTGCTGTGCTGCTAAGTTTCTTTCTGCTAAGAACACAATCATCGATGGCTTTATGCAGTTGAACAACACCATAGGTCAGAGCGACTCTGCAGACCGAAAGCTGTTCGTATATATTGAACGTAATGCTCGAAACATCGAACTAATGCAAACAAGTGGCTGAAACAAGGAAAACGTCATCGACAAAAGCATACCAAACTTATTGCGCTATACAAAGCCACCAGTTACAGAGACGTTGCCACGTGCCACGTCGCTAGGCTAGACCACGTAATACACGTAACGGATTGCAGTAAGTCACGTGATGGATACGACGGCCATGAATCAGAAGCTTAAGTTAGTTTGAAATTAGCTCAGCCTCTAAATCCTGCACCGTTTCAGAAACCGTACCCGCAGCAGAGTTCCGTGGAAGACTCGGGTGCAGCGCATGGAAATGGTGTCGGACCTGAGGTGAGTACCTTTGGGTGTATTGTTTTCAATGGCTGCTGTGCCGACCCGCTACGGTTGGTTGGTCTATAATTTTAAAAAAAACTAATCGACCCGAAATAGCCCACTAACGTATTCACCGCTCAGAGCACATTTTGTAAGGCATTGATTATAACAGAACCATTATGAACAAAATGGCAATCGCTAATGACGCAACTCCGCGAAGTCTATGCACACAAATTAGGCAAAACGAAGTGATCCATTTGACAATCGGAGGGACTTGGCGTTGCCAGGAGTGCTCGGGCGGCGGCGCCTATCGATGACCGTGACAGCGCGCCCCCGACATCGCAGCCGGTGGTGGACCGCGAGACGGTGGAGGAGTACCTGCAGACGGAGCGGGAGATCGGAGAGGCGCGTCGCGCGGACCCGCAAGTGCTCTCCCAGCTGGAGATGAAGACGGAGGCGCTGGACAAGATGACGCAGAAGGTGGAGCGGCTGGAGCGGGAGTATGGTGACCTGCAGGCGCTAGCGTGAGTCTCTCTCTCCTCCCCTGCAGACAGGGAGTGGCGTGTCTTCCCCCATGCTTTCGACACTGGAGTGAGTCTGTTCCTCTCCTTCCGGCACCGCCATGAGTCTATCCCCTCTCCTGCAGACGCTCGCGTGAGTCTGTTCCTCTCCTTCCGGCACCGTCATGAGTCCACCCCCTCCCCTGCAGACGCTTGCGTGAGTTTGTTCCTCTTCTTCCGGCACCGCCATGAGTCTATCCTCTGTCCTGCAGACGCTCGCGTGAGTCTGTTCCCCTCTTGCGGGCATTGATCATGAGTTTTCCCCTCTCCTGCAGACGCTGGCGTAAGCCTTTTGCCTCCTGCAGGCGTTCACGTGGTCCCTCCCCCCCCCCCCCCCCCTTTGCGGACGCTGGCGTCAGTCTGTCACCCTACGCCTTCCTACTGCTGTCATCAGAGCATTCAGGTGAACCCAAATTGAAATTAAGCAATGCGTGCTAAGGCAAACTAGCAAAGAGAAACCAGTTGCAAGTGTATCAAAACCGAATGTGTCGTTTGCTTCATCTGTTTAAAAGTGCTGGGCCATTGAAAGAAGAGTGTTTTCAGCCTTTCTGACAAGGAGTTTAAGAAAATAGGACATACTTGCTGAGCATCGCTTCTGATGTAAGGTACCTGTAGCTGACCAACTCAACTAGCCTCAGTCACCAGCCGCATTAAAACATTGCAGAGAAAAAGAGAAGGCCGATGTCGATCAGCTTGAAAAGCCGGATGTGAAAAAATTCCTAGTCGAACAAGGAAAACTTGAGGAAAAAATGACCAAAGAGCAGGAGGAGTACATTGACGCGTTGCAGAAAAAGGTATAAGACGCACAGCCCACCGTCTGCTCGCCTTGGTATTACTGATGAATGGTGGGACATCGGGTCTTGTATCTTGCATTTCGTGCCTTGATCGTGTCTTGAATTTGTATATCGAACGCATCCCGCTCGTACTTCAGAAACATGGCTATGGGTTTAATATATTACTCGGCATGCTTTATTTCAGGAAACGTGGATGCTGTATCGCTTCCAGCACCCAGCCTGGGGAATGCTTGGTAGTTTGCTTGTGTAGCTTAAGTTGCATAATTCGACGGGTTATTATTCTTCATGACGTTTTGGAAGAGACATGCTGCATTCTTATTTTTTGCTCGATGCATATTTTACAGCTCCGGCTCCCGGTAGCATTAGGAGCTTAGTTTGTTGGGTTGGGCTGAATTGGTTGTCTTTTTACTAGATCTTAGAGGCCTTTCAAACCATTTAGGGCATCAAAATGGAACTAGGCATTGTGTATGTCGGTATATAAACATCGTCACCAAAGTGTGCATGACTTAAAAGCTTCAAAAAGTTTGCACGACAAAAGCAGTTTAATTTGGCCAGGCCACGAGTATATGTTGTGCATTGGATGCAGCAATTCTTCTCTTCCAAATCTTCTGAAATCTGAAAATAGTTGCAAAGTGGCTCCTTTTATGCCAGTGACCTTTGGAAAAAATACTAATGGTCAAGGGAGCAGCAGGTGAACTGAAACTGACGACAAAACGGCTTGCGCGACCTTTAAACGTAGGTAAAAACGACTGTCATCCATCAATAATGGCCGTGATGTCATATGGTCTAGATCACGCCACGCGAATGTTTTATTTGACACAAAGTAATATTACAAGGCCTTTCACGGTGTCCACTAAAGCCTCCAAAGTTGACCGAGGCTTTCCCTCAGGGACAAAGTTGACCACGTTTGGCCAGTCGCCAGCTGACTTTTCTTTTTCAGCCCAAGTAGCGTGCTCACCCCGGTGCTCTTACGCAGCACCACACTAGTTGTCAACATACCTGCCTTCGATGGTGGGGCAAAACACCACGCCCCCCCCCCCCTTGGGACTCGTGACCGATAGCAGCCTATCACAAGCCCACCGCTATTTCGCTGGACCACGCGGCCCAGGGGATCGCGGACGTCGACAAGACTTTCGCTGTGGCGCTGCTCCTGCGTTAAGATCTTAATTGCACACACCGGCAAAACAAGTTGAGAAGGTCAAGAGCGCTTAACAGATCTAAGCAGCGCACCGTGCGTCAGTTAAGTTTTTATTTAAGAGCCCAGCTCGCCACTAATTGCATACCAATGAGCCGAGACCTTCCGTCAAACTGGCATTTACAGAACAGATCGTTTGTTGGTCTGCGCTATGTGACGCTGGTTGGTACCTATTGCTGCGCGATTTGATGGTTGGTACCCACCACTGCGCTATGTGATGCTGGCTGGCACCTATCACTGCGCCATGCGATGTTGGTTGGCGCCTATCACTGCGCAATGTTATGCTGGTTGTTGCCTATCATGACGCTATGCGATGTTGGTTGGTACCCATCACCGCGCGATGTGATGCTGGTTGGTACCTATCACTGCGCTATGTGATGTTGGTTGGTACCTGTAAGCGATGTCAGATTTTGGCAGACATATGATAACTGCTCAGGCTACCTCGTCCGGCTGACGAATGTTGGCTTGACTTGACGTTACTGACTAATATTTTGTGCGATGAAAACATTTGCTGGCGATGGTTAACGACGCCAAAGCGATTTATTAAGCTTATGGGCTGTGGCTAGCGCAGTCGTAAAATCTTTTGGCAACGTTTCACCCAACAGTTTTGTGCAGGGCAGTATATTTTGGACGGCATATCCTTGATAAAATCGCAGTGTCAGTCTAATCGTGATCCCCCTCCTTCCCCGCCTTGATTGTTTTTGGCTTCACCGCTGCTCGTTTTGAGCACCGGTGAAGTCATCTATGCAGCGCTAACCTGCTCACCAGAAGTGCCCTAAAAACAACTTTTTCGAGATGCATTTTGTGCGCCGAGTGAATTTCTCCGAGAGTTGTATTTTGGTAAACGCCGACTGATGATGTGTAGGAGCAGCCCTACGAACTGTTTTTTTTCTATTTCAGCGCCTGATGCTGCGCCGCATAAACGGGCATTTCAAAATTTTAAACCACCTCTTTACATAGAGTGGCTTGACCTGTGACTCACAGATATTAATTGTTTTCAAAAGCCCATCAAGCTTAACATACAAACTAAGGCTGGCGGCGTTTTTTTTTTATTCATGGGTGCAGCCACTGGGGGGATATGAGCTGTCAAATGTTTCTAGAGTAGCATGCTTTCCTCTCCGATTTTGTATTTAACATGCACAATTTTTCATGTTTTCCCATTGAAATGCCATCTTTTGATCAGATTTTCCGCTCTATATCTCATTTTGACCCCTTCCAACTTTAGTTTGCTCCTCCAATTACAGCTTGTCCCGGTCATCTTTGTGCATTGTGCAAATATCGTCCGCTAATATGAAATAAGGTGAATAAATATAAAGGTGACGTATAGGGCCACCTTCTCATTTTTGGTTTAGTTCTGCTCTCGCAATTAAGGTATTCAATCGTCACTGACAACATTACTTATAGAGCTTTTACTGCGGAGAAAAGGTAGCATTCATATATTCTCGTTCATTGTTTTTAAATGTTGAAGTGTTAAGTCAATCAAGTCAATTAAGTCAAGGTAAGTGGTAATTTCATTTTTCCCATCAACTTCATCGTTACCGTCAGTTTCACTGTCACTCTGTGCATCGCGTAATATCTCCTGGTGTTAAATAATTTGAATAAATTTGGAGAGGAAGTATAGAGCTATCTCATCATTTTGGTTTGTTCTGCTTCAACAAGTTAGGTGTTGAACGATTACTGACCACATTACTTATAGAACTTGCACTGTAGTGAAGATGTACTACTCACATGTTTGTTACTCATCGCGTTGACAGTTTCGCTGTCTTCATCTAAACTTCCAGCGTCTAGTAAGTTGTCTGCAACCAAATTAAGCTAGACTCTTGCCCCTATGACTTACAAACATAAATCTGGACAGTATGTGTCGCATCCAGACAGCACCAGATAGCTTTCCATTGCACTCGGGATGACAGCTCGTTTTAACAGGATGTTCTGATGCGTCATCGCCAGATCTTCTGCGCCTCCAGCATCAAAGGACTCCGCGGCTTACTCCTTTGTATGGAGGGGCCGTGCTTGATTAGCGGGTGACAGCTCGATAGTTTACGCCAGACACGGACTTGTATGCGACGACAAAACCACTGAGAGTAGTTTTCTCAAAGGACTTCCAAGAACGTTAAATGAGCAAAAATGTCTTGAGCTCCTGGCTTTTCGGCGTTGAGAGCCTAAGATGCCATCCACGAGGTCATTACCAACGCTACCAGCCTGCATACAGCTTAAACGATCCCCTACCTTTGGATATTAGCCTGCTCCGTCGCTCGCAACGCCGTCACGAACACGAGCGGCTGTACAATATCCGTGTCCTTCGATAGAAAAGATGGGGACCAGTCGGACACGAAAAAGGCGCTGGTTGCCATCAAGCGGGGTGCTCGCGCCAGCACGGCTGAGGAGGAACGGGTGGCCGGGTGCAATAACAAGGTTCGACAGCGCTGGTTGGCGGTGGCCGCTGCTCCTATCGCCGGCTTGTGAACTTACCGTGTGCGCCCTGTACATAGGATGACGTGATTTTGTAGATGTCGCCGCTGGCTGGCCAGCTTTATATAGACGCAGATGCTCGCTTATATACTGCTTACGCAGGCGTTTTCTACTTTTGTAAGGATGTTGCTTTTTGACGCTAGGTCCCGGAACATGAACTAAATGCATGAGCGATGCTGCATGGTCCCATCCAGGAATCCTTTTGTATTTTTCTATGCATGATTTGATGTCGGTTGGGGGCGGCTTGGTGTGAGACTGATGCATGTCTCTGGCGGATGTCAAAAAAGTGATGGGTCTTCCTCAAGCGTGTTTTTGAAGTCACTGTGGAAGGATTTCACGGTCGCAAAGCGCGTCTTTCCGCACGCGTGCACCTTTAACACCACCTCGGAATCATTTCACTTGGAATCTTTGCACGTCAAAATAGTTATTGCATCCTCGCATGTAAATCGTAAATGAACTTTGCTTGAGTTTGATAGACGCCGGGGACCAATACCTTGATCTGTTTCTGTCAGCACGTTGGTTCCGTTTTGTGCTGGAAATGTAAAACTTATCAGCAAAAAAGAGTTTGTACGATGTTACAGTTCAAAGAAATATATGTTCAAATTGATCTCGAACTTCACGTTGTTATTCTACACTCATCAGTTGCGTTGTAAACATCATAAATATTGTCATGATAAATGCATCTGTTATTTCGACGTCTTCTGCTCGGGTCGCACCATGTCCCTCTCTGCATACGTGGAGGAAGTGTTGTCGATATTTAGCTGATCTGGACCAAGGTTTTGCTCTCTCTCTCTCTGGGTAACTGGATGCCCTCCTGCGCAATGTGCGTGCAGGAGATAGCGAAACAGGCACGTGACGAGGCCGTGAGGCAGAAGGAGAACATCCAGAAGGAGGTGGACCAGCTGCAAAGCAAGGCGGCTAGGCTGCAGAACCTGTACACCAAACAAGACGCCCTCCTAAGTACGCACAGGTCATCTGCCGTGGCCTGAACATACGCCATGCTACGGAATGGTGTTGATGACAGTGTTCACTATGACTGGGGTCTAAAACGCCTGTTGGAATTAAGACCAAATGACTGTCTTTATTTTGTCTCGTAAGTCAACGTCTCCTCTCGTATGCTATGATAGTATATTAATATTGATCAGCAATGCATGAGAATCATGTTGAGCTGGTTGGTCCGACTAAAGTAACGTAATGCTCTGTTTGGTAGCTCTCTTCACGAGTTGCAGTTTTTCACAAAATGCTGAGACAAAATAAAAAAGCCCGCAAAATGCCACAACATCCAAAATGCCTTAGTAACCTGAAGCCCCAGGCCGCTCGGATAGAGCAGTTCTATGTTTCAGGGGACCTCAGACCACCGTGTGACCGCTCTGTGCTTATGTCTAGTGTAGCAGGCCAACCCGTGAGGTTAGAATGTGGTGCAGTTCTGCCAGCATGTGCTGCTGACTGAGAGCATTCTGAGGTGCCGTCACATAAATTACGTCATGATTTTGTGTCATTTTTGAAACGTATTTCCCTTCTGGTTACGCACTGGTTGCGTTTGGCAGAGACTCCTGGACTGTGTCATATTAGACGTAATTTCCCAAAAAGGAACTTACGATTAGCCCTTCATTTACCTGCAAGTGCGAAACAAAAGAAGAGTGTTGCTTTTGATGGGAGGAAGCCAACGGCAATAAGATTTTAAAACGTCTTGAAATGATCCACATGGTTGGCGACCACGCCCGACCGCAACGCTACGCTGCCTTCCTGTCACCCTTCGGTTATGCTCCATAAACCCTATTCTCTCCCGCCTTTCATGCGTGACGTAATATCTGGACGGTCCCTACCGACTTTCCATAACTGTTGCCGGAGGCTTCCCATAGCTGTAGGCCAACACCTGGCATGCCTGGGTGCACTGCGGTACAGCCTAGCCAGCTGCGCGTGTTATACAAGTCCGCACTGCTCAACTGTACAACGGTGCAGCCTATCTGGCTCCTAGAGTGAATGCCGCGTGCGTGAGCTCTCCCGTTCATCCCGCTTCACTCGCCTGTGCCGGACGGGTCTGCGTTGCACAACAGTCCCATCATGCGAACACATGCAAGGAATGTAGGTGACCACTGGTGAGGTGAAAAGGCGGGCTTGGCCAGGTTAGTCGTTCTGGAACTAATATCTGTAGGACCACGACGTTATTCCGAAGCATCGCACCATTGCAATGGCTGTCAAGACGTAACAGGTCTAGCAACGGCCCTAGTCATCTGCAAGAAAACGTGCTGCTGGCATTCATCGCAAATTTGCTTGTCGCTGGCTGAGTTCAGTGTACAGTTTATCTGTTTGGCTGTTGTTTCCACCCCGCTCATGCCAGTGGCCGGTTGGTGTGACTTATCTCGTTTTCGAACCCATAGTGAAGAAGTTCGGGATACCTTACAGCGACATGAGTCTCAGTGACGCTTGCTCTGTTATGCAATGTCGTACAGGGAATAGTTGGTGTCGTCACATTCGTGCAAAGGACGTGGTCTGGTCCTTGGGCTTTTCCTTTCAGGTATGGCTGTTGAAATGATAGTCGTCACTCTCAACCCGACTTATGCGAAGGAGATGACCCATTGTAATGTAGTTGATGCAACGAATGTAATAATCACAACGGCCCGCGCAGTGCATTGCAGCCGACTCAGCAGTAAATAATAATTTCGACTGATTCTTAGTATATTTTCTCCAATCTTGAAGTCAGCTGCCCTTTCCTCCAAAAAGGTGAATCACAAACCGCTTCTTTGCATTGTCCCGGATGCGCAAGCATCGCCATGAATGAGAACATAAATCAACAGTAGCGTTGATTCTCGCGCACTAACGACGCTCCGCCCACGCCAGGCAACCATGCCTGAATGAGACTCAGTCGCAGCAGCAGCTGAGTGGGTCCTGTATGGTACTATATGGTCCTGCAGAGCTCGTTCGTCCGGTTCAAAGCTGTACCACACCACACTTCCCTTCCGGCACCGCAAGGTGCTCCGCGCCTACGACCACTAGAGGAGTTCCAAAACTGGACCTGTTCTCCGAGACCCCTTGTCGTAGGTCAACTGACACCCACTCCTCGCTGTCTGTCGCCAAAACAGAGCGCCGACAGACCTCAGCACTGAGAACGGTAACCTCCCTTTGATAATTTCCACATTCACACGTGACTTTCTCCATTCCGACTTTCTCCATTCCATGTCATCGATAAGATTTTCGACTGTTGGCTGAACAGAACTTGTCCGAGGTTCGAAACCCAGAGGGTTGTTAGAGGAGACATCTGTCTTCTGATGCATAAGTACTTACCTATGCACCACGCACGAATCGGTCCGCTTTCTCATTTCCATCAATTTTTCAGAGCCGGCTGCGACATCGATGTGCCGCAGATGAGGAGCATGATTTGAATACTGGGTCGGGCGGGAGCTCTGTGGCTTGGCTCGAACATTTAGTGCTCGAAGAGACTGTTGCACAATGGGTTAAGTCCGGCGGCACACAGATCACATGGCAGATGCAACCATGCAGCCAGCCCAGCCGCTTCCCTCCCTTGTGTATCCTGTAACCGCTTCCCGTATGTTGTGCGACAGAGAAGCATGTCAAAAAGCGGAGAAGCAGCAGCGAGAGGAATGTCGCTGCTGCATTTGCCCAGCTCCTCAATGTCGTCGATGAAGCGTAAGCCATATCAACTGGACACGCTTGTGGGCGGTACAGAATGACTCATCAACATCATACAAGACTTTACCGACCGAACTTGAAATAGAAACCAACTATACGCTCTCTGGCAAACGATCGGCAACAACATAAACATCACAAAAGAACCAGATATACGACATTTTCCCAAAATATGTAATGAGGCGGCACTTTTAAAAAAGCGCTTAGGTTACATAATTATGTGTGAATAGACGCCCTATATCGCGTAGCACCAGGCGCGAAGCAAATAATACGTTTTCTTGTGGCCTTTTTGACCTGCTAGCTCGAAACATTGCTGCGTTATCAGTAATGTTTGATACCAGGAAGCAATATTTAGGAGCTACCCAACTGGTCTTTCCTTATCTGAACCGGCTTTTTCCAAAGCCTTAACTACCAATCTAATGGTCATATTGACTGCCAGCCCGGGCAGCAGTGATGTCCGGGTTTTTCTGTTCAGAAAGAATAGCAAATGCAGAAAAACAATCAAGTTAGACAAGTTGTCATACCGTCGTGGAAAAAGTGTGTTTGATTGAATAAGTGATATTATCCATCGTTTTAGGTAAAATATTCGGCGGAGAGTACGGAAGTGACTTGGAAAACAAACTGGAGGAGGAGCTGGACGCCCTGGAGGCTCAGAAGGCCCGAATCATGGAGGCCAACTTCAAGGTAACTATGCAGCTGTCAGCAACAGTCAGGCATGGGTTGAACGCAGTTTTGTTGGATGGTGCAACTGTTTGATGATGGGGGCTGCGTCCGCATAGTACACCACTCGATTACCTGGTAAACAATTTCTTGGCACACAGGCTGATTACCTGGTAAACAATGTCTTGGCATTACATGCCCTGTAGTAATGATTACTTACAGCACCACATAAGTGGCAAATTGGCATCGCTATTGTCTTCCCAAAGGAATGCTCATTTTACGCATTGTGTGCCGGCTGCGCCCTCATTCCGCAAAATAATGAGATTGCCGATCATATTACGCGTTTATCTACCGGTGCGCTTCGTTGTCAGTAAGCGCCACGCACAGCAAAGTCACCATATCCCAGTCAACCTCAGTTACGCTGTAATGACAATAGCTGCTTCGTTAGATATTGATGCACGTCGAAGCTGCGGCTGCGGCCACTGTCCGTCTTAGGTGTTGTGACGAGTACAAAGGAACATTCGATACGCGTCAAACCGCTGTGCCAATGTATCATTTCGAGACGTAATGGACAAGCGTCAGTCTGTTGTAAAACAGAATGAGCATATTTTTAAGCAGTGCAGAAAGACAAAATAATAAACAAAGAATTGGCATGGCAAATATGCATTAGGCAACAAAGATGCTCTCTGATTCATTTTAGGCTGACTCCCTAGTCAACAAATCATCATGTAGGGAGCTAAGTCCTGAATTCCGTGCTTCTATGCCAAAAAATCAGGTGGAAAATGAATATTTTACTGTTCTAAGATGACATGATCTCCGGATGATCCTTTAGATCCACCCTCTCCCCTATCCCACTTGCTTACGCTAGACCAAGGCTATCTAACGACGTAGAACCGTCCGGTCTGAAAACGTGGCAACATCGAGCTTGCGTGAGAATAGAGGTAGAAGTAGTCTGGAAGCAAAGCTTGCGTGATGTCAGGTGCACCACACTTGATGACATCACTGGAGAGGAAACTGCTCATTTATTCAGCTGACTGCTACACAACCCATCATATTGAATGGTGGATATGCTTTGGTCATAAGCATCTTTAATTACAAAAAATAAAATTTAACATTCAACACATTGAGCTATATAAATGCCAACATTTATTAAAGAAGACGTGAACAAAAAATCCCTCGGACAAGCCTCAGTTATGGCAACCGTAACGTCATGGACACCATATTTGATGACATCAGTGAAGAGGAAACTGCTCATTTAGTCAGGTGACCGCTGTACCGTCCATTCGTTTGAATGGTGGTTATGTTTTTGGTAGCGTGCGGACGGTGGTTCCCGGTTGGAATGCGTAGCAGCCGTGATACGTAATGCGCTACAAAAGCCGCATGATATATAACTCTGAGTTATGTGTACCCCCGGGAAAAATACAAAACTATGGTGAGGCTAAACTATTCCAGGATTCAATTTCCCTTACAAAATAGTTTTTGCATGCGAAAACTGTGAGCCATTTACACAGAGTCCAACCGGGAACTACCGTCCGCACCACCACCAAAACACACCCGCCATTCGGGCAAATAGGCTGCACAGCAGTCAGCTGACTCATGAGCAGTATCCTCTCCACTGATGTCATCCAATATGGTGTACATGACGTCATGCAGGCTTTGTGTCCAGCCTATATATTTTTTCACGCAGCTCGATGTTGCCACTTTTTGATAGTATTGGATGATATGGATGGCGTCCTCTGACCTGGACCCTCACCCTTCCCAGGAAGCCGGTGGGTCCGAGAACCGCTGAGCCTGGTTCGGCGAGCTGTCCTGAACTTTGACAATAGTGGGAATTACAACCGCAGAACATTCCTCGCATAGTTGCACGGTGACACGTAGCCCACAGCTTGGTACACCTGTAATTCCCATTACTATCGGGCATATGGCGTAGTTTCCCCAAATTAAATATCAACAGCTTTGGCAGGCATTGAGGGCTTTTTTTGTTAGGCTGTCATTTACTGCAAAAGGCTTTAAGCGTGTTGCTATAGCGTGACATATGAACCCAAGTCTGGGAGTCATGCAGGTCGATGCTGACAGGCACACCGCAAGGTAGAGTCCGGTTGATCCTTTTCGTATAAAGAGTGCATGTTGATTTTTCAGTTCTGAGAACATCTATGAATTCGTGCGATCGTTTGCGTCCGCTGGTTCAAATAGCACCGTTCGCGATGATGTTTGTGCGCGCTAAATACCGCGTCAGCTGAGGCCCGAGACGGACGGGAGCAGCTCGCTCCGACCTGTGACGTCATACCATGAATTGGGCTTGAGCCCAGGCGTCTGGACTCGGAAGCCGCCGCGCCGCAGGTCCGGCACTGACGCCGCCTTATCTCGACAGTGGCGCCAGGCGCAGATGATGATGGAGTTCGCCTGCAGGCAGCTGGCCGTGGCTGTGCAGAAGTGGCAGGACCTGCCCGATATCCCAGACACGTGAGCAGCGCCCCCTGGCGTGCCGTGCCGCGCAATGACACACTGTGATGCCACGCAGCCATTAGTCGCTCGCACATCAACTGTACTCGCCCGTGAGCACAGCTGATTGATGGCAACGTTCTGAACCATTGTTGGTGCTTACTTTTTGGTCGGATGAAGGTTTGATGACCTGGCGCACGTATGGTTGGTTGCAATGGTGCATTGGTTTTTAAAGTCGCTTTATATATATAAAAAGAAAGAGAGAGAGAGAGAGAGAGAGAGAGAGAGAGAGAGAGAGAGAGAGAGAGAGAGAGAGAGAGAGAGAGAGAGAGAGAGAGAGAGAGAGAGAGAGAGAGAGAGAGAGAGAGAGAGAGAGAGAGAGAGAGAGAGAGAGAGAGAGAGAGAGAGAGAGAGAGAGAGAGAGAGAGAGAGAGAGAGAGAGAGAGAGAGAGAGAGAGAGAGAGAGAGAGAGAGAGAGAGAGAGAGCGAGAGAGAGAGAGAGAGAGAGAGAGAGAGAGAGAGAGAGAGAGAGATATATATATATATATATATATATATATATATATATATATATATATATATATATATATACATTCAGTCCATTGCCTGCTTAAGGAGACAGGGTACGTTCGTCGGCTTGGCAGGAGCCTGGAGGTCCGTTACACGATGGCGGCCGAGGCTAGGAACAACCTAGTAGCCGCCTCCCAGAACATCGAGGGCGCTCACCGCTATCTCAGCAACGTGGAGTTCCCGTACTGCAACCCGGATGAAGTGGACACCCTCAACAAGGTAAGGCGCCACCGCTATTTCAGTGGCATTGAGTTCCCCTACTGTAACCCTGACGAAGTGGACATCCTCAGCAAGGTAAGGCGCCAACGTTATTGCAGTGACGCGGGCTTCCATTCTGGCATTTTGAGTTCAAAATTATTTTGCTGAGTTATCGGCTTTAAACATACCAGGAGGTAACGGTAAAACGACGTTTCCGAGCAGGCATTCGTCACATCGACAGTACTTCACGTTTCAAGCTGTGCATGTGATCACGATTGGAGTCTCCAATGCAACGAGTGAGTCCTTTGTCCGAATTTACATCATTTTATGCATGTTGCGAAACTTTAAAGCTCATAACCTTGACATTCACGATGCATGACTTTTTCTCAAGGTTCATCGGTGACATTTTACTTAAACGTGGTAAATGACGCTTAGTTCTCACCGTAAATGCACTCCAAAGGGGTGTTCTGGATTATTTTTTATCGCTATCATTTTACAGTCCCGTACTGTCGGGCTAGCTGATTGCTAATGGTCAGGTCACCCAAGTTCAAGTAAGGTTAAACTTTTGTCTTGGTCTTTGCAAGGTGGCCAGACATGGCCTTTTTTAATTGCATACAATAGTCGCTCTCACGAAGGATTACGGTGCAAAGTTTTTTAATTTCAGTGTTTTTTATTCTGACCGCGCACCTTTTGTCAGCGACTTCCGGCTAAAAATGTGTCGCAGAGATTTAAAATCATGTTTGACACACAATTTGATAAAATCGCGGTTGGCTGGTTATAAGCAAGATCGTATTTATGATATGACGCTAGATCTCTTCCTATCAGTTTTTTGAAAACTTATTAAATAAAAGCACCACAAAATACCAACATTCGGTGGTATTTTGACATTCTGACGCAGGCGCGACAAAGCAAGCTCATTTGTTCTGGCAACATTCCTGCTCATAAATATGCAGTAGTTGCAGAACCTGCTTAGAGTTTTCAGAGCTTGCTTACAGCACCTACAAAGCTTGCCTGCAATACTCACATGGCTTCCTTACAGTACCTACAGAGCTTACGCGGCTTACACAGGTTAACGTGATCCAAGATGAATGATTATTGAATGACATGATCCTTGAGTCCGCCTTGCCCCACACAGCACCGCTGTAAACAATAATATGGCAGCCGGCATCCAACGCCTTCACCGATGCGCATCGCTGACTGCCAGGCATAGTATTTTCCTACAATTTGGGTGAACTAGAGTCATGGGCTGAAGAAATATCTATAAATGGTCTCGTTTAATACAACAAGCTTATGTTTAGTTTGACACATGTGGTCTTCATCTTACATGTCAATGGAGTTCTATAAAACAACGTTCTCCTTGTCAGTGTTCAGAATATACTAAGATTTCACAGAAACATTTTGAAAAGTTTAAAAAACTTGTAGTGCCTTAAAAGGAGCGTTTCACATTTGTATGAGGCTTTTAACTGAAAAAACCATCTTAAAAATCATTCGGTAAACTTCACAGCCTTGTCTTTCTTAAGGCCTTAACACGCGCTCGGGTTGGGAGGGGGTCAGATTGAGCCCACCCCCAAAAGGTTTTTCCACAGTGCTTTCCGAACCGTATCGTATCCGTGCCAAAATTGGCCTAGCTGTAGGCAATCGAATAGCAGATCGCTTGACTTAAAAATTTAGATGCACCTTGTAATGTCACTGACCTATGGCAGGTCAAAGTTAGGCCATGGTTTCAGCGAAGGCAATTTCTAGGGAATCGTTCAATCTGATGCAGCAACGGAGTGTTTGAAAAAGCCATACATCTCTGAGATGCTTTCTTAGGCAACCCAAATTGTTGAATGAGCAAATTACGTTGCACTAAGTTCAGGTATGAAGGTCAGACCAAGGTAACCAGCTTGCTTTATGACTCCAGGGCTTGCTGTATGGGATACTTTCTGGTGCTCATTTCGAATTTATTGATAGCAGGAACCGCATTAGATATCTTCCATTGACTATTTAGAGGTCAGGATAAGTCATTGACCTAAGATGACACAGGTCGACATTTTGTTTTTAGGAACATAGTCCCTAGCGTAATCTTTGTCGCTTATTCAAATGCAAATGCAATTCAACGCTTATTCAGAGCAGTCTTGTACATTTCTGGTCGCCATGACCTTCAAAGGGTCAAACAAGGTCACTTACCGTAAATGAGCTTGTGACCTTTTGCTTAGAAACAGTTATCTAGGTTCTGGGGCACTATGAAGGCCAACCTGGAATTTGACCTTGTTTGACCTTATTTCACCTGAAGGTCATGACTTAGAAACCTCATACTTTGATCTAAGCGAGTTTATGTACAGATAAATGTACCCTGTAAATTTGGTATTTCTAGCTTTCTTAGTTCTCGAGATCTCAGTGGGTTCAAATTGACCCCCACCCGAGCGAAGGGTGTCTTGCCGGCCACCCGGTCCCTATTTAACTCTTTCATTTCCGAGCGGTGCGCCCATGGAGATATGTAGACTTTTTCGTACCGGCTATATCAAGGTCACCCAGACATCTATGATATTGAAATAATGTTGTTCAAATCCCGCCGTTTTATTGGCGACGCGGTGACCAAGGCAAAAAAACCGTTGAGTCGTTCAAATTTCGCGTTCGTGACCGCGATTTCTGGATGCAACGGCCGTCAGCTGGCTTTCAATCAATGTTGTGCAAGGTATGATAACACAATCAAACGCTGGTGCACTGAGGAGCATACCTAATAAATAGATAACTTGTGTTGTCTAGAGTAGTCTTTTCCACTTAAAATTATACTTATAGTCACAAGCCAGCTAACTTCATCATATCTGATGCTTGCTTCAGTATATTCAAATGTGGAACATTCTCTTTAATTCATCGTGAAAACAGCTGATTCGAATATTCGTGGAGCCTATCTTACAGCTTTCACTGTTTGAACTGATGTGGGTTGTTTTATTATTGGTGCAGCGAGACGGGCCAGCACAACGATAGCCTTCAACCCTTTGACCTGACATAACATATCCCTTGTCACACCTGTCGCTGTTCACTAGGACGCATGCCATTCAGGTTTTCCAAGTTCTCTCCAGCGCGGCTTTTCTGCTTTGTGGTAGCCTGTTTAGTTCCTCAGGTAATCGGAGCCCATAAAGGGTCAATTTGGCCGCTGCAGTCTCATTTGGCCCGTCAAAGGTCACATTCATCTTTGTTCAGCCACACTTATATAGCCCAGCTCGACGAAACCTTAACACTGCCTTTTTCTCTTTGTCTTAATCTTGCCTAGTTTTGGAGATTGTTGTGTTTGTGGAAAAGTTAAAGGCTTCTGGCCAATGAAAATGTCGGAGTTGAAAATCTATTACCGTGAAGTTAAAATCGAAGCACTTGGACCCAGCCGATGAATTATTTAAGGATTGGCTCTCATGTTCAGCAGTTGGCTTGGCAAATACCTCGCTTACGTCAAAAATGATGGCGTGCAGTTCATTATGTCAAATAAGCTGTGGCTGACTTTCCGGCTAGCCATTCATTAGTTTTTTATCGTGTAAAGCTGTTATTTTGTGGCAACTGTCGTAGCATGCAAAATTCACCAACTCCAAACTTTTTTATTTCAACAGAAAACTTGTTCAGTGAAATAGACAAATTTCACCTTTTAGTTCGATGATATGAAAGTGTGGTGGCGTTTGGCGATAATTTCGTTATGGATTCCTTGGTTATGGATGCCCTGAAACAAAAACTTCAGATTACGAGTCATCCGTTTACATTCCTCGCTACGATTTTTTTTTACAACCCAAAAATGTTGCTATTCATTTGTAGCTCCTGAACGCAAAGTGGAACGGCACCAACGTAGGTTCAAGCATCCCGGTGTCGGGCTTTGTGGGCTTACTGAAGCGCTGAAACAAACGTCAGCAACCTCTTAATCAGCATGCAGAACGTTGCGAAATGAATGCTGGATGGCGATGATGATAACATAACGAAGCTAGAAATAGCTATTTAAGACTGCACCAATTAGTGCCATACATCGCTCAAACTACCACTGCGTAATGTAGGAGCGGTTTCTCTGCCCGTTGACCTGTAGAGGTGTGGCTATGCCGATTTTTTTAAAGGGAAACGCGACGTACACGTCGCGCCCCATTTGTAGAAGCCCCAGCGACTGCATTAGCTATATTAGCGCACATGTGCCATGGCGCAAGCAGGCCTCGGGCTCAGGACCATCACGTCGGAGTCCAATGTGTTGACCACTCGGCCATTACGTCCCATATGCTGACTGAAGCCGTTACTGTCCTGCGTATCAAAGACGTAGCGGCCGTTGTATCAAGAAGTGAAGCCGTTGCAAAGCCGTTACTCCGCAGCGGTGGGAGTATCTGGGTACATAAAAGTACGATCCAGGTTACATCATCGCTCTGCTAAGCCCAAAGAACGCATTTCTCCCCTTCCCCTGCAAAAACAAATGTTTGGATGACGCTGTTAGCCCGGCTCCATTACTATCGCGCATTCATATAAGTCAACGTTGAACGTCCAGTGCGTTAGCACTAATGGCATGTACCGTGCAACGGCCTTCACATTTTTGCATTAGTGACAATGTATTTGTAGAGCGGAGCGCGTAACGATCGCCGGCCACGCATCGCACACGGCGGCGTCTGAGCCGACCCGGCGGTGTCATGTGCATGTGTCATGTGCTGTGTCAAGTGCATGTGTCATGTCCAGACCAGCGTAATCCGCGCCTCTACCTTGCCGTAGAGGACTCCGGGTCGGGTGCGTGCAGACAGACCACAGCTACGCTCGGACGTGTCTTACGCAAAATTTCACAGCTGGTGCAGTGTTTGTGTCTGATGGAGAACAAAGCGGAAGCTGAGACAGATGCGTAAATCTGCCAGGCGGGAAAAATCAGACATGAAGCAAAAGACAATGTAATTCAGCTGACACATTGACGTTGCCCGTAACGGTCGTTTGGCACGCGCCTACTCCACCTCCCGCGTTAATCAATGAAGTAATGTCACACTTCATGCCACCAACGTTTGATATGTGTATTGTGTCTATGTAGATGACTGTATGGCATATAGGGGCTCACTCGCATCTGACGTGTGCAGCAGGCGTCTTGCAACTTCTACCATGGCATGCGAGTGTGCATATAGTATATCAACAAAATAAAACTCAAGAACAAATACCCAAGAGCCGCCGCCCTCTCTTAATGCCGTCAAATTTATCGGGTGAGACGGATGATCAGATTTTAAATTATGCGCTTTGTGAAGAACTCTTTAAATAGAGCCACTTATTTGGGCCACTTTTTTTTAGCTTACATGATACCGGGGCCCCGATCCGAGAAACAGTTTCCAAGCGAGTTTGAACATGCATACAACACTTGTGTTTCTTTCGATCACGGCTGTAAGCGTATGTCAGCCACACACGGACAAATCCCGAGAAGTAAGCCTTGGTGCTCCCCATTGAAGCTAACTTTGAAGGATTTGTCAAAGATACTCCTGTTCATATGTATACTTATTTTCAATAGGACATGGCAGCGTCAGGTTAAGGGAATAATATGTATTTTGGATGAATCTAAAACCTCACCGTTAAGCCCTTCTTCCGGTCTTTTTGCAATACCGCACGCTGCAGGTATTGCAAATAATCTCCTTACCAATTACTGATTGTCCCCACATGCCGAAAGACCTTGGACTTAGAGCCTCCTGGATTTCATGAGAAAGCGCTGTTTGTCTTTAGAAGCTTTGTATGAGTGCCAGGTAAAACATCTAATAAAACACCTAACAAAACACCTGTCTTCGTAAAATTGTTATTCCTCACGATGTAAGGTTCATCTTCCAATTATATGATTGGAGAAGTTTTCATGACTCCTGTGTCAATACGAAGAGAGACGTTTGCAATGAGATCTAATGGTCATACTGGTCCCTGCGTCTGCCACAGACCCGTCTTTAATGATACGGTGACAGACTTAATGAGGCTGGAGTTTTGCCAACGACCGTCCTCAAATGTCGCCACACAGCGGGCATGCCATGCGTGCTTCCACCCAGACCAGCCAGGACCTCCTCCTCACTCATGTGGCGGAGCTCGGCAACGGAAACAGTCGGCCTTTGATCACGCCTCAGGCGTAGAGCAGTCAGAGACGGAGAGACGCCTGGACAGCTCTTGCACGGAACTCCCTGGTGCGGGATAGCGCTCCGGTTTTCGCTCCGTGTTGGTTTTGGCGACAGGCGTGCTGTCGGCCGGAGCTTCGGTTCGAAGGTCTAGCGTGGCACAGATTGCCTAGCGCTGTTTTGAGAGCCAGGGGACGTTGATTTTACAGAAAGGAGTGTTTGCGTCCCCGGAGGACTCCCGCGTAGGAGCCGAACGGGCCCGTGTTCGGCTCAGCAGCCTGCCCGGGCGGGGTACATGAAGAGGAGCGGGAGACGCCAGCGGCTCGTGTCAGCGGTACTGCAGGGTGGACTCACAATCCGTGTGCGAGGGGAGAGTTCGGTACTGCTCCAAGCTGACGGTGGACTCGTAGGTCCAGATCCAAAGGTGTTTGCCGGAAATGAGCACGAGTCTGCAATATAGGTGGTCGCACACGAGTGATGGTGAGCGGTGGAGCCAGGAGTATGAGACTTGTGAGAACAATGCGATCATTCGTATCCAGCGGGCAATCCATGTCATTGGCCGGGATCGAGTCTGAGTTAGTACAAAAATTACCGCTCTCCGTTACTTTCGTTTCCCGCACACGGCGAGCAAGCGACGAATTTAAGAGCTAGACCAAATGAGCATGTCACTCGTTAAACAAGCTGAAAAATAAGAACCCGAAAATATTACAAGAAAAAGTTTTTTAGACTTGACCCGAACAGGAGAACATGAAGCCTATTCTAACGAACCCTAATAAACTCAACCGTGGGTGGCATTGCATGTGTGCACAGCCGGCTAGCTAGTGCCTCTGTCGAGCCTTTTCAGTGTTTAGCTAGAAACAAACACCACTTTGTGAAGAACGATGGGAATGCATGTAATGATGTATCTAAAGCATTTATTGATGTATTCATTTCACCAGCATCCCCCGGCATGTCAAAGACCACTTATTTTTTAACTAAGGACCTAAATTGCTGGAATTCAAATGCTCATGTCATTTCTTGCGATATCGAGCGTGAACCGCCAGAACGTATGTGCGCATACAACTGTGGGTGCGATGAAGATCAATAGCGGCCAAATCACTCAGCTGTCTCTGTGCTACGACTTTATTTCTGTCCTCATGGCAGACTTTATGTTTTCACTACGTAACAATTATGAAGTAGATCTCAGTTTTAGGAGATCCCATTAACATGCTTTAAGGCTGCACCACTCACTCCGGCAGTAGCGAACGGTTTCTAATTTTCAGCTAGCTTCACTCGCCCTCACCTTTTTGGGACGTAAATGTGCAAGCTTCTTCAATCGACAAAACGTTTGGTACTTTTTCCTGTTCTGTCCTTTTTCTGAATCCTGCTGTCAGCGGTCGCGTGCAGGGGACTACGTGCCTCAGTGTCTGACTCAGTCAATTTTATGGCTATTAAAATTGACCGAGTCACATCATCTACCTAATAACTAGAAATAAGAGAGCATTTTAGACCTGCTACGTTAGAACTGGTGTGGTGTATGACCCAGCGTCAAGCTTGACCTGGAGTGAGGTGTGACCTAAGGTGACACCTGACCTGATTGAGGTGTGACCTGAGGTGACACCTGACCTGGAGTGAGACGCGACCTGCTGTGACACCTGACCCGGAGTGAGGTGGGGCCTGTGGTGCTGCCTGACCTGGAGTGAGGCGTGACCTGTTGTGACGCTTGACCCGGAATGAGGTGTGGCCTGAGGGGACACCTGACCTGGAGTGAGGTGTGACCTGAGATGGCACCCGACCTGGAGTGGGATGTGACCTGAGGTGATGCCTGACCTGCAGTGGGATGTGACCTGAGGTGACGTCTGACCTGAAGTGAGGTGTGACCTGAGGTGACGTCCGACCTGGAGTGAGGTGTGACCTAAGGGGACAACTGACCTGGGGTGAGTTGTGACCCGAAGTGACAGCCGACCTGGGGTGACATCTGACATTCAGTGAGGTGTGACCTGGGGTGACATCTGACCTGGAGTGGCACCTGACCTCGCTTGCCTCTGTCGCGCCGCAGGCCACATCGTACGTGTTCACCGACATGCAGTCGGAGGAGCGGCACAGCCACGCCGGCCAGTGCTATGAGATCACCCACAAGAGGGCCGCCGCGCTGCTGCAGTGGTTTGACCAGGTCAGTGCTGTCTTGGCGCCCTGTTGTGAGCGGAGCATGTGCTGCAACCACCGCCAAACCCCGCCATGGAGACCCCCACTGACGATCCTCTCGTCGCCGTGCGCCATCGCCTGAGCCCGCTGGGGGCTCTTACATCGGGTTTGGTAAGCCAGCTGGGATGGTCGAGCTTCTGGGCGCACCGATTAGCAGGCTTTTGGCGCGCCAGAGCAGCAGTTATGACACGAAATTGGTTTCGTTCAGTGCCACTAATGGCCGACGTTGGAAATGGTCTCGTCCCGTATCTAGGCCGTGGTGCTGACGCATTTAATGACAAATGTGAGTTGAATGGATAGCCCGCTTGAGTTCAAACAGAAAGGTGCAAATTTGATTATTTCGTGCATTTACGACCATTCAGTTTTTCACAATACATTATATGTGCCGGGTATATTTATGCTCCTTTGTGTTTTTGTCATGGCATGACGGAATAAAACCACGCAATCTATGTTACAAACGCACGGTGATCAGATACTTTGATCCGCGACAGGTGATGACACCAAAATGAGACCAAAAAATCATGAACGAATGCACCCGCGATGTCTGGATTCTGCCTCCGCTTAGTTCCGTTTCTGACCGGTCAGCTGAATAGATCTGCTTTGCCAGTGAGCTATTTGCTGTCCTAATGGGACGGATTGTTGTCCGTTGGTCGCAACTGGTGACATCGACCCTCATGGATTATTAGGTGCTTATAAAGTAAGGCAATTACCTGGCACATTTTCCCCCGTGGAATCCTGCTGTTTGCTATAAATAACGCATGATCAGATAGTCTATTTTCAATTAATTTGTTGACTGGCTCTATAAGAAGTGAGTAGAGTTAAAGGCAATTTGTTTTGCTTTTAATCTTGTTGCGATGTGTGTATGGATATGCCCTAAACCAAATGGAAAACAACACGCTTCAAGTTATGTTTCAATCATGATAATCAAGCTCATACCGTTTGCTCAATGGCTATCACCCAGACGATTCTGCCGTCATACTTTCTTAAATCAATTGGCAAAGCCGCACGGCACAGTTAAGTTAAGTGAAGCTAGGCGAAGTATTGAAGCTTAGTGATTCACTTCGCATGAAGAATTGATCGTCCATAGGCTCAAAGAAGTCCTGATCAGTGGCACTTCAAAGAAGCTACCAACAGCCGACCAGCCCACCGCTGAAGACATGAATGGTGTTTAAAAATACACACAATGGCAGCAGGCAATAGCCCTCAGAGCCATGCGCTGGTTCCCGCCGTAGTTCCTAAGTTAACACGCCCGCAGGCGGCGCTTCATTCATGCTCCCACCCTTAGTGCTGTCTGGCTGCCTCGCGCCGCGCAGATGCATGATCGCCCGAACGGCGGTCGAACATCGATCCTTGCGCGATTGCCTTTGAGCTCACGTGTGCGATTGGCTGCCTCGTCGCATGTACGCGGGATCACCGTCCAGCGCCGCTGACTTCGACCGCCGCGCATGAAGACGACGACCGGCTGCGAAGCGCCGCCGATCGCGCACCGGCCGCGTGCGGGCGTGTGCGCGGCCGTGTCCGCCCGTGGGTTTGTTGATGTCGGCGTGTTTACCGGCATCGACCGATCGCCTCGCGAGCCGCAGCGTCGCGCCGTCGGCCTCAAAAGACGGCCACGTCCCGCGCCACTGGCGCCGTCAATGCATCGTGGACGCCTCAGCCGGCGGCCGTGACCCCCGCTGAATGCCCGCGGGCGCCGCTGGTCAGCAGCGGCCCCGCAGAGGGCGCTCTTGTAGATATTGGAGCAGCCGCGGCGACGACGTGGTGGCCGCCCGTGCCTGCGGAGGGATGATATGGCTGCCCGCGCCTGCGGCGGAATGATATGGTCGCCCCGCTCATGCATTCTGAGCGACGCAGTACTGTTGGCGACTGAGTCCAGCGAGCCGGAGGTTCATTACGTTCATGGACACCACCGATGGCAAGGCCGCGTTAATCTCGTCGATCGTTTCGGGCCCTCCGCAGTCGTGACGTTGGTCACGGTTTCCTGGGGTGTTCTGCGCTGTCGCGCGCCTGTACGCTCCTGGTTTTTATAGTTCCTGAGCAGAATCGCACAGCCTTCGGGCGTCAGAGACTTTGCATGCTAGCGCAAAGACATTATGAGCATGCTCAAGAATAAAGGCATGGGAATAGTGAGCATGTTTGAGGAAAAACGTAGGCTGTTTCGTAACAGCCGAGTCCGCAGCACCTTTGCCGGAGATTGGGATGTTCGGTCGCCATTCTATATTGTCAAGTCATGAACGATTACCTGACATCGGTCCGGGCGAGTTAGTGCATTTCTGTGCATTTCCTTTGAACCGGTGGGCAGATATCCGGCTACGTGCGAAGCTACAGAATCATCTGGGGAATTACGTATCCTAGTATCCTGTTAACAGCAGTCTGATGGGACGTTTCAGTGATCCGACGCCCCAGCGACAGCACCGAGGCGGACACCGCGCCCAGCAACTTTGCTCATCGTTCTCAGACAGCGTATACTTGAAATTAGTGTTTTTGTTATCAGCTAGTCAGAGGTAAGGTTAGCAAACTTTTCAGCAGGTGTGTAAAAGCTACTAAAAGTTATGTAGATGCCGACCTTTTGAGTCCCGTCACGAGTGCTAGACCATATGGCGTGTGTTGCAGGTACTGACGACAACAATCATGGAAGATCTGGCGCAGGTCAACAAACGCGTCAAAGAGACATCTCTGGCGCTGCGTCAGGAGCGAATCCGTCTGATCAAGCTCAAGGTGGGTCCGTGCGCCTCGTGTGAAATGCATTCACTTGGTGTCCAACGCTGTTCAATAATTACTGTGCTTGCTACATGCCATTTTGGGCGTTTTCCCCGCGACTAGGATTTCTTGTTGCATTTGGTTTCCTGCTCACAGGGTGGTTAAATTTGTCTGACTCGTTCGACAAGGTTGGCGACAAAATGCATGTTTTCACAAGAAGCTTGGTGCCCAAAAATCCTTTTGGCAGAACCTTTTGGAAACAGCCACAACGAAATAGCACAGCATTCTCAGCAAAAATTAACTTGAGTTCTCTATACACAGATAGTATGCCTGCATGGTGATATATTTCGTCGCACAAACAAACAACGCTTTTCGTACAGTGAGCTAGAATCGCTTTTAAACCAGGGTGGGAGCGAAAACTCCATCGCAAAAAGACCGTGCGAGAGTGAAAAAAATCAAGTTACAAAAGATGGAACTTATGGGCTAGTGAAGGATGCTTCAGCAAACATAGACATACATTTCAAGTTGGTATGGACGTAATGTCATGAACCTGACAAAACTCTTTTGTTTTTTAACATCTTACGTCATTGAAGTGAAACAGAATACACTGAAGCATAATAATTTCATAACAGTGTAATAAACATAAAACTATGTAACACCAATAATTATGATGCTGCTCTTTCCACTTCACCTTCACAGCATCTTTTAACACAAAGCAAAGCAAGGGAATTCAACAACAAAGCAACAACAGAACATTCAACAAGCATAAAACACTCAAACAAAAAACCTTAGACTCCTACACATCAGCCCATCACCAAGTGAAACACGATAGACATACCTCTGGCTTCTGTTAAGATGGGGTCAGGAAAAACGTACATTTCTTCACTGTTTCTTACAAGATACTGATACATATTTCCATGGAAGTAGGCTCACTATGCCTAGCCTAAAGAGGCTTTACTTTATCTCATCCTATCTAATAAATGCATCACAGCAGCATTTGTGAGTCACTGATTCTTGAACAATTGTTATTGTCACTTGCCCTGCAATTAACCAACTTAACCTAATTTAGAGTAGCCCATATATGGCAGTAGCGTATATAGGGCATAGGGCAGAATTTTGCCATTAAACACTTCTGTATTAGCTGCTTCAGGTCTGTCCCAAAGCTAAGTATGGCAGCATAAGGTAGCCTGGTGAGGTAGACACTGGAAAGGCTTAGATTTATTATTATCGAGCACCGTTATGAACCAAAACACGGCTAACTGAGGGTTAAACAAGGCAAAAATGGCGGTAAAAATCAGTTCCGTGCTTCAAATTGTTTCCTTCATTCCCTGTGAATTGTTCAGTGCTGGGTGTACATCAAACGCGTTCGGGCGGCTGGCGAATTAATCCAATTTATGTATAAAATTTGTGCAAGTTTGCAGTTGGAGCATTTTGCAGAGCGGTATCACACTCGTATGATGCCAAGAAAAACAACATAATTTAAATAAATATAAAAACTAATACTTTTTGGCAAAAGTCTGGAATCAGCTGATTTGACTCAAAACCTGTGAACATGGGAGCTCAAACGGTGATATTTATCTCGCAAATTTCATTTAAAAGACATTTCTGGCATTCTTCACTCCTGCATTTCGGGAGTGATGCTATTAAGTGGTCAAGTTTCTTCGGGCTAAATAAATACGTGCAGTAAAGTTATCTACCAGGCTTTGCTGGTGTTTGCACCAGGCTCTGCTTTCGTGGCGTGATGGTGAGACTAAGAAAGATGGGGATGGGGACCACGCATTTAGCACCCAGCCGCCGATCATGACGCATTTTGTAAACAAACCAAACTTGATGCATGCAAGCGGCTGGAGTCGCTGGGGCTCTTGGGCTTGAAGGTATCTGGTGCCCTCGCTCTGTGCATACATAGACATGATTCAGATGTACTTGAGGCAGGACCTAGCCATAGGTGTCCAGGTTCTGTGGAGCCTTGTTTGTGCCTGATGGCTTCAAGTGAGCTCGATTTTAGATGACATATGAAAACCTCAGACAGGAAAATGTGGGTTTGGCGTGTGCGATTAGACAATATCAGGCAGGAGTGAAAAACTCACATGAAATATGGGGACAAGGAGTGCAAAATTCCTCCTTATAGAGTGTTGCTTTACACCCAAGGTTGGCAATTCTAGGACACTGATTTCCAGCTTACATTTATAATGTAGGGCTTCGTTAACGTGACAGCGTCAGCCCTCCGCGCGCGGTCCGCAGAATCGTCGCTTGCCGCTTGCCACCCCAGCTGGCCTTGGATCGTCTCGCGATGTTCGTAATAAAACATCACTACTCCGAAACCAGAATTGCGTGGGACACGTTTTTGGTGCTAACACACGCGCAATAGATGCCCCAGAGGCTACCAAAGATTTGAGCGAGAGTGCGCAATATGCTGGACTGGTATCCTCAGATATCCTTAGGGAGGGGGTTTCGCATCGTCCTCCCCCCCCTTCCCCCCTCCCCTCCTGTCACGGCGACTATGTTGTTCAGAAAGAACTAGCAGCCTGATGTAAAGTTATTGTCAAATTTAAATACAATTTGCTTGTTGGAACACGGCGAAAGGCGCCCACCGGGTAATACATGCCGCGCCAGCCTAGGAGCATGCCTGAGGTATGGTGGATAGTTTGATGACCGTAGAAATGATGCTTGAAGCGCACATGTGATTTTCAAAAGGGGGTATGACCTCAAGGAGGCCTGCATATTGGACGCCATCCCCAGTGCTGCCTACTACCGGTTCGAACTCTGTCATGCATTTTCTGCTGCCCTGGCTATCAAGCTCTTTCGTTGTCGTTTTTTTTCGTGGTCGAGGAAAGCAAAGCCAGCCGAAATCTGTGAGACCCCCAGCGTGCCGGTAGCGTAGTGGTTAACGTGTCTGCGTTAACCACTGTTACCACTGTTAACAGACGCGTTAACCACTGTTAACGCGTCTGCGTTAACCACTACGCGCCTGGGAAACAAGAGGTGCGGGGTTCCATTTCCCGCGGTGCCCGCCTTTCCTGTCAGGGTGAGAGGTAGGCGACGCGATATAGACTCAGCAGCTGAGTGCCTCGTAAAGCCTCAATGACAACAACAAATGTGAGGCCCCGGCAAGTCCCGAGGGTGAACGAAGGCTGCTGCTGTGATTTGGCTATCCCAAAGTCTAGGGTGGGTGCGCCTGCTTTCCAAGCAACAGCAGTTGAAGGAGATGGTAAAAAGGAGCGTTAAGCTATGTGCATGATATTGAAAACTGTGGTGATGAAGGAGGCCATCGGTGATATGCTGATTCCTCCTGATGACGATGCTGGGCATGAGCTTCAGTACCTTTATATGCCATATGGCACCGCATCGCGCCGCTGGCGGCTATTTTGCCTCTAGAAATTTCGTCGGCGACAAAAAGTACGCTTTTACCACCCCTGCCTGCTCACGACGCACGAATTCATTATCAACACACTCCCGCGGGCTTCTCGAATTGCCTGCAGTCCACGTCCGCACGTCCTCAGCGCGTCCGCCATCCAGGTCGGACCATCCATTGCGGCTGTCGGTAACAGAGTGCCCCGCCTGCCCGCGGACATAGTCGATAGCTCAATTGTCGGCCGAGATTCAATCGCGCCCTGGCATTGACCGGCAGCCGCGTGGTGCGGCAGGTGCGGCGTCACCGCCGCCAGCTCGCGCGGCGCCGGCGACACCGTGACCCTGACCTGGAGCGTCGCAGGACCCGTCAGTCCGGACCCCAGGCCTTTCTAGAGCGGGGAGCGCTCGCGCAGTAGTGTAGGCATGCGCTGCCGAGGCGCCTGATTCGAAGCTCTAGTCGCTCGTGACAATAAGGGCGAACAGGGCCGGGTACAATGGCCAGGTGTGTGGACGCCTTATGGTTCCGCATTGCGGACGACGCGGCCACCCGCCTGCAGCCTGCAGTGCTGCTGACACGTCGTCATCTCCCCCGATTACATCCGGTCGCGACCGTGACCGAGTGACCCAGACAGTGACAGGGGTCCGCCTCTCCCCCCCCCCCCCACGACTGGGACGACACGGATAAGTGGCTGGCAGCACCGCGACACTCCCCACAGACGCCCTGCGGAGGATAGGAGGAGAGGGGGAGGGGACGTGCCCCAAGGTGATCAATAAGTGTCTGGTGTCCCCGTTGGCGGGCTCTCCGCCGACACCGTCTGCTCCGGGAACACTTACTGATCACTGCTCCCCACTTACGCGGGCAAGGGAGATACGCCTACCCACCGCTGCTCTTCTCAGCGACAGAGTTCACCGCCAGGTCACCCTCCCCCACCGCCGTCACCGCCTCCCACCGCCGTCCACTGCGGCAGCCTTCGCTCACTTCTTCCTCGCCAGCTCTCCCAGACACCACCGTTTCTCGCGGTGACGCTCTGAAACGCCGCTGTTGTCACCTGATGACTTGGCCGCTTCCTACTGACCTTCTGGCGCCTCTCTGCCTAGGCCAAGGAGATCTGGGGTGCCGATGTGGACGTCGACATCGACGCAGGCGTCAGCGCCGACGACGAGGACCTGAACGCCATGATGATGCAGGGCGTCAGCGACTCGGAGGTGGCGAAGACGGAGGAGACGGTCAGTGAGGCGGGGGAAGCGGCAGGGAGGGGAGGAGACATTCGGTGATGCGGAGCAGACGGCAGGGAGGAGAGAAGACGGTCGGTGAGGCGGGGCAGGCGGCAGGGAGGGGAGGAGGCAGTCGGTGAGGCGCGACAGGCGGCAGGGAGGAGAGGAGACAGTCGGTGAGGCGGGGCAGGCGACAGGGAGGGGAGGAGATCGTCAGTGATACAGTACAGGCGGCAGGGAGGGGAGCGCGGTCTGCGTGACTTGGCTGCCTGCCGCCGTGGCAGAGCTGCCGCGTGACCTAACCTGCCCCGAGGTTTGTGACGGTGCAGGGATCCCATCCCTCGGTCGATATCATGTTTTCCTGGCAAAGAGCATTTCCCAATGGGCATCAGAACGCCCCCGACAGGTAGTGCTTGCAGTTTAGGTGGTAGTGCGCCTCATAGATAATGTCCCTACCTTTAAACTCAGGTGAGAAGCAGCATCCGTCTGAGAAATAAATGATTGTGCAGCGCTGGATCTCGGCGCCCACTACCCATCGCTTCCACCGCTCTCTCGGATGAAGATAAATGTAACGCGCATGGATGGGCTATCGAGATGTTGGTCATAGGCGATAAAGAAAGATGGAAGGGCAAACCTTGTTAGGCTCCCGATGGTTTAAGGTGTGTGTCAATGTCAAGCTCTAGTTGTTTCTCTCTTGGCAACGGTTGACCGGTTATTGCCGTCACCACTTGCGTTGCCGGTATGACGTGCTGCCTCAGCTTTACTTACCTCGGCAAACGCTGTCTGAGGTGGCCATAACCACGGCAGCCTGGCCTGGAGTAAGAGGACTTGCCTGACCTGGTGCGCTCCCGACAGGCGGACGGACCAAGGGCCAAGACGCCACCGCCGCTGACCGCGGAGGAGATGGCCCCGATGCCCTCCAACGAGGCCATCTTCGGCCTGTCTTACGAGCAGTTCAAAGGTGAGCACGACCGTTCTCTTGGCCGAGGTCCAATGCACATATCACCGATCGAAAGAGGGGGCAGGCAGGCGTATGGGGAGGGACCTTTAGTTTAACAGGCACGTGAACATGAATAGGCATAGGCGAAAGGGAATTTTCTGAGGAGCAAAAGGAGAGATGGAAGAACAATACAGCAACGTGTGGGTAATAAGGTCAGAGCTGGTGCCATAGCCTGGTTGTGAATTTCCGATGACATGAGTGTGAGCGGAGGGAGCCTGTATATCACCAAAGCAATACAAAAGTACCTTCATAAGGACATTTGATAATAAAGTCACGCCAGTGCTCAGAAGAGTTTCATACGGTGGCAAATCCATCCGCAAAGGGCTGTTACGACCACAGTGGTGATTGCACCCTTAAGGGCTTTAGCTGATCCGTCGACATGGTGCCGCCGTACGACAGGGGATGAGGGCTGCGAGGCAACAATTGTTAACCATTTGTTCGCAACCAGGCTGTGACAATGTGTGACATAGTGAACGCTAGGCCTTGGTGCAGAGGCGTGAGGAAAAGTCGATCGCGAACCACCTGATCCAAACGTACTTTGCAGTCAGGGATCAGCGACCGCAATCTGATCCGAACGTATCCTGCAGTCAGCGATCAGCGACAGCAATGTGATCCGAACGCACCCCGTAGCCAGGGATCAGTGACCGCAATTTGATCCGAACGCACCCCGCAGTCAGGGATCAGCGACCGTAATGTGATCCGAACGTACCCGGCAGTCAGGGATCAGCGACTCCAATCCCACACACGTTGGAGAGTAATCAGATTTTGATGTCACGATCTTGTGACTCAATTTTCGCCCAATAACACTCGGACGACGACGTGTGTGCGAAGCGATCTTCAGTTCCCATCCCTAGGGAAGTGTTGATGCAGTGCAATGAGTCCCAAAGCGAGCGCAAAATTGCGTGTGATGGCATAGCTGTTGACGTTGCCTTCCGTTTCGAGCGATAAATGTCCGGGAAAATGCCAAACAACACAGCGCCTAGGTCGTGTTCTTGGACAGTACTCGGTCGGAACCTAATATACTTGTAATGTTTCAAGTGCGTTCCTGAACAGGTAAAAGTCACCGGTAAAGGTCATTAGAGAAGAAAATAAACTTAACGTTATGCTCGTATTATACAATTAAAACAATAATGCATGATCGATGCACTTCGGGGTGTTTCTCCAGTATCACCCTCGAGATCAAGCTGTTTCTCCAGTATCACCCTCGAGGTCAAGCTTGATGCAGGGGAATGGCCATGTGCGAAGCACATCTGACGCTCAGTATTATGATCAATGGTACGCTTTTGGCATTGAATGGATTTTATGTTCTAATTTACGGACAAGACATTCGGACAAACTAAGGACAATCTACTTATCTTGCAACGACATGCAATAATTGGCATGCCACCGTTTTAATTGAGATAGTGACAGCCAATTATTGCATGTCCTGGCACACAAAAAGGGAAGGCTAGCAGGACACGTCGATAAATAGCGTGACAGCCTGTAGGCAAGCTCGCCGGAGCACCAAAGGTCATGACCTGCAGCCACCGGGCACGGTGCTCGCCTGTGACGGACGAGCTGCCAACTTCAACAGCCCCTGTGAGAGCGAGCCGCCAGACGTCTCTCCGTAGTGAGCGGCGTGAGCGCGCGCACTCCATCACCGCTACGGAGAACCGGCTGCGTCCGCGCACGGTCCGCGGCCACGCCTGACACGGCCGCCCGCCGCCAGCAATGGTCCCCAGTGGCCGGCGGCGGCGGCCGCGGCGCTGGGAGCCCACGGAGTCCCGCTCCCGAACCCGCGCCACTGGCGCGCCGAGGCCGGTCCCGGGTGGATTCGACGCAGCGGGCCGCTGCTCGGGCCTGGGTGATGGAGCGTTGCTGTCGAGCCGGCTCGGCCAGCAATGCTCCGAGCTCGGCGGTCGGCGCGTGGGTCACGTGGTCGGAACTGGCACACAATCGGCTGCGGTCAGCCGGCGGCGGATGGAGGCCCCGCCCCAGGTTATGGTCGGCTCGTGTGTCGCCGCCTTGTTGACCGGCGACCCCACACCGCACCCTGCGCCGGCACGCCACCGCGTGCATCGGCTCGGAAACCGCCGGACAGCCGCCGCCTCCGTGTCCTGCGACAGGGAGACCACGTGGCGGATGGTCCGCTCGTCAGATCAGAGGAGTGATCACAGCGTGATGGCTTGTTTTGTCAGTCACGCGTCACTGACAAGGCATATCTTGCAAATTGCAGTGAACTGGTAGCCTTGAGTGATGATGAGTTAGTGGTCATAGTGTAGTGATGATCTAATCGCGCATGTTAATGATGCGATATATGAAATGCTGACTAGAATATATCAGCTTTGCATTTTAAAATGAACATGATTTAAGGATAATGCAGTAATACAGCTGAAGAATTATGTGAATTACGTAACGTCAGAGATATGAGCCCAGCGTCACCCCTGGACTTTGTATTGTCACCAGTTAGCCGACTTCCATCGAAGTGAAAGTTTCCAGTCATCACCCGTTCATCTTCAGAGTTACAGAAGCAGGGTCGCAAGAGTTGCAGAGAACGAAGAGCAATGAGTTCGTTACCTTGGCATTCGGCGGTGTGATACAATGGCGAACTCATCAAAGTGGTCCCAACTCGCCTTTTTTCCTCTCAAGATTATAGTGACTGAGTAAGCGGCCAACTGGGCCGCCTGTGGTTTCGTTCCCAGACGGCCTCATTCCGGAGACATACCGCATCTCCATAGCGCGGGCGCTCGAGCTGCAGCCGGTGGAGGGTTGTTGGTGATCTCCTCTCCAAGCTGGTGGACAGGGCGCACCTCTAAAGCAGCGCAGGCGCTCGAGCTGCGCCCGGTGGAGGGTTCTTGGTAATCTCCTCTCCAAGCTGGTGGACAGGGCGCACCTCCTCCTCTCCAAGCTGGTGGACAGGGCGTACCTCTACAGCGCGACGGGTGCTCGAGGTCCGGCCGATGAAGGGCTCCTAGCACTCCCCTCTCCAAGCTGGTGTGCAGAGCACATCTCTATAGCGCGGCGGGCGCTCGAGCTCCGGCGAATGGTGGGTTCCTGGTAATTCCCTCTCCAAGCTGGTGGACAGAGCGCACCTCCTCCTCTCCAAGCTGGTGGACGGAGCGCACCTCTACCGTGCGGCGGGCGGTAGATCGCTCGCTGGTGGTCGCTCGAGCTCCAGCGAATGGCGGATTCCTGGTAATCCCCTCTCCAAGCTGGTGTCGCCGGCTGCGGGCTGGCCAATTGAGCGAGAGCCGCGTTGAATTATGCATAGGCATCAGGAAAGGAGCTTAGTGGGTCGGATCAATAGCCACACCTCTCAGCACGCCGGGACGGGGATGTGGAGCGCCCTTCAACGGTAAATGTAAGCCCATTCACAATCAGGGTAAGCCCATTCATTGATAACGTACCCCAGCGGAGCAACTTCGCCAGGGCATATCGTTTTCCCTCGCCGAGGTGCGTACGGTTAGAAAGTATGATTCACCAAAGTGGCGTAGAGCAAAACAACACAGGTGCAGGGTATCACTGTGTGCATCGTTCAGCATTGGTCCCTTTTGGAATAAAGATACGACCGATGCTCCTGAAACACTGCCGCTAAGAAAAGAAAGCAGCTCGGCAAGATTGCGCCATATTTCAGCTACTCTTCCTTGCACAAGCGAGCCAGCAGCCCCAGTTACACCCGGTTGTGGTTGCTCCCAGCGCAGAGCAGGCCTTTGCGCGAACCGGGGGCCGATCCTGGGGAGGGGTGGATCAGGCGGCGACTGGATGGTTGCCGGACCGCACCCGGCCTCCGAAGAGGTCCCGGGGGCAGGGCCCCGAGGGATGGCCGCAGGCTGTGGGGGACAGCTCGGCGGCGGCCGTCAGGCAGTGTCAGGCCTCCGGAGAGGTCTCGGGGGTCGGGTCTCCGAGGGATGGCCGCAGGCTGTGGGGACAGCTCGGCGGCGGCCGTCAGGCAGTGTCAGGCCTCCGGAGAGGTCCCGACTGGTCAGCTAGTGTCAGGCGGATGGCAGAGCCTGTCGCCGCAGCCTCGCCGCGGCAGTAGCATTTCGGCGCGTATGTGAAGAGCCGTGGGGACAGGAGAGGATCTGCGGGGATGAGCTCAAACACAGGGACGCCTCGCCCGACTGGCGAAGTGGCAGGCAAGGCAGGGAGGAGAGGAAAGGAGAGTAGAACTGACGCGCAAGGAGAACAGGAGGAAAGAGAGGGAGAGAGAGGTAGAGAGAGAGAGAGTGAGAGAGAGAGAAGAGAGAGAGAGAGAGAGAGAGAGAGAGAGAGAGAGAGAGAGAGAGAGAGAGAGAGAGAGAGAGAGAGAGAGAGAGAGAGAGAGAGAGAGAGAGAGAGAGAGAGAGAGAGAGAGAGAGAGAGAGAGAGAGAGAGAGAGAGAGAGAGAGAGAGAGAGAGAGAGAGAGAGAGAGAGAGAGAGAGAGAGAGAGAGAGAGAGAGAGAGAGAGAGAGAGAGAGAGAGAGAGAGAGAGAGAGAGAGAGAGAGAGAGAGAGAGAGAGAGAGAGAGAGAGAGAGAGAGAGAGAGAGAGAGAGAGAGAGAAAGAGAAATGTCACGCGCAAACGCACACATTTCCTAACGAGTCACGAAGGAATATGTGGAGCGGGTCGAAATCTTAGTAGTGTTTTGCAACAAACTATGCATCACTGTGTGCGTGTGTGTCCGTTCCCAGCACTAGCTGACTGATCTGAATCCGCATTCGCAGAGGACCTGGACAACATGCGCGAACAGCACGAGACGGAAGTAGATCACTTCATGCGCGGCCAGGAACGACAGGCAGACAAAATCCGTGGAGACCTGGAGGTAAGGGCACGGCGCCTCCAAGACAATCTCGAATGTGTGTCTATCTAACCTTGTTAGGTTCTGTCTACGCCTCAATCTCGCAACAGCGGAAAGCGACACGCACCCGGCCGTCCGGAGCCGGCTGGTTAACCGCCTGCGGGCACGCGAACCGCGCGCTCCGCTGGTCGATAATGGGGCACCGTAGCCCGTGGAGCCGCTGGGAGCACCCCCCTCCCCCCTCCCCCCCCCCCGGCCGTATCGCGCCCCCGGCGTGGTCGGCGCCCAATGTGACGGCCTTATCCATGTAGGCTGGCTTGCCGGCTGTGTGAAATGGTCCCGGTATTAGTAAAACAAAACAACGCTTGGAAACAAGACGAGATTTTCCAAAGCGATTTGGTGGATCCTACGCTAGCTAATTCTGGGCATGTTGAGATGATTGTTCCCGTTCGTTGCTGGGGGCTTATGTTCTAATCAGACATTATTGATAGCTGGGACATTTAAAAAACATCAAGTGCCACCCCCTTTCTGAACATGTGCAGTATTATTTAAGGTGCCGCAAAACGTCACATCTTGCGAAATGGCTATCATTAAAAGACAGCCTAGTGATTGCTACGTCCGAGTCATTGCAAGTACCGTAATCCCTGATCGGGTGCGCAATGGTACATTTAGCAACAACGATCAGCTGGCGGCGGTCGGCTGTCACAGCCGCATGGTCGGCTGTCACAGCCGCTCGGTCGGCTGTCACCGCGCTCGGCTATCACCGCCGCTCGGTCGGCTATCACCGCCGCTCGGTCGGCTGTCACAGCCGCACGGTCGGCTGTCACAGCCGCACGGTCGGCTGTCACAGCCGCACGGTCGGCTGTCACAGCCGCACGGTCGGCTGTCACAGCCGCACGGTCGGCTGTCACAGCCGCACGGTCGGCTGTCACAGCCGCACGGTCGGCTGTCACAGCCGCACGGTCGGCTGTCACAGCTGCACGGTCGGCTGTCACAGCCGCACGGTCGGCTGTCACAGCTGCACGGTCGGCTGTCACAGCCGCACGGTCGGCTGTCACAGCCGCACGGTCGGCTGTCACAGCCGCGCGGTCGGCTGTCACAGCCGCACGGTCGCTGCTCCTGACGCCTCACCCTCAGCGGCCCCTGTGGCCACCAGCTCTGTCACGGCCGCGCACCAGTCCATGTTTGCGCATCCTCACGTCGCCTGTTTGTAGGCGAAGCTGAACGCCCGCCGGCGAAACCGCGCCATGCGCAACCTGGAGGAGCGCCAGAAGCGGGAGCTGGCCGCCGGCGCCGCCGTCAGCTAGGCTTGACGTCAGCGCGGCGGTCGGCCAATCAGCGACGGCGACCGTCTGACGTCAGTGACTCGCCGTCACCCGGGCACGTCGCGACAGCGGACGAGTGACGCCACGGGCTGGAGGACGGGCTTGAGGTGCAGCCCCGCTGGGAGTGCCTGTGTCTCGGAGTGACAACCACGAGCAGGGACTAAGCCGGCGCGGATCGCCTCGTCCTGGCTGGTCCGCTGTGGGCGTTCGAGCAGCAGCTGGTCTTCGATCTGCTTTCTCGGTAGCACTGGACGCTTAGAAAGCATGTTATTGGATATGTTTATCACCAATCACGGACCACTACTGGCGCAGCTGTAACATGAACAGTGTCCATCTCATCATTTGCGGCTTATTATCGAAAATAACTTGGTATCAGCTGAGAAGAAGACGAAAAAGAAGAAGAAGAAAAGGTGTTGTTTTCCGGTGTGTTGCCCTGATTTGGGCGCCTAGAAATTAGAATACTAAGTTTTGCCTTTGCTTTAGAAGGTCTATTTTATTGACACTAATTGACTGTGATCAATCAGGTTTTTCACTATATTCGTCATTTCAAAAGAGGACCCAGCCGGTCTTCAGGACTCTTCAAATAATAAAACCGACAAAATGAAAGATGCTGCCGCATATTCAGGGACAGCGGTTGTTTCAAAGCATATGCTTCCTGGCAGTTTTCAGAATTGCATGATTAGGCGTTGTTACACTTTGGTTCAGCATTTTTTCCGAGGTGATAGCCACCCTCAACTGAACATCCTTAACATGGTATTAAAAAACTTCTCCGCCAAGGGGTACGTGACCAGTAAAAACACATGAAATTGTTTGTTGGAACTCCAAAGTCTCGTATCACAGCAACTGAGCAATGGAGGCGGTGTTTCCCTTGTTTTAATGGACCCCACATCACGTAAGTGCAAAAACTGCGCATAAGTAGAACTCGCTTGCTGTAGAGTTGAACTAAGTCACATATAGGTTTTACATACCGCTCCTGGTTTTCGCGCACAATAGTCACAATGTCCGTGGAAACTGTGGGTGCTTCGTGCTGACAGATACAGAGGAGAATCCCATAAAATATTGATATTGCAAAATAATATGCACACAATGAATCGGATCAACCACTGCATGCAGAGATCGAAATGCTTTCCTTTACAATGTAATTCATCATACAACATCATTAAGCTATTCAGATACCACGAAAAAGCACAAGGGCTTTTCTACCCACGCTGACAAAGTAAACGCCGCTGTAAGCATGGGTAGATCACATGCTCACAAACTCAATCTGTACCAACCTTTCAAAAATGTATTTGCACGCATGCACGCACAAGGCACGATATGTTCACTTCATCTAAAAAAACGTTGATAAAAATACTGTATATGCTACCCAACTCGTCAGGGCCTGTGATATAGTGTACATACTGGGCAGCTTGAGTCCTTCGCCTCTTACGATGTCGTACGTGCCTTGGATATTGCCAAACGTGCACTAGTTTACTTACTTAAGGAGTAAGTGCACTTAAAGAGAGTATTGCACCAGTTCCTTACCACCATGTTACCTACCGAATGAGTGCCGTTTCTTGTCATGTGCGTACTTTCTCACCTTGTGACATCGGAAGCCCGCTCGATTTCTCCTGCGAAGGCAGCAGCTTCAGACGAAGGGTCCACTATGGAACTGCACCAGACGGATACGGAGACATAACCGATACGGATACATTAAGTCTTTCGGCTGCCTTCTCCCTATCCTTCTGATGAGCCTTCGCGGGATCAGCGCCTTCTGAGAGCTCGTGCGCAGCTGACCGTCATGTGCCTCTCAGAAGGGAGCTGCCGGCGCCTGTCGTGGTGGTTGCGTGATCGTGTGGGCCCGCCGCGTGTCACCGGTCCCTTGTTATCACGGGCGGACAACAGCGACGTCCACTACCACAGGTTCCCACGTCCAGAACGCACCTGCCTGCTCACGAGAGCAGCACGACCCGTGCGAACGCAAACGACTGCGTTTTATCAGGTGCACGGGAGCTGAAAGCCTCTGGCCGCGGCGCAGCGCCTATCCCACGGCTCGTGGCAGAGCCGGGCGCACGTGTGCCTCAATCAGGGAGCGCGCCGGTCCAGTCCGGAAGTACAGCGACACCGCCGGGTCGTCTGCTCTCACTTCTTGTCAGGTCTGCACCGGCGGAGCCTGTCTGTAATCGTAGCATTAGATCTCGTGGAATACATTGTTGATTTTAGGAGACTGTGTTTAAGACCCGGGTTATAAGTGCGATCACTGGGACAGACGTCGTGATGCGTGCTGGTCCAGATGGAGCGTCTGGCCCAACGACCTCTCCGTTCGTACGTTGGTTTGTTTGCATCATTGCCATTACAAGCACTTTCATTGTAATTTCTCATAGATAAGACGGTAGTAATAATCTTATTCCTCGGAGAAAAACCAGGAGAATGGAGACATAGATGGGCTTATGTTTCGGCAACATGCCTTTATCGAAACAATAGGAGAAGTGATGATGACTTCATCACTTCTGGCATTGTTTGATGACTTAATCTCTTCATAAGATGACTTCTGCTATTTTTACGATCGAGGCATGTTGCCGAAATATCAGCCCACCTATATCTCCGCTCTCCTGGTTTTTCTACCAGAAATAAGGCTATTACTATTGTCTTATCTATGTGTATAATGTTCCTCGCTAATGCACTGGACAACTGACGTAATTGTAATTCCTTGTTGAATCTTCTCCTGAAGACTCCGTCTCAATGCTACCCATTGGTGTTCCGTTTCTAGGCTCCTCGGCTGTTCTGCAGGCGCCGAGTTCTTGTGCAGCGTAGCATCACACGGTGGTCGTGTTTTCGTTCATGCACGATAGCGTCAGGATTCCCGGATGCGAGAGGTCAACCTCCAGATTATGTCAGGTCGTGCAGCTAAAATTAGGGACTTTGATGATCTCCAACACGTCGAACACCGTTTTGACGCCGTGCAAATGCATGTAGCGCCCGGGCCGGTGGGTTGGCTATCATACCCTGCAGTTCCGAGCCGATAGGAGCGAATTCCATCAACTTCCTCACTGCGACGGAGCATGTGTAGCATCCACCGAAGCTGCGATAGTTCGATGCGACTCTTGCTTGCAGTGTTGAGCTAACTTTATACGGACGAGGAAGGTGCAGCGGGGCAGAGCCTGCGACCGAGGGAGAAGTAGGAGCGTCAAGTGCCACATAGACAGGTAGCGAAAAGGTGAAAGAAAAACAGCGTGAGGGAATGGCAGGGTGCTTGGGCCCGTGGTGAAGACAGACTCAATGCTGCTACAGACAAGCCTCAAACCATTTACCTGCAGCTAAACGTAGGACGAGACCAGTTGTGGACCACATAAGGGGTCCTCCGTTGTGCACCTCACCTCATGCCAGTATCCCAAATAAGAGGTGACCTGTGAGCGCTGTGGAGTTGCCAACATAGCTTTGGTTTCGGTGGGTTTGGCCGTGCTTACATATTGTTCAGAATCGCCTCGTGACCGAAACCATGCCGTTTGTCGCACAGCCAGCATCAAATCCTTAGCGTCTTCGCCACATGGCGCATCGCATTTTTTCAAAGAAAGCCTCGATGGTTTGTATGTGTCTTTAAGGCAGTGTGGGGAAGACGCTGCGTGATGTAAGACTCAGGAACGTCGCTCCGTAGCCATTCGACCTCACGTTCTGAGCAACGTGCTTCTCAGAACAAGCCATTCTCCGCTGCTCCGAGCATTGAAACAGCAATCGCAGCCTACACACGGGATTCGCTGGTGGGAGCTCTGTTGTCCGGGTGGCAGTTTGTCTTCGGCGTTCGCATTTCCGGCCAGGCGCCGACCGTGTGTGAGGCGCCGGCCGTGCTGGAGCCGGCATGCGGCGAGGCCGTTGGAGCGTCCCCTCCCCACCGAGCGTCGACGTTAACACCAGGGGCCACGGAACCCCGCCCCAGCCGGCCTCGGCCGAGCGGTCTGCTGAACGTGGTCAGTCAGCCTGTGAACCTGCAGCTGGAGAGGTCACTCCCCGGAAGTCTGTGTGGCACGACAGTGGCCGCAATCTATAGGGACACGTGCCCCTGTGACCGCGATCGCAGAACTCCCCAATCGCCGGAAGCATTTCCGTATCGCTTTTCCACCGCACGCTAAAATGTCATCATCCATCATATTGCCTTCACCACACGGCTGACGCGGTCAATGCGATCACCCAATCACATTATCAGCCGTTGCCGTCAGCGCCCATGACGCCGCTGGTCCCGCGAACACGCCCACCCGCCCGCCGCCCCGCCGGCGCGCGTCGGCTGCTCACGACACGCCCGCGCCAGCGCCTGCGTACGCCGGGCCGGCGTGGGCGCCCCGCCCGGTCCGGGCGGCATCGGGATTCACGCGGCGCTGCCCCGGGCCAGGCGGTGGCGTCAGCACGCGCCACGCGACACTGAAGCCGAATCGATGGCGCGCGGACGACGGCGCCGGTCGTGTCGGCGGCACACCCGCACGGCCGTCGGCGTCGACGGCACGGGACGGCGAGTGGGACGCAGTGGGGCTGGAATAGGGCGGGGTGAGCAGGATGCAGTGGGACACGCTGGAGTCGGGCTAGTGCGTGGCAGAACCCAAACAGAAGGGGGTCAGAACAAAGCAGAACGGAACACGCGATGACGTCACGAACATGATGACCACAGAAGGGCCCAAGCGGATGAAAGCAACGAACGTGGACGCAGATGAGACACGGCAGTGCAAAGGAGAACAACAGGTTATGACAGAACGTAGGACCCGGAGGAAGCGCAGCAGCGTGGGGCACGGAATGACATCACTGGTGCTCACATGACAGCATGGAACGCGGGCACTACCCACGAGACAGAGTCACAGGAGACGAACACGCTCGGCCAGCGGCGCAGGGACGGGAGCCACCGGGGCGCCAACTAGAGGCAGGCGGGGGTGGCGACTGGGGTTCCTCCGATGTTACTAGCGTTGACACGGATGCATTCTAGGAAGGCAAACAGCATGCTAGTCAACGCCCACTCCCTCTCAGAGTTGTTCGACATGAACGCATGTGATCGTTAGAGGTGGATACGACTTTGTATTGGATCTGGTTAGTCTGTACAACAGCACGGTGTTGGCAATCGCAGAACCTGCTGTTTTTTATGTTCGTGGCATTATCCAAGTCAGGGCTGCGTATACAAGAGCATGGAAAATTTTCCGCCCATTTTGTGTGATTTTCGGAACACTGATTGCAGACCAAACGTTGGTGTTTCATTTTTTAAAATGCATAGACGAAACGTGATGCTTCCAAATAAGGGCGTTGGATCTTATTGGGTTTAATACCCGAATTTTCCACTCCACGCTGAGAACAATGCGGAATGTATACGCAACATTTATCCTAGTCTATAATTCAAGGTGCTGGCGGCGGCGATACCATGACAGCCGACACTCACGAGTCGTCTCTCCTTATCTCCGCTTCCCCGACCTGAAATGTTCTGTGTTCAACACATCTTCACCTCACTTCGTCCTTGTTTCCGTCCCAGATCCCGTCTCCCGTCAATGTCGTGCACACGTTCCCTACGATTGGTGCTGCTGCGACCAGTGGCTGTGAAGGCGGAGGTCGCAAATGGTGTAAGCAGGAGTGTTCTTGAGACAGAGCCTGTAGCAGAGCCTGAGAGAGGAGCCAGAGCCTGCTGAGTCTAAATAAACTTATCGGTGTTAAAGAATGTACGTTACGTACTGGAGTTGACGTTATTTTCATCCAATTTGTACCAAAACAGAGCGCGTTACGAGCACGCGACTACGTGCCTAATAAAAAGTACATCATTCAGAGCTCCACTTATCAGTGAAGATCCGTGTTAGTGCTGAAATTACTGGCCGATGATATAAGAGTAATATGTACTGTGTGTTATTTTGTCCAAGGTTACATCAAGAGCTGTGCGCATCACGACTTAACATCTACGTATTGAATGAAATAAGCCCGTTATTCGTGATCCTAATGCTCTGAAGGGCTTGGGTTAGTCACGCACTTTTTAAGAAACGAAAGGTACGTTTTACGGCAGATTTACACATAGGCATAGAACGTTTCAAAAAGTGTGGAGGGGGGGGGCAAGCTCAGGGTGGACTTCAGGAACTTTTTCTGGACAGCGAGCCCGATGACCGGGGGGAGGGTAGGGATGGAGGTTGTTATCGCTCTTTATTCAAAGGTCGTGGCTGCTGTGCTAAATATGTATGTAGAGCTGTTTCTCACTGGTGCAAAATCCTGCCTATTCGACTCATCTGTCATTTGGCAAATAGGGCTATCCAGCTTCCCTAGATTATTCGTCCATATTAACTTTGTCTCTGAGGCGAAATTCCACGAACGGGTAGGCATTTTGGGTCATTGATGAAGCACCTATCCCCACAGCGTAGATGCCAAAATACGGCCTGGATATGGGCTGGTGAGAATTTTTAAAGTGGATCGACGGCTCACAGTGTAACATATTTTTCATGCGCCTTCATTTCGCTGGCTGCTTTTCAAGGGATAAGACTTGTCGCAGAATTTTAGGCGGAAACAAATTGGAGAGCTCGAAACTGCTAGAACCAATGTGACAATTGTCATAAAACTGGAGATTCTATTTTAAGAATCAAACCACATAATAAGGCTCACCTGCCATATGTCCCTTATCTGGGTCCTGCTCCTTTCCGCCGTCGGTGGCCAACGCCCTGGCCCGGGATGTCTTCGGCATGAATGACTGCGAACTGATCGTATGGCTGCTTTGTTGCATACTTTTAGATCAGCCTTACTACTACATAGTGCATGAAACATTTCTTGGACACCTACAACAGCATCTTTTTCCGATGGCCTAACGGACACTTACTTGCCCATCATGCAACGCATACAACTTGATCTGCTTTTGTGCCAGCAGGGGCGTAGCCAGAGCCTTGCCAAGGTGGAACACAAGGTTGGCGAAAGCCCATCTTATGGTGATCCCCAAAATCCCCAGATATATTACACGTGACACGGTTTTCATTGTTATTTGTACCTTGTAACCAGAACAGAAACCAGGAGCTGCCGTGAGCTCCATTCTGTGTGTATTTCGAGGTCAATAAACTGTAGAAATCAGGCGTCAAACGACTGCATGAAAGAAATCACTAGCGCTTTTGATTTACAATGGTTAGTTGACTCTTTCAAAACCGATAGAATTCAGATGCTTTGTCAAAATTTTTATCCGCGTTTTACAGACATTGAGGATGTCGCGAAGGTAGATTGTATATCGATATGTTTGATCCAAGTTTGGAGATGAAAATTTGATCGCAGATCGAGTGGTCAACAATGTGTATTAACATCGCCAACTTGGCCATGACGACGACGACGACGACATTACCGTTTTCGGTCAAGGGCCGGAGGGCCACTCCGTCCCATCGCGAAATGTCTTCTAGCTATCATTCTGGTGGCACGGGGCGGGATCTCCTGGTCGATCCGGAGGCCATAAAAGGATATATATCACACTGTTCCCATCCCTGACACGGGAGGCCTTCTGGCCCACGCAGTTAGCCCCGGATCAGTACAGGAACCTCCATTTACGCAACAACATCCCTGATCACCGCAGTTAGTCCGATAGTTGTCACATAGACTCCAGTTCCGTGTTTTTCTGTGTTCTTCAGAGATATTGAGTTATCCTTGACTGTAGATTGTTCATGAAATGGGGTTCCTAATTTGTATTAACATGGCTAACCCATGTTCGTCTTGAAATGCTCAAGATCCTGTCAGAGCTGGTTACTGATAAGACAACTTCGTAATATGGTATTGAACACGCGCGCTCGCAAGTCATAGCAATAACGGCATCGACGCTCGGTGTTGTAGTCTCCAGGCCGTGCGGCGTCGACCTCGCGGCTGTAACATTAGGCGATGGCCGATGAACAAACGAAAAAGATGACGCATCTTAAGGGAGATAGCTGGTGAACTAGGTAAATCGATATGCATGTTTCACGTAGTGCAAAAGTAAGCCAAATGCAGCCTTAATCTGAGAAGTGGTGGCCAGTTAACATTGCTGGTCCCCCACCTTGAAAAGTGTGGGGGCCATGGCCCCCTTGGCCCCCCTGTTCCCACGTCCATGGATCTACATCAATAGCTTTGCGCACCGCACATAAATTGTTACGTTCACGACTTGCAAAGTCCGTCTTTTTGACACTAATTTTACGTAAAGACTCGTGCACGTCACGATTTTGCCTAATAAATGGCATAGATATTTGCATGTACGACTTCATTATGGTTCGTTTACACCACGTCCATTCCTGGCTTACATTCCTCGCCTCCTCCCTTAAAATGATGACTTGCTCATGAGCCTATTGTGTTAAAATATAATCCGCAATCACGCAACTCAGCACACGGAGCATATCTACATGTACGCGATGCGACTCCTCCCAGAGATAGTCCTTATGACATAACCTCACGTGTAATGTGATCTGCCCGGCGCGTAACCCGACCTCCAGCCCCGTCGCGCGCAATTACCCCCACCCGGCACGTGGCATGTCCATCCTGTCTGGCGAGTCACCTTTAAACTGGCAGTTACCGGCCAAGTTTCCGCACCTAGCCGGCGTCTGACAAATGCAGCAAAGAGGGAGAAGAGAGATGGAGAGACATGGTCGAGGAGGGATGGAAACAAAGGGCGCACTGCGGTGCCTCAGCTCTTCGTCGCAGCTCCTCCACTCCGATGCTGGTGGCTGCTGTGGTGGAGCACAGAGCGCGACCTTCCACTGAGAGCTCTCCCAGTCCCAGTGCTGCTCTCTCGCTGAGTCCGCGCTGGTTCCGTGAGTCGTCGTCCTCCCGCTGTCCCTCTAAATGTGACGCTCTAGCCGGTTTTGTTCCGCACGCCCTTCGTTCCATGCTCCAGCCATGAGCTAGATTCCCTGCCATTCGTGTTCATGTTCAGGTCAATTTTGCATGGGCTCTGTTGGCCCGGGACAGGCACGGGCCTCAAACAGCGAGCGCCGGTATGCCCCGTATGGTGCCTGGCCCCGAGGTTTTGGTGTTATGGGGTTTTGCTGCGCATTGATTGGCTGGGGCTCCAGCTCGAGCTCGGGCCTCGCACTTCCCCGCGGGCGGGTGGTTACATCAGCTGGCTCAGGCTCGGACGCCGAACCCGCCCGCGGGCGGGTGGTTACATCAGCTGGCTCAGGCTCGGACGCCGAACCTGCCCGCGGGCGGGTGGTTGCATCAGCTGGCTCAGGCTCGGACGCCGAACCCGCCCGCGGCCGGATGGTTACATCAGCTGGCTCAGTCTCGGACGCCGAACCTACCCACGGGCGGGTGGTTACATCAGCTGGCTCAGGCTCGGACGCCGAACCTGCCCACGGGCGGGCGGTTACACCAGCTGGATCGGCTCTGGTCTGCTGCTCGGCTCTGGTCTGCTGCTCGGCTCTGCACGGGTCCTTTTTGTCGTCCGCTGGCGGTCTGTCGACCCCGGTGCGGCGGACACGCGAGCGGCGAGGGACACGACTCCGCCGGATGCTCCGCTGCCCGGCTGCCTCCTGCTCCCACGCTTTTAGCACTTACGTCATGAAGCGTAGCCATCCCGGGCCACATGCTGCCTTCCCGCCGGGACGTCTCGTCCCGATGATCCTGCTGTCGACCGGACCCGCGGCTGCCCTTCCGCCGCGGCCTGTGCGCTAAGACGCCTCGCCCGGCCGGCTGACCCGCAGCTGGCTTCATGGCTTACATACAGCTGTATGTAATCCGGCTGTATGTGATTTATCCGGCTGCTGTGCAAAGCAGAAAGGAAATGCGACGGGAGCGGAGGGATACAATAGAAACGAAACTGACAAGACAAAATATCATATATACACGGTATTTATTAGTCAGATGTAAGCTCCGCCTCACAACATCGTGACTTATGTATTTGGCCCTTGGCCTATGAGCAGGGCCTTCAAGACCCCCGTTGAGATTTTGGGGAATATTTTGATGAGACCTTTCCAATGCCGTTTTCCGCGAGGCTCTAGACTCCTTAGTTTTCGAGATCGTGCGTGATCTCCGACTGTTGAGGCATTTCCCTCGTAGGACGAAGGTGAACAAAACTCTCGTAGGACGAGGATTATTTAAAGAAGTTTAAAATCGCCGCTGATGAAAAGCATTCAAGACAAAAATACCACGCTAATGAAACATTAACGTAAAGCACAAAAATATAGAAAAATATATGAAAAAACAGCTTTGAATAAAACATTCCAAGAAATGCAATGCTGTGGACAATTTGTAAGGAAGCACGAAGCCTTGAAATTCCCGCGCATGGGAAGGATGAGGAGTCAGGGAGGTCGGAATGTCACCCAACCCGGCGATAAAAGGTCGCACAACACATACTCCGATCGACTGTCCCGCAATACTCCCGTGCATTGCGGATTAGCGTGGCTCGCACGCTGCGCAGTGTTGCCGGACGCCCTCATCCGCTGATGGTTTGCCGACACCGGTCCACTTTGGGGCCGCGAATAAAGCCGATACAGTCATCGATTCGCCCAACGTTGGTCGCGTAAACCAGAGCTCGCTGGCAATGCAGTCAAAATGACCGTTTGCCGCCAGCAAATCCACATCTACCACGCCATCGGAGCGTAGTACTATTTGACGGTTGACAGCTGCAGCGAGGTGACGCCATCCGAGGTGGAGGTGCCCGCAGTTGCGCCCCACGCCGCTGCTGTGTTAGACACGGACTTGTGTCGCCCTCCTGCTGAGTACCCTCGTCCTGGACATGTTCAAAGAACGCAGTCCTCCAAGCGTGTATTTGCATAAGTACGGATATAGTATGCATCAGGCATCACCGACGAAAGCACGCAAGATCACCCGTCACTTCAATGGCCCTAACCAATGGAACAACAAATAAATCAACAGGCCTCTGGCCTTCGCATATTTTGACAACTTGTCTCTATGAGGACCGCCGTGGACCAAAACTCGGCCACCACCATCGCCACTGCGCAAAACTACCAAGCACAACTGGATCGTTTGATTTATCAGCCGCATGCCCGTCTATTTGGCGGTATTCTGAGTTGGCAACGGACGCCAGCGGGCCAGCTGCAGGCCGGTGACGTCATCAGATCTGTCAGCTGGTCCTCTTCAGCCACCGAGCCATGCCGAAGAGCGGCGGCGAGCTGCGGCGGCCACCGGTGGCCGCCGGCAGTGCCGGAGCCGCACCGGCGTCGCGCGCAGGCGCAGGTGCTCGTCCGAGCAGAGCGGGCAGAAGCAGCTATCCGGCAGCGCACAGGAGCCGGTGGGCCGACCGGTCAGCGGGGGGGGGGGGGGGGGGGGAGACAGCGGTGGACTTCTCGTCCGTCGCCGGCGGAGTCGGAGCATGAGAGGTCACATCAGCGCCGCGGACGTGACGTCCCGCAAATGTCCAGGCATCCAGCTGTCGCGCATATCATTCTACACAAAGCGCAACCACAGTCGGGACGGAGTTAGTAACGCCGGGACACGTGGAGCTCTCGAGGCCCCGCGAAGCAGCAGTCGACTGAAGAAAGAGCACTACCCACCACCAGAGAGACACACAGCGAGTCCGTATAACGCAGGGCGCCAGCGCAGCCCGAGGAGCCGCGGCCGGCGAGCCGTCCCGGAGCGCCCGGTCCGGCCGGCGCGGCGGCCGCTGCCGGGGCGCCTCTACGAGTCGAACCGGTCCTCAGGCTCCAAGTCGAACCAGCGCGTCACTCCCGAGGTCAGGTCCATCTCGCTCATGTCGATGTGCAGCTGAAACAGGTTGGGCGGCGCTGCTCAAGGGGCGGGCGGCGGGAATGAGGCGGCACAGAGCGGGCTCGCGGCCAACCGCCGACAGACGACCGCTGTCGGGACGACGGCCGGCTGGTCTCGACACGACTAGGTACACCTGGCCGGCAGCATGCACGAAAGAGAATCGACGACGCTTGCCTTCGAGCCGAGCCGCAACAGCAAGCAGCAGCCCAGCCCGGCGCCCTGTACCACACACCGCACACTGCAGCTGACTCACCATTCCCAGCGTGGGGTTGCGGGCGAATGTCTTCTTGCTGACCACCATGACCTCCAGACGGCGGATCCTCATCTCGTTCAGCCGACCGGAGTACTCCAGCGTCTCGTCGTACACCGGGTCACACTGGTCCTTCAGCATCTGGGACACGGCAGGCGTGCTCACTGTTCACTGGCCCGGGCACACACCTGGGGCTCCCGGGGTTGGCGGCGGGTGAAGAGAACACTTACACGGCACACGCTCCGAACAAGACAGCCACCAGCCGCGAACGCTGGCCTGGGCACACACCAGGGGTTCCCGGGGTTAGCGGCGGGTGAACAGAACACTGACACGGCACGCGCTCCGAAAAAGACAGCCACCAGCCACGGTCACTGGCCCGGGCACACACCAGGGGCTCCCGGGGTCAGCAGTGCGTGGCCGGGCCACTGACACGGCACACGTTCCGAACAAAACGGCCACGAGCTGCGGACGCTGGCCGGACACACGCCAGGGGTTCGCAGAGTCAGTGTCGGCGGCGGGCAGGAAGTGCCTCAAACCGTCTGTGCAGCTAGCGGCGCATGCGGGAGGTGGCACCTCGCAGCGTCTCGCCGTTCGCCGGCCGCGGTGTCGCCGTCTGGTGGCGACCGGCGACGGGACGGACAGACTGTGCTGCTGTCTCTCTCTTCCCTCCCTTTCTCTAACCCCCCCCCCCCCTTCAATAATTCGCCCACTGATTGACGCCGTCGATTAAAAGTGCTACGCCTGCCCTCACTCGCAGTCCCATTTCGAGCAGCTGTCAATGAATTAGCGCACCAATGCACCAAATAAACCCCGCCTGTTACGCTATCATGAAATTTGTCGGCGCAACTGAGCCGCATCGGTAACGTTTCGCGCTCCATTAGCTTAAGTTGTCAAGGCATCATTTCGTGATACGGACCGACGGATCTTCGATCTGCCCCGGCACCGCTCGTCTCACGCTGCACAAGCCGTCTTACTGGAGTGCTACTGGGGTTCAATGGCTGGCCGCCCCGATCGGATGCTTGTCGGCCTTCAACCGGGAGGTCGAGACCTTCGCAGAAGGTTGGCCGTCCCGGGAGAGGCTAGATCTCATCAGGCGGCGTCAGACTTGGCGGAGGGGCAGAATTGCCCAGGTGCTCACAGGCCGCTTAAAATACCCAAGCGCCTCGGTCAAATTAGGGTATCAAAGTTTCAACTACCTGGCGGTCGTAGATCTCTCATTCGATCACGTCAGTCCCATCCGTGATGAGCCCATCAGCTCTGACATATGTTTGAAGATGTCGTCACGTCAATATATACCGGAATGGGAGCGTTGGTGATCTCCCACCAACGCCAAAAACACAGCATAACCAGCTCGCAGTCAATGTTAACATAATATCTAGTTTGCAGCCTTCCGTGAGGTCTATCCTCAAGGACGCCACCACCCTTGATTAGCCAAACCAGCACCAAGTAGTGCCAAGGTTGGTAGCAAAATTAACTTTGCGCAAAGGACAAGGACACATGAAACCAATGCACAGCTCATCTAATCGTGGCTCGTCCGTGTCATCAGCTGTTAAGGCAGTCCCTACGAACATCAAAGCGTGATTCGCTACCGTTAGCAAAAAGACGTCGAGGCAGATAGACTGGCACTGAAGCAGCAAGGCGAAGATGACCGTAAGTTCTGGCCATTTTTGCAAATTTCGTTGTCGATACAGACATGCTGTCCACCTAAGGACTTGCGATTATGACTGGGCTGAACAAATGCAAGTTTCGTTTGTTCGCATAAGACAATCAAGCACAAGTCCCGACATGGTATTGGGATCGGTATCATTAACAAACGTAGCCCAGAATTCCATTCCTCCAAGCCACCCACAACCTAGTGTCATCCCAACGGCCGTGCGAGCACGGCATCGATTTTGTAACGAATGAATCGAAAATGATTCAAGTGAACCCTTTGCGTTTAACGGCGGTTTACTCCCGCCCTTCCCTGCACGTCACGTTGTGAGCGTGGGCTCAACCGCGCGTCACCCCGTACCAGCGACGCGGCTGTTCAATTCAATCAGGCCGTCCGTGCATGCCATCCGGCTGGCCCCGCCCAGGCCGGCTCAGCTCGGCTCGCCGCGGCCTGCCCCATCCCCACCGACGCCTGCCTCCCACGGCCGGCTCTGGCCGGTCTCGGCAGCCGCTCGCCAACACGCCGCCCACGGCGCGCGCATAATCCGGATATTACGACCGGCCAACTTCTCAGACTGCCGGCGGCCGGGAGCGGCCGCAATTTCACGCCGGCGGCGGCGGCGACGGCGGACGCCCCGCGAGGCCACGCGCCGAGGCGGGCGGGCCGGGCCGTCCGCGCGGCGCCGTCGCCGCTCAGACGGCCGGGGGGCGGTGGAGCGGCACCCGCAGGCCGGCACGTCACCGGACCCCGCCGCGGTCATCCGACGCTGCCGACCGCGGCAGGGAGACAGACGGCCGGCACGCTCGCGGGCGTACTGTCTGCCAGCTACATTCGTGCGCAGCCATCACGACGGTCCTCCGTAAGTGACACGAGACGCTAACGAGCCGAGACAAGCCGCCTTTGCGAATACGAAATGAGGATCTTCAATGGGTCGGGCTCCAGCGTCGTCCATCCAGACTGTGAACCGCTGCTGACGCACGTCGCGCTGTCGGCTTTACGGGAAGCGTTCTACATTTGTATGGGGTTTTGAACTGGAACAGCCATCTTGAAGATCATTCGGTGCAGTTCACAGCCCTGCCATTCTTTAGACCTAAGTCCCCCTAGTTTCTGAGTTACACGCTCGCAAAGCCATACAGACTATTTCGTGCAGATTATTTCAAGGTCACCCAGGCACCCATAACACCAAAGTAACGTCATTCAAAAACTGCTATCCCATTGGTCATGTGGCGATCACGGCCAAGGCAAATATAGTTGTTGATTCGCTCATATCTGGCGTTCATGAGCACGATTTCCAAATACAACGGCCGCCAGTCGACTCTCAATCAACGTTATACGAGGTACGACGACACAGTCGCACCTTGTATAATCACAACCGTGACAGTGACGCATTGAGGGGCACAGGGGCACAAATGTTGTGTGGCCTAGTGCAGTCTTTTCCATGTAACAGTTTACCAATAGTTGTAAGTGAGCACGGCCTATCATATCTGATGCTTGATTCGGAATTTTCAAATGTGACGCGTTCCCTTTAATGATACCACCAGACGACCGGCGCTGAACCTTACAGCCCGCCCTCAGGCCTCGACGGCAGGCGTATGTGTGTGTGACGGCAGGCGTGTGTGTGTCGTGAGCACGGTCACCTATCGGCACCACGCTCACGACGCCGCAGGCTGGCCGCACCAGCCGGCAGCCCCGCCTCCGCACGAGCGGCACTCACCCTGGTCTTGCGCTTGTTGTCCTCGGACCGGTCCGGCAGCAGGTACGTCTTGACGTACGGGTCCGGGATGTCGTCGCCCTGCATGGGCAGGCTCCTGCCGGGCGGCGGACGTGCCGTCAGCGGTGACGTCAGCCGAGCGGGCCGGCGGCGGACCCGAGCGTCCATCGGCGCCGGGCCGGCCGGCGCGACACGGCCCCGAGGGGGCGGGGCGACGCCCCAGCCGGCGCGGCGCCCGGTAATGGATCCCTCCCGGCTCCGCGGAGGCCGCCGCCGCCGCCGCCACACCGTCACAGCGATGGCGTAGGTGGCGGCCCGTGCGCCAGACGACAGCCCGGCAGGTGTTAGTGTCAGCGATTGAGTCGCGGCGGGCCTGCAGCCGGTAATGATCTGCCGGGCGAGAAGCTTGAGGGCCGCTGATCTGTTCGTAGTGGGAGATCTAACGGCAGGCTGGGTGCTGCGTCGCCCGGTGTTAAAAACTGAGTCACTTGATCATATCAGCGCAGGACGCCATCGGTAAAAAAACCGTATCGCGAACAATTGCGCACTTGTATAATGCCTTCTAACGTCATTAAGTCAGGGTCAAGTGCTTAGAGCACGTCAACTGACACTTCAAACAGCCCTCAAACAAATGCAAGACTAGCGTCATTTCAGTCGCAAGTTCGCACACCGGTTACTTGAAAGGAGCTCGTACGTCAGGAGACCGGCCTCATCACGCCATCAAACAACAGGTCACGAGGCTCGCTAGGATCCCCTGGGACGTGTCAGCGCGCGCTCCTTCCCGGGAGTCGACATCACCGCACGACGGCATCGTTTGCCATCGAGTCCAGCCTCGACCGCGCTGCCACGTCGCGCAGGTCGTTACCCGCCAAGCAAGAAAGCGCCGGCACACAAGGCCTTCAAGCAGCAATCAAACGGCGCATCCATTTGCAGGGCTCACGACGGGGCTTCGGCGGGACCCTCTCGCCAAGCTGGATAGTCCGTCCGTAGAGAGTCGCGGAGCCCACCGCACACTCACCACGTTTAACATGAAGTCACACGTCCAGTTCCTCTGTCCGATCCGACCCGAGCCCCGGTCTTCCCCACGGGAGCGGCCCAGGCCGAGAGGCCGGCCGTCTGACAGGTACGGTGCAGCAGAGCTCGAGCACGCCCAGGTCACGGTCTTCCCCACAGGAGCGGCCCAGGCCGAGAGGCCGGCCGTCTGACAGGTACGGTGCAGCAGAGCTCGAGCACGCCCAGGTCACGGTCTTCCCCACAGGAGCGGCCCAGGCCGAGAGGCCGGCCGTCTGACAGGTACGGCGCAGCAGAGCTCGAGCACGCCCAGGTCACGGTCTTCCCCACAGGAGCGGCCCAGGCCGAGAGGCCGGCCGTCTGACAGGTACGGTGCAGCAGAGCTCGAGCACGCGCGGGTCACGGTCTGGACGCGGCAGGCGACCGGCGCGGGACGCACGGCGCCCGCCCGCAGCCGCCACCGTCGTCGCAACGCAGTCCCGGTCAGTGGATCCAGGACAGAGCGCCGGAGCGCCGGACAGAGCGCCGCAGTCAGTCCGGGACAGAGCGCCGGAGCGCCGGACAGAGCGCCGCATTCAGGTCAGGGGACAGCGCCGGGGCGCCGGAGAGAGCGCCGCAGTCAGGTCAGGAGAGAGCGTCGGAGCGCCGGAGAGAGCGTCGCAGTCAGGTCAGGAGAGAGCGTCGGAGCGCCGGACAGAGCGCCGCAGTCAGGTCAGGAGAGAGCGTCGGAGCGCTGGAGAGAGCGTCGCAGTCAGGTCAGGAGAGAGCGTCGGAGCGCCGGAGAGAGCGTCGCAGTCAGGTCAGGAGAGCGTCGGAGCGCCGGACAGAGCGCCGCAGTCAGTCCAGGACAGAGTGCCGGAGCGCTGGAGAGAGCGCCGCAGTCAGGTCAGGACACAGCGCCGGAGCGCAAGAGAGAGCGCTGCAGCGTCGGACAGAGCGCCGCAGTCGGGTCACGAGTGACCAACATCGTCAACTGACTCGATAATATCGGACATAGCCCCGGGCTAAGTGGTGACCTCGCCGATAAATCAGGCGGGTTTGGAGCCGGCCCATCTGTCCGTCACTGATGTCTATCATTTTGCCGGCAGAACTGGAGCCGTAGGCGCAGTTTCGCGACCGGACATTAATGGCGACACGGCGGTTTGTGCCAGGGTTGAGTTGGTCGTTTCGTGTTTATATACGGGAAGGCGGTGCTTAACATCCCGGCCGACCGGCCGTTCAGTTCTGTTTTCACGGGGGAAAAGAGGCGCAGGGCCCCGCCCCGATGTGGCGGCGGTTGACAATTGCGCCCCCAGGGGAAGCGGGTTGCCAGGCGCGCCCGGCGCGAGTGCGGCGCTACCATGGCCAGGGCCCGGTTCCGCCGTGTTTTGACGGCCTCGCTGGCTCACGAACGGCGCGTTGCCTGGCATCAGGGATCGATCCAGGGCCGGCCGGCACGGCGGCTCCGGCCACAACTCAACACCGGCCCGACCGTGCTAATCCAATTTGCACAGTTTGAGTCAAACGGGCCCGGTCGAAACCCACCCGACGCCTGTTCTGCCACGGAAACAGGGGTTATAGTTTTGCGCGCGGGTGCATATTATGGGTACAACACTCGCTCAACCACATCCTCAAAAAATCTTAATTAATCATACATTTTTGTCTCAAATATTAGATCTTTGCTGGCAACAACTGCACGGCTCAAAACATGCCCATTCAGGTAGAAACAACTGATTATCGTAGGCGCTTGTATATCGCAAGGCATGTCTGGTTTCATGCCGTGATGCTGAAACTGCGCAGCTCTACTTCAAATCCAGGGCAACGGCCTGGCCTTATGGCGACCCAGAATAGCGCTCCATCGAGACCCGACAGGCGGTCACGCGCGCCCGGCCCGGACATCACGTGCTCCCAGAGCCGGCCTGATGGCGGACATGCGTGTCCGGACGGGGCGCCACGTGCTCCCAGAGCCGGCCTGATGGTGGACAGGCGTGTCCGGACTGGGTGCCAAGTGCTCCCAGAGCCGGCCTGATGGTGAGCAGGCGCGCGCTCGGCCCGGACACCACGTGCTCCCAGAGCCGGCCTGATGGCGGACAGGCGTGCCCGGACAGGGCGCCACGTGCTCCCAGAGCTGGCCTGATGGTGGACATGCGTGTCCGGACGGGGCGCCACGTGCTCCCAGAGCCGGCCTGATGGCGGACAGGCGTGTCCGGACGGGGCGCCACGTGCTCCCAGAGCCAGCCTGATGGTGGACAGGCGTGTCCGGACGGGGCGCCACGTGCACCCAGAGCCGGCCTGATGGTCGACAGGCGTGTCCGGACGGGGCGCCGCGCGCTCCCAGAGCCGGCCTGATGGTCGACAGGTGTGTCCGGACGGGGCGCCACGTGCTCCCAGAGCCAGCCTGATGGCGGACAGGCGTGTCCGGACGAGGCGCCACGTGCTCCTAGAGCCGGCCTGATGGCGGACAGGCGTGTCCGGACGGGGTCTGAGCCGTCGCCAGCAGCGGGGCGCTCAGCGCGCCGGCTGACGGCCTACGATGGTGTGCCAGTGTCACCGAAGACAGGCACTGCGGCGGCAAACCATGGTCAATTTCATGTAACACGGACTTGGAGTTTTGTTGTTGTTAGTAGTTTGTTCGTGCAAGCAGCGAACACTCAATTCTTCATCTCAGTAAAAGAACTCAATCTAATTATACGGACCAAAGCACGCGACCCGTGGACGCGCCGTTACTAGTCATCGACGCTCCGTCAATGCGTTTCCAGGACAACGTCGGCGTGTGATTTCGTAGAGCACTAAGGGTTTGTTCACTCAACTTTTCCATCACCGAGCAACCAGGACTGTGCGCTGCCGTAGTGAGTACTTGCAGCCGGTGGGCACAGCAGCCTGGCGTGTGCGGGAGTCCAGCCCGGGGTCGAATCCAGGTCAAGGACACTTGGCACTGGACCGGTAATCAGCCGAGAGACTCTCCAGCAGCCGGCGCCGACTCTTCGCAACGCCGCGCGGCGACCCTGATTGGCGGTCCGGCGACGAATTCGGGGTAACCCGTCGCTGTCAACCAACCGACTTCGCCTCTGGTCCCATGACAGTATCGCAAGAAAGGTGTCGGCAAGAAAGGGTGATAATGTTAGAGAAGACACAAGTCCGGCAGCGTGGGCAGGGTCTGCCCGGAAGAGCGAACGCCGTACCAGCCTTCCCCGAACGCGTCATGATATCGCGTGGGACGACATCGCCGGAGCCGACCTCAGAGCAGCGTCGCGGCCGACGTCCAATCAGTCCGGCGCCGGACATCATCACGGCTTGTTACTGTTGTGGCGCCATATCACACACGCTGCACCACTGTGTGGGAAGACCTGACCGGCGACAGCCGTTGATTCGACATGGACGACTCGACCTGTCAGGAGAGCGGGCAGCGCTGGACGGCACTCTCAGCTCTGACCGAGGCCGGTGACCCCAGCTCTGACCGAGGCCGGTGCCCCCAGCTCCGACCGAGGCCGGTGCCCCCAGTTCTGGTCGAGGCCGACGCCCCCAGTTCTGGCCGAGGCCGGTGCCTCCAGCTCTGGCCGAGGGCAGCGTCCCCCAGCTCTGACCGAGGCGTCGGCCGTTTCGCGGCCAGCGGTAATGCACGACTCCGTGCGGCGCCGCACCCCGGCCGCCGGCCGTCTAATCCGGCTAACGAGACGACGGCCGCACAAACAGGCGAGCACGCGACTCCGAGCGGCGGCGGAAACGGCGCCGAGCCGGACACGGCACGGTGCCCCGACGCGACGCCGGCGGCCGGCGACGCACGCGACGCCGGCGTCCACACGGCGCACCGCGTCAGACCGACACCCGGACGCGGTCAGGCAGCCACGGCCGCCGGCGGCCGGCGGAGCGAGCTCGAGCCGCTGAGGAGCGGCACCGCCGCCGCCGCCGGCCGCCGGCGGAGCAAGCTCGCGCCACTGAGGAGCCGCACCGCCGACCGTCAGGCGCTGCTGCGGCCTTCCGCTGCCGCCGCCTCCACCGTGCCGTAACGGGCTTGTTTGGCCGAACACCGTGCGATGAATCGGACAGCCAGACCCTGGGACCCCGCTCGGCCAAGCCGGCTGCCCAGCCACATCTGCCGCTCAGTTGACAGGTGACGTAGCCGGACGGAGCCGAGGAGCGCGGCCGGCTCGGGGAGCGTGCTACAAACTGTCCATTTTCCAACTGTTGCTTTTGCGAACCCGACATGAAGCTGCGAAGAGTTATGCCATCAAGAACTTTGTGATGCTTTTATTCACGTTTCACTTCATTATGCAGCCCTTTAAATGCTTTACAAAGCATTCCAAATTTGATCGCATTTTTAACTGACCATGTAACGCGGGCTCACAGGAGCCACTTTGTTGCGAAACGGCGCCGAATGATTGTCACAATACACAACAGTACTCACGAGATCTTGTGGACGACGATGACGAGCGCGCCCCGCGTCTCGCTGTAGCGCAGTGTCAGCTCCACCCGACCCAGCCGGTACTTGCCGGCCGGACTGGAGAGGGGGGTGCGGGTCAGATGACGCCAACCGTGTGTACACACTCGGACGTGCGACAGAGGGATAGCGCCGACGCGGGCGACCGTCACGCTGGGCGAGGCCGACACTTGGGCACCAGGCTCACGCAGACACACACAAGCATGGCGGGAAAGCGATGATGCGCATGACAGCACAGCCGAGTCCCCGCACACAGCCGGCTCCAGATGCTCGGTCGAAATTACCTGCCGATGATAGCATCAGCATCGCCAGTATTCGTCACTAGCGTCATTATCGACATTAGCGTCATCATCGTCATGACATACTAGCTGCAATCTGCGACAGACCTTGCAATGTCTTAAACTTTCGCATAACAAGCTATCACACTGCCCCCCCCCCCCCCCCCTCCCCACCACCTGTCGGTATCCCCTCCCCTTCCCCACCAGGGCCCCGCCCGGGTGAGGAGCGGCCATACCGCACGATCGCGCGCCGCCGGGCGGCCACAGATCCTCCCCAGCCGGCGGCAACAGGCGTCGTCCCGTGGCGAGACGACCGTTACCCGCGGCGGCGGCCGGTTTATGAGCGGGGCCGGGCCGGGTGGGCCGGTGATTCGGGCCCGGCCGAGAGCGCCGCCCGCCTGCTCCCGCCGGGAGAGCAGGGCGGATGAGAGCAGACAGGCAGCGGCGCCGGTGATTCGGGCCCGACCGAGAGCGCCGCCCGTCCCGCTCCCGGCGGGAGAGGCAGGGCGGATGAGAGCAGACGGGGGGCGGCGCCGGTGCGCTCCGTAACCTGACCCGCCGACGGCGTGCCATCGGAGAGCGTCCGTCGCCGGCCGGCCTTCAGAGGCGCCGCCGCCAGCCGGGCTGGACCATCCGTCGTCGCCCGAGCTGGCCGGCGGCTGGCTCGCTCCCGGGCCGGCCCGTGTGGCGAAGCGAGCTCGTTAACCGGCCAGCGCCGCCGGCGCCTCGCAGCCGGGCGACGGCCGGCCGACCGGCGACTCGGCCTGCGGCCGCGGGACGAGCCATGGTTCCGCGGCGGCTGCGGCACGATCGACGACCGAAAGCCGCGCCGTTTGGCCGGCCCAACCCCTCTGACGTCAGAACGCCTGACGTCAGACCCTCCCCCGCGCCCGGTGACGTCAGAGATGTGACGACGTTCGGTCGATGGCCGGGTTCGAGCGAACGTGGGAGGTCCAGTCGGCCGCTGGGACGATCGAGGCTCGCCGGGGCGCGTCTGAAAAGCCGCCCGTCCTCCCCCAGCATTCGAGCCACGGCCCACACACACGACCCCACCGGGCTGCTCCGCTCTCCCCGCCATTCACAGGGTGGACCCCAGTCCCCGCCGGGTACGGCCGTGACAACGTCACGCGCGGGGCATCACCCAGCGCCGACCGCGCGGCGCCGGGGCGATGCGCACTCTGGCGTGTCGAGACGTGCCCATCCGGAGCCGTGGGTGGCCACTCACTTCTCCGGCTTCCTCTGGCGCAGTCCGGACTCGGTGGTGGCCGCGTCTCCGGACAGGTTCTGGATCAGGCTCTCCACCGCCTCCCGCGTCTGTCGCATCCAAATCACGTCAGCCCGCACCAATGCGGCAGCGGAGGGAGCTCAACAACGACCCTACACGCATACGGCCCGGTCCGGGCACACGTCTGAACCACGTGTCAGAACACCCAACCTCTAAGAGGTCGCGAGCGAGACAAAAAATACCCCCTCCCCCCCCCCCCCCCCCCGGCTCGCTCAACACCACGGCGCGAAATGGCGGCAACGCCGGCACCACAGGCAATACGCGCTCGTCGGGTACACTGCCCTCGCGCCGCGGGAGACGGCAGCGCGCGGCGCGGCGGGGTCGAGCGGGCGGAGGCGGTGCCCGGCAACAGGTGGCGTGCTCTAGTTAGCAGCTGCCGGCCGGCCACCTCGCTGCGAGTGAGCCATTAAGCGTGCTACACGGCCCGGTCAGGACCGGCAGCCTCCGTCCGAACGGCCGCCAACGACCACTCCGGCCGAATGAAGCGGACGTAAATGACAGCGGCGGCCGGCAACGACCTGACAGACGGCTCGGGCAGAGAGTGGCTCCGAGCGCCCAGAGCTGAACAAGGCTGGCCACAGTACGCCGCATAGCGAGCGTGTGGCTCGAACTGCCCACAGGTGAACGGGCTCGGAGCCCACAGGTGAACGGTATTGTCCGGGCAAGGAGAGCCCACAGGTGAACGGTATTGTCCGGGCTCAGAGCCCCCACAGGTGAACGGTATTGTCCGGGCTCGGAGCCCTCACAAGCGAACGGTATTGTCCGGGCTCGAAGCCCCCACAGGTGAACGGTGTTGTCCGGGCAAGGAGCGCCCGCAGAAGAACGATATTGTTCCGGCTCGGAGCCCCCACAGGTGAACCGTATTGTCCGGGCTCGGAGCCCCCCACAGGTGAACCGTATTGTCCGGGCTCGGAGCCCCCCACAGGTGAACCGTATTGTCCGGGCTCGGAGCCCCACAAGTGAACGATACTGTCCGGGCAAGGAGCCCCTACAGGCGAACGGCATTGTCCAGGCTCGGGGCGCCCACAAGTGACCGCTACTGTCCGGACTCGGAGCGCCCACAGGTGAACGGTATTGTCCGGACAAGGAGCGCCCACAAGTGACCGCTACTGTCCGGACTCGGGGCGCCCACAGGTGAACGGTACTGTCCAGACTCGGGGCGCCCACAGGTGAACGGCACTGTTCGGGGTAGGAGCGCTGGCAGGTGACCAGCGCTGGCCACAGCAGACTAGCTGCTGGCGATCCCAGCGCTCCGCAGCGACAGCGCGCGTGCGCCGGCGCCAGCTGCGCCACGGTGACCCAGTCACTGACCTGGGCCGGCACCGGCTCCGGCCGGGCCGGCTCCCCCGCCGCCGGCTCGGGCCGCGCCGGACTGGGTGCCGCCGCGTCCCCGCCGCCCGTCGTGTTCCCGTCGCCTGTCGACACAGCGGACGTCACAGGATAGCTGACAATCGGGCGGCCCAGTGACAGGCCGTGCCGTGCCTCAGCCAGCACCTGGCCAGGCGAATAATTCTGCTTCTACACAAAAATCGGCGGATTCTCGTGCCGTGCAAAGATGGTTAGTGATAACGTGCAGACTCCAGAACCAGTTGACCCGAAGTGCCTAGTCCCGTTACTGCCGACTCTAGGCCAGCTGGAAACTGCGGTCTCGTGCAACCTGCGCACAAAAGTACCCTCACGGCGCTCTGGAAATAGAGTCGTCATGCCCCGGCGGACAACATTTCCCCACAAAGCAAGCATCGACCACGGAAGTCGGCCGACGTCAAGCGATGACACCATAATCCGCAAACACCGGGGTGCCCGACACTCGCACAATGGTCTCCATGGAGACCGATGGCTGCCGACGACAGCCAGCGGGTCGATTAGCTGCGGCGGCGTCCTTGAACCCGGACGTCTCCCGCCCCCGGACGGCGGGTGACACACGCCAGCGGGCCGCCCCGGCCGGGCCAGGTCCGCCCGCCCACGCGGCGCCGTCCACCGTCGGGCGTGTGAAGCCCGCGGCGGGCCAACGCGGTCAGGCGGGGCGGCGGCCGGCCTCGCGCCGGAGACGGTGCGTCGGCGCCGGCGGACGCGCTCGGCAGGACGCGGGATGGCGCTGAGAGCTCGGAGGGGGCTGGGTGCGCGAGAGGACGTTGTGGCGACAAGACAGAACCGTGGCCGGGCGGAGCGAGTCGAAGCGGTGCGAGCGGTCAGAAAACAGAAGCGGGACGGAAATCGGAAAAAGCGGATAAGCGGGACGGAATTCGAGGGGTGAGAACGATGGAGAGAAGGGGGAGGGGACGGGCACGCCAGCTGTGGTCCGGTCAGACCTCTGAGAAAACGACAGGTGGGGCGGGAGACTTGCTTAGGGTGTTAGAGCCTCCGAGCACCGGTCAGGACACCGGCCAGCAGGCCAACTGAATGGAGGTTGGCGGAGGGGACGGCAACCAAACCGGAGGGAGCTGGGACGCGAAGATGGACAGCAGACCCACCCGATGGTGTAGGCGCCGGCGCCACGGGCTGATTCTTCAGAGCAGACGGCAGACTGGCATCCAAGTCATCTGTGTTCTCCACCTTGTCGTGCGTCAGAATCTGGCGAGCAGCACAGAAGTCAGGGGCAGACCGGACACAGAGCAGCACCACAGGGCGCTGCTACGGCAGGACGCCCACCACCTCAACACACATGCGTCGGTTCGATCACGGCGCAACAGCGCCACATGGCGCCACCGCAACCGGCCCCTTCCAATCGTCCCCTGACCCCGTGACGACGCGGCTCGGCTTGATGGGCGGTCGTGGCGACCCCGCCGCGCCGACGACCCGCTCCGAGGCCCGCGGCGGAGACGGCGGGCGGGCTGGCGAACCGCCCACCGCCGCCGCTCGTCCTCATCGCGAGCGATGGCGATGGCGACGGCGGCCGCGTGCCGTGCCGTGCCGCCAACCGAGGCAATCAGGCTGGCCGGCCGGGAGCGCGCGGCACGCGAGCCGGGCATCCCACCGCCACCGCCGGCGACGATCGCTCATCCCGCCAGCCGGCGGTCACGCACTGACGCCGCGGTCGCAGGCAATGGGCACCCCCGCCCCCCACCCCCTCCAGAGTGCGGCTCGGGTGCGGACAAAGGAGGTCGCGCCGTTGTGAGAGGGGGGCGTGCGGACAATAGGCAAGGTACACAGACGGTGAAAGAGAAGGGGAGGGGCGGAGAGTGAGAGGGAAAGAGAGAGGGGAAAGAGAGAGAGATGGAGAGAGGGGAGGGGAGAGAGGGAGAGAGGGAGAGAGGGAGAGAGGGAGAGAGGGGAGAGAGAGGGAGAGGGAGAGAGAGAGAGAGAGAGAGAGAGAGAGAGAGAGAGAGAGAGAGAGAGAGAGAGAGAGAGAGAGAGAGAGAGAGAGAGGAGAGAGAGAGAGGAGAGAGAGAGAGAGAGAGAGAGAGAGAGAGAGAGAGAGAGAGAGAGAGAGAGAGAAGAGAGAGAGAGAGAGAGAGAGAGAGAGAGAGAGAGGAGAGAGAGAGAGAGAGAGAGAAGAGAGAGAGAGAGAGAGAGAGAGAGAGAGAGGAGAGAGAGAGAGAGAGAGAGAGCAGGATTAGAGAGAGAGAGGAGACGAGAAGAGAGAGGAGAGAGAGCAGCGAGAGGGGAGAGGGGGAGAGCAGATTGAGGAGAGAGCGCGTCGAGAAGAGAGAGCAGAGGAGAGAGAGAGAGCAGCGAGAGAGAGAGAGAGCAGCAGGAGAGAAGGTAGAGAGCAGCGAGAGAGAGAGGAGAGCAGCTTAGGAGAGGAGAGCAGAGGAGAGAAGAGAGAGAGCGAGAGCAGGTTGGAGAGAGAGAGGAGATAGAGGAGAGAGAGAGAGAGAGAGCAGCGATTGGGAGAGAGCGAAACAAGTGATGGAAGAGAACGGCGGAAACCTGTTCTGAATTGGCGGAACACGTCTGGCAGCTGTGGGGATCAGTTGCTCATAGCCTTTATCGCTAGAATTCCCCCGTTACAGTGCCTGAAACTTCAAGGCTTCCTTCTCTCTTCCTGTTTTTGTTTTTTTTTATTTAGTGCCACACATTGCCTGCGTCGTTGGATTTGATCGATGAGCCCCCGGGCGTCCCAGCATTTCTTGTTTACACCGACCACGTCTCCAAGTGGTCACAGCTGCGGATGACTTAACTTCAGCTTGTTAGCCAACCAAACATAATCCAATCAGTAGTAAACCTTTTAACAACCCATCCAACGCCGTACAACGCACGACGGTGTCAGACGCCTCCTCTTAAAAGGAAGGAAAAAACTTAAAAACTTAAAAACTTAAAGCTCTCGGTTGGAGGCATCCACACGCGGTGGTGTGTCCCCAATCTGCCGTCCGTCCTCACCGCCGCTTCAATGACGTGATTTGGATTGGAGGCATCCACACGCGGTGGTGTGTCCCCAATATGCCGTCCTCACCACCGGTTCAATGGCGTGCTTTGGATTGGAGGCATCCACACGCGGTGGCATGTCCCCAATCCGCCGCCCCCGCCGCTGGTCCTATGACGTGACCGTTCGACTGAATGATCACCATACCACCGGGGCAGCTGGCCATCAATCTACCGCCTGACTCAGGGCTCGCTCACCAGCAGCCGGTCAGTTCGACAGCATGGGCCATAACTGGGAGCAACGATGAACTGGATAACCCGTATAAAATGGGTGCCTCGAATGACGAGAAAGATGATTCGAACAGGCATCCAGTCAGCCGAGACATACACCAGGAAGCCCAACTGATGATCACGGTCCCGCACGTACCCGCAGCTGCATGGAGAGAATGACCTTGGAGATCGGTCCGGAGTCCTTCAGTTGATAGGGGTTCTCGTGTACCTCCAGCTTGGTCTCACGCAGCAGATCCTTCACCTCCATCTGAAGGTGACCCAGCCGACGGTCCGTGGTGCTGTCCATCACCTGACGGTCAGGTCGGGGGTCAGGTGTGCTGCCCACCACCTGGAGGTTGGTCGCTGCTGTCCACCAACTGAACTTAGGTGGTGCTGTCCACCACCTGAGGTCAGGTGGTGCTGTCCACCACCTGAGGTCATGTGGTGCTGTCCACCACCTGGGGTCAGGTGGTGCTGTCCACCACCTGAGGTCATGTGGTGCTGTCCACCACCTGGGGTCAGGTGGTGCTGTCCACCACCTGAGGTCATGTGGTGCCGTCCACCACCTGGGGTCAGGTGGCACTGTCCACCACTTGAGGGTCAGGTGCTGCTGTCCACTACCTGGATATCAGGTGGTGCCGCCCACCACCTGGGGGTCAGGTGCTGCTGTCCACCACCTGGGGATTAAGTGGTGCTGTCCACCAGCTGGGGGTCCTGGGTGGTGCTGTCCATCAACCGGGGGTCTGGTGCGGCTGTCTACAATCTGTGGGTCAGGCCTGAGCTCTGAGATCACCTTAAGGTACGCAATCACCTGTTTACTGGGATAGATATGGGGGCTGAGCATCGCCGGCCAGGGGCAGGAAGTCAAGCAAGGCTGTGAGGCTTCTCGAGCATTTTTGGAGCCAACAAACCCATGATAAACTAGTTTCAGCTCCGTGTTCATACCAGTTTTACCCATTTCGAAACAATCCACCGACCCAAACCTTCTTAGGTCACTAGTAATGGCATCTTCCTTCAGATTACGCTGACCACATTTGAAGCTCGGGCGTCTCATTATGTGCGTCGGTCGCAGAACTCATCTTCATGCTCGGTAACATGTACAAAATCAACATACGTCTAGGCCATTACTGTCTGATGCCATTTGAAACACTGAAGGTTGCTGGCGAGATAAGCTGATGTCATATGACAAGCGCTATTCAACGTCGTTTGTCTGATTGATGTCTGATAGTCGCGCCATGACTACATCGTTAAAAAGCGGGCTGTGGTCCTTGCAGATTCGTTTACGTGCCATGCGACACCGTCTTCACAATGCGTTATATCCGGTAGCAAACGTCAGTATGTTTTTTTTTTCAATAACGCACCAGTTTCGATCAAGACAAACAACGAACGGCTGCACTCCCACTCATATCGATAATAACAACACACCAGCGAGATTGCCACGACACCCAGCCAAATGACGCCCTATATCCAATATGTCAGACGATGCTCACGTGCTGTGGTTGGGACGGACCCACCCATAATCGCTGACGTATCGTCAGCACCCGTGCAAGCAAATAGACTCATCCAGTAACGGATCAATACGTCATTACCGTCCTGTGTAGCAGCCCGTTGGCGCTATCCTGCTGGCAGGCCGCATTCCGGAGCAGCTGGGCCGGAGTCCTGAACACGAGTTTCGCAAACCAGCATACCAATGACGCCTTCATTCGAGCACTCTACTTTTGTGCACATCCTCGTACGCTACATGGGTCAGTCCATCGCCGGATGTTAACCAAACTGCAGTCGGCGGTAACTGGCCATGGGCGAGCGCAAGCTTCACTCCGCCCTGGTCAATGAAAGAGGAATTTACAACATGCGCCGCCTTCCTGTCCATCGCTCATCTCGCCAAAGCGAAGTGAGACGTTGCCAAGGCAATAAAGCGTCTCTGACGTCCCTACCCAAAGGCATTGCCTCGCGAGGATGAGACGAGATGAAGCTCAAAGGACGTGACGTGCATTGCAGACGAGAACCTCATCATTTTCAGAAAGCGTGCAGCCACTGGCCGACAAGAACTGAGACGAATTTTGTGTGAGGGCGTATATTCGTACGACAAATCCGGTGCTGGGAGAAAGTCCAACCTCTTAAGCCATCAAGATTGGCGAGTATTGAAAAAAATAGCAAATAGGGCATCAGTTGTAGACAAAAAACTGGTCCGAGAGAGGGAAATTTTGTGTCTCACGCATAAGCGCGTTGGTGGGTGTCGAAAAGATAACAAATAGAGCAACGGCTGTGACAGGAGATTGGCCTATTAAAGACAGTCCAGAGATTCAGGGACAGAGTGAGATCAAATCGCTTGCGTAAGGCATGTTCTACTCTGAGGCCCAAAAGGTTGGTCAGGAAGAAGTAGTCCGGCGGGAATCCCCAGCCGTCACACTTCTGCGCACTTCTCCGAGCACCTCACGGCAAATGCATAGGTCAGATATGTCAAAATCCTTTTCTACCACACACAGGCCGCCGGCATCAGCGACGTCTGGTGGTCTCCGGGCGGTTGGGCTGGCCCCGTTCGGAGGCGGGCATGGGCGCACACAAACCTCCAACGTCAGTGTCTGCGTCAGCGGGTTGGTGACCAGGAAGCTGAAGCCCTCTTCCCAGACGGGGTCGAGCGTGCGGTACTTGCAGCTCGTCTCTTCCTTCTGGCTGCCGAGTGTCAGGCGCACCAGGGGATTCGGCTCAGCCGCCGCACGTGACGCCATCTGTTGACAATACGGAAAGCTCAGTTTCGCACCAACGCTCACAGACGGCGGGACAAGAGCGCAGCGGACTCCCCGCGGGCAGACGGAATCGCCGCCGTGAGGGTCGTGCAGACGACTCACCGGCAGTTTGGTGGCCGAGTCTATGAATACGGTGAGCACGGACGAGTTGAGGCCGGAGTGGTCGAACGCCGACAGGTCCTCGATCTCGTTCAGTTGCTGGAAAACACGCGTCGCGTCTGTCAGCGGCCGAGCGACGCGCACCGAGATCCGCCGCCAGCCCAACACGCTCCACGTGATCGATAGCAGACGTTCGAACTTGAACAGTAGTCTCACTTCCTGTTATTCCCATTACTAGAATGTCGTGAATCGATGACCGCGACAGGCCTGCGGCGGAGCTCTGGCGCAGTTCGGGTCGTTTTCATAATGGAAACTGCGACCGCACGTCTTACTCATCACATGCATGCCACGTGCACGCCGAACATTTCAGATGAGTAAAGCCGGTTTGTTTCAAAGCACAACGGCGCCGGACTCCACCCACAATGTTGAACTGCACCCAACGCCAGTCACTAGAGATGCAGTGTGAATTCAGGGTTGGGATAGCGTATACTGCCCCAAAGTACCTTAATATGCAGATAGTTCGCTTCCAGAAACACTTCTTGATTTGTGATGAATTTGGTCAGCTCAAGCCCTGTCATTCCAAATCAGCTGCTAGAAATAAGAAAATCCCAAAGGGAATGCTCCTTGCGGTCCGCCAGGTAGCAACCGGTTTTGGGAGTTTTCGCCTGTAGTTTCGTGCCATTTGGGATTGGGTCTTGAGCCTTGGACACTTCATAACGAACCTTGTTATAAATGATCGCGCAAATGTAATGCCCCAGTGCAATAATTGGGCGCTCCAGGGGGTAATAACGGGGAACAAGTTACTGCCGCCGCGCCGCGCCGTGCCGACTCCGCGCTGTCATAGGGGTTATTTTCAGTCGTCGGTTGGCGGGCAGGCCATCCATATGGATGCTGAGGGGCAGGTACGAGCTGGCAGTGGACACGCCAGCTCGCTAACATTGAACGAGATTTGGTAGGTGGAGTGCCAAAAGGTGTCCCTTCCCACCGCGCCACTCACTCATTACATTTCGCCAATGCCGAGACTGCTGGCCTAACGACCCACGGCCGCGTGCCTACAGGCCATGATGGCCTAGCCACGTGCCTACGCTACAGGCCAAGGTGGCCTGCAACACTGCTGCCCATGGCGATTACCAAGGTGGCCTGAGGCACCGCTGCCTGTGGCCATTACCCATTCATAAACGAAATGTACAGCATCGGGCAGAAAATACAACTCGGAATGCCGTAGTCGCTCTTATCTGGCTTCAGATGCCCTCCTGCTCATCCCCGTAACTGCACCCGGCCCACCCGGTCTGGTGCACCATCCTGCTGGCTGCCCCTCGTCCCCTGCCTGCCTCCCTCCCTCCCGGCATTCCCACCTCCTTGATGTCGGCCACGCGGGTGGAGAGGTTCAGCCAGTCCAGCTGCAGGTGGATACGACCGCTGCGGGCCTGCTCCAGCGGCACCCACTGCCAACGAGGCGCCAGTCACCACACCGCGCTGACGTCAGCACATGACCCCAGTGTACACAGACACCGGCCAGACACGGTATACAGGCCAGCACGCGGCGCCAGTCATCACGCGCACAAGGCGAGCACACAGAGTAGCGACGTGCCCACGGAACCGTTCTCAAGACAAGACCCTCAGGTCAGCACAACAGAGGCCACAGCAGGGCACAGGGGCTCACAGGCGGCCCGAATGGAGGTCACCAGGCACCGCCCACCGCCGGCGAGCAGTGTCAGCCTCCGAACAGTGGGGCAGGGCGGTCACAGATGTCCAGCGGGGTGGGGCAGAGAACTATGTGTGTCTGGTGCCCGTGCCTGGTGTCTGGTGCCTCAACACAGCCTGCAGCGGCGTACTGGTGTGGCCTGGGTTCACAATGAACCGATCTGCTCCTGGCACGGGCCTGATATGTCCATTGTACATTGTTGTCATGTTTAGTGGTGCCTATGATATCTGACGGTGCTTGCAGGATCTATGAAACGTTACTTAATAATATATGTATGCATACTCAATAATAAAATAATATACGTATGCATATCCAACGTGAGCTGAATGAGGTTAAATGCCGTTAACGACGGTCACGATCCAAAATGAGCTGACTTCAGAATACCCTGCCACAGACGTGAATCGACCGGTGGTTTCATGCCGAAGACATGCGTCAGTATTCCAAGAATAGTCCACGCTATCGCCACGTCGCGCTGCAAGCGTGCGACGTCTGTGCCTGCCCCGCTTCTCGCCCGGCGCCGGACGGACAGCCCCACCCTGTGAGGGTCGTCCAGGAAACGTGAATAAACCAAGCCCTGCGCACGCCCGCTTAGTCTACCACAAGCCACATGATGGCACAATGCGGCGTTCTCCGTCAGGTAAAAATGGAAGAGGCGAAAGAAAAAAGCGGAGCACACAAGCGGTAGTCAGTAAACAGGTGGCGAGAGACAGCCCAGGCCTGTTTTGTACACAGACAACAATGAGTGCACTTGGCACCGGGCCAGGCGTGTCCGCGGGCCGCTGTGGGAGTCCCATTGTCCCCGCACTACAGGCATCTGCAAAGCGCAGACAATGTGTTTGGACTCAACCGGCCACCGAATTTGCCATGCGTTCGACTTAGAAACAGAGCTCATACACCCCACGGGGCAGAATACTGAGAAGAAAACGCAGGACTGCTGTGAGCCGGTTCCGAACTGGACCCGGCGCCGCGCCGTACGCCAGAGGCGCGCGGCGCGGCGTCAGAGGTGTCTAGCCGGTGTCAGAGGTGTACAGTTGGTGTCAGAGGTGTACAGACAGCGTCAGAGGTATACAGTTGGTGTCAGAGGTATACAGACAGTGCCAGGGGTGTACAGTCGGTGCAAGAGGTGTACAGCCGGTGCCAGAGGTGTACAGACAGTGCCAAATGTGTACAGCCGGTGTCAGAGGTGTACAGTGTCAGACGTGTGCAGTCGGTGTCAGAGGTGTCCAACCGGTGTCAGAGGTGTACAGCCGGTGTCAGAGGTATACAGTTGGTGTCAGAGGTGTACAGACAGCGTCAGAGGTGTACAGCTGGTGCCGGAGGTGTACAGACAGTGCCAAAGGTGTACAGCCGGTGTCAGAGGTGTAAAGCCCACGTCAGGCCTTGGCTACGGCAGCCTTCGGCGGCACTCACGATGTCCTGGGAGCCGGCGGCCACGATGTCCGCCACGTCCAGGCTGCATCTGCGGGTCGGAAGGCACAGTCGGCAGGTCAGGCTAGGCCAGGTCAGCGGTGGAGGACGGGCTGCCGCGGAGCGCAGCCTGGCTGGTGTCTGGCACGCGCAGTTGAAGCCGGCAGGGAAGCGCCGTGATCGGGGGGTCTCTGACACGACCGTCGGCCGAGGCTCGACGCGATAAACCGATGTCACAGAGCATTCAGAGAGCTGACGGGCCGGCAAAGGGAATGCTTTAGCTTCCAGCGCAAGATTGCAAGCGTTTCGGACCTCAGCTGACTTACGGGACGCACATCTTGATTGTCGATGACGTACGTTAAGACCATGTCACCACGTTAGTCGACAGTGCAATGGAGGTACACGCCAACACCAAATAAACCAGCGGATGCAGAAAAACGTGCATTCACCCGCATGACAACATAAAAGCACAACACGTTATTTGATCCACATTGCAGCCAAGCCGGTGCACAAGTAGCAGCTTCCCCCACCGACACGTACAGCGGCCAGCGCAGCCGCCGAGACCGATACCCGCGGCAAGAGGGACGGCCCACAACCCAGAGCCGGGAGGGGGAGCGCAGCGCGATCCCGGCCCCGGGCCCGCGCCGTTACAGCCGGGCGCAGGCCGTAAGCGTTAGCAGGGCAGCAGAGCGGCGCGCGATCGATGGGCGGCGGCTGAGGGGGACGCCTCCTGCCCGGCGCCGGCGGCGGCCACGGGTCACAGCCGCGTGGCAGCCGGCTTCAACACAACACACGGCACGCGTTGGTACAAAATACCTCGGAGCGTGTCGAAAGACCGCGCTGGCGTCGCATTTCTTTCCGAAGCCTTTGTCACGGCTGTCAAGCCTTTGTCATCTTGCGCTGGTTTAGCGGACTGGGCGCCATGATCGCTGACCAGGCACATCACCGCCGGGGCAACGCTTGTCGGGGCCCGCCGGCAGAGCCCCGAGGTGGGTCAGACTCCCCAGATTAGGCCATGCCAAACCCCTGGGACCATTCCGCCAGGAACGCCGCCCGTCAGGGACTCCCGTCAAGCATTCTCCTACAGACGTAACCTATTTGCAGCTACAGATAATAATTTACAGCTACATTACTTACAAACGATTCCCCACAGCTGCAAATAATACGAACCGCATGGCAAATTACTACCCATCGCGTTTTTTCGATCATGTTCTTAACTATGCCGCCATTTGCCCCTGCGTAAGGTTTCTCATCCGGTGTCATCGCTCCTGCCGCGTAAAAAGAGCTAGTTCCCGCTTGATGTCTTGTTCCCTCGACATTGGGAACAAGACAGGACCAGAACCAACCATACCGCGTGACACGCTAGACCAGACCAGACCAGACCAGACCAGACCAGACCAAACCAGGACCAGAACAGACCAGACCAGACCGGGTCATATTAGATTAGATCAGATCAGACCAGACCAGATCAAATCAGACCAGACCAGACCAGACCAGACCAGACCAGACCAACCAGATCACATCACATCACATCACATCACATCACGAGACCAAGCCACGTCACACTTGGCTTTACCAGACCGAAGACTGCCTAACAATACAGCGCCACGGCAAGCGGGCCCAATACGACCGGACCAGACTTCAGCAACCACATTTAACCAGGCTGGGCACAGACGGCGAGGCTAATGACGCTGCACCCCTAGCAGGCAAAGGATACCCCGTGCATGACGTGTCCAGGGGTCACCCTTGCACGCCCCAGAGCGGGTTGCCTGCTGCCACCCATTTGCTGGGCCGCATGTGACGTGTTGGCAGCCCAGTCCGACACGGATCGCCTGGCCTTCGTCACGGCGGCTGGCCACCCGACCCGGTGGTGGATCGGGACGAGCGAGACACGGAGGTCACCTCACGTACGCCCTCCGGCCCGTGAGATACCGGCATCGCTGTCGGTCGTCGCTGCGGCCGAGCTGCGCACGCGGCGCTGCGGCCGCGCTGGCCAGACCGCGCGCCAGGCCGGCGCGGTGGCAGCGGCCGGACCGGTCCCACCACGGGGACCGGTCCCACCGCGGGGACCGGTGCGGCCGGCTGGACAGGGCAGACAACACACGGCGAGTCCCCGACGGCCGGCCGACCTTCCTGCCAGCCGGCCTGCCCGCCTGCCGGTCGGACGGATAACCTGCCAGCCCGGGCAAAAAAAGCACAACGCGACATCCGGCCAACAGCAGGCCAGGTATCGACCGGCCTCGACTGTCTCGACGCTCTGCTTGGGAAAACACCGGAGCACGGTGACCGTGACGACCGGCGCTCCACCGGGGACAGCACCGGACCCAGGCGCACGGTGACCGCGACGACCGGCGCTCCACCGGGGACAGCACCGAACCCAGGCGCACGGTGACCGTGACGACCGGCGCTCCAACGGGGACAGCACCGGACCCAGGCGCACGGTGACCGTGACGACCGGCGCTCCACCGGGGACAGCACCGGAGCGCGGCGCACGGTGACTGTGACGACCGGCGCTCCACCGGGGACATCACCGGACCCAGGCGCACGGTGACCGTGACGACCGGCCCTCCACCGGGGACAGCACCGGAGCCAGGCGCACGGTGACCGTGACGACCGGCCCTCCACCTGGGGACATCACCGGAGCCCGGCGCACGGTGACCGCGACAACCGGCGCTTCCACCGGGGACAGCACCGGAGCCAGGCGCACGGTGACCGCGACGACCGGCGCTCCACCGGGGACAGCACCGGAGCCAGGCGCACGGTGACCGTGACGACCGGCCCTCCACCGGGGACATCACCGGAGCCAGGCGCACGGTGACCGTGACGACCGGCGCTTCCACCGGGGACAGCACCGGACCCAGACGCACGGTGACCGCGACGACCGGCGCTCCACCGGGGACAGCACCGGAGCCAGGCGCACGGTGACCGTGACGACCGGCGCTCCACCGGGGACAGCACCGGAGCGCGGCGCACGGTGACCGTGAAGACCGGCGCTCCACCGGGGACAACACCGGAGCCAGGCGCACGGTGACCGTGACGACCGGCGCTCCACCGGGGACAACACCGGACCCAGGCGCACGGTGACCGTGACGACCGGCGCTCCAACGGGGACAGCACCGGACCCAGGCGCACGGTGACCGTGACGACCAGCGCTCCAACGGGGACAGCACCGGAGCTAGGCGCACGGTGACCGCGACGATCAGCCCGCGGCACGTGCCCCATAAGCCGCGAACAACCCCCGCGATGATGACGATGATGATGACTTGGAGTTTTCGGGCGAAAGAGGGCATGACGACAGTGGGATGAACAAAAGATTTCATTACGTTGTGAGGATGTTGGCGTGGCCGGAGTTTTTGGGGGAGAGAAGTCATGACGACAGTGGGACGAACAGAGGATTTCGTTACTTTGTGAGGATGATAACGTGGCCGTTGCCCGCAAAAGGGCCGCCTAGTCAGGCTGATAGCAGACAATGTCCGAGCCATCCCACTCCCACCTTCCCTACGACCTGAACAGCGACACAGCATGACCAAAAGCTACCGTGAGCTGTTAAATTATCCAGTTTGCAGCGATGTATGTTTTCAGCATTTCCGACCAGCGCAAGCAAAACTAAGCAGAGCTTGCGTCGAAATGAAGTGGACATACGGATGCAGCGCCGCAGCAATGGTAAAACAGCCTTGTTACGCTCGAAAACAACGAACCTTGTTACCTTGTTAACAACTGAAAGTAAAGCGGCCGGCCTGAAGCGAAAGGAGGCTACTAGTGCGGTCAGGAGCCCATCGGATGAGGTGAGAGCACACAGACAGGCGGGGGACACGGCACGGCACGGCACGGCACGGCACGTCACGGCACCGCACGGCACGGCTGCCGGCTACCTGCCCAGGAAATCGTCCTTGTCCAGCTTACTGGCGTCCCAGTCCCACAGGTCAATGCGGGCCCGGACGCCGTCCGGCCGCAGCAGCGGCGCCTGTCGGACGGGGCAGCCCGGTCAGTGACCCGTCTATCGCTCCACCACAGCCGGAGAGCGCCTAGTCAAGAGAGCCGCCGTGGCAGTTGCCGTGGCAGGTGTGCTGCCTAGCACACCTGCCACGGCAACAAAAGCCGAAACAATGTCCGCGATCGGTCTGGAATGCGAGACCCTGCTGACACTGACCGAAGCAACGAACCGTGAAAAAGTGCGGTGGCGGAACTCGAACCCGCCGATCGGCGGCTGTGAAAGTAACAGTCCGCGCCTCGCTTTGGACCAACACCCAAGCAACCAGAAGGCGACGGCCACCGTCCTGTCGCGCGGCCTCTCGGTCGTCCTACAGTCAACAGACCCAGCGCTCGCCACCTGCGGTGACAACGCGGCCTCTCGGTCGTCCTGTAGTCAACAGACCCGGCGCTCGCCACCTGCGGTGACAACGCGGCATCTCGGCCGTCGCGACGGACCCACACACGTGCTGCCCGGGTGCCGCACGTGGCGGGGCATCGCACGCGCAGCAGCGCCGTGACAACAATCAACACGTGTCTGCACAGGTGTCGATTGGAGCCGGCACGACGCCGGGGCTGGCCCGGCCCGCACGCTGCAATCAGCGGCAGGTGCGCTCGCTCCGAGCGCGGTCGATGCGCCTGTGCGCTGCGGCGCGTTGGCGGGGGCCGAACGCCAGCCTGGGTGGGACCGGCGCCCGCCGCCGCCGCCACCCCGTCCGGAGAGGACGTCGGTCGGGACGGCGATCGGGCGCGGCCGGCTACAGCGGCACTGGCCGCCCGAGCACAGAGGCGGCTGCCGCCGGGCCGGCCAGGTATGGCGCCGCCGGGACAGACCAGGCAACAGCGGCGGGCTGCGCGGCGGCCAGCGGCCAGCGGCCAGCGGCCAGCCCAGCAGCGATGCGCTGAACTCCCGGGAACAGCGCAGACTGCTGGGCGTCCGTTGTGATGTGGAGCGGCCTAGCGTTCGTAGAGTGGTTCACAAGAAAACTGCGCGGTAGAGGTTCGATTCAACGAGTTGGACAATGACAACCGACAATAGGTCTACAGGTGTTTTTTCATAGATATTTTTTGCAACGCAGGTACTGCAAATCCCATCATACCAACCAATGAAATAATGCACACGCATGCTTTAATTCCAGAAATCCACATATAGATTGCCACCAATAAACAAAAACTCTATTTCATTGCATTACAGGCTATTCAAATAACCAAAAACGACCCAGCAAGTAACCGGTGATACTGTCAAAACACAGAACAGCCCAAACTAACGCACGGATCAGTATGTATAGCCAAGAACTCAGGACTGAAAATGCTCCCTCCGAGGCCCTCAAAACATACCGGATCCAAAACTCAACAGAAAAAGTCTTCGCAGCCTGCTCACGCTAAAAATACACCCCTCCTCAGAGGCGAGCGCACCCCTCCACGTGCCCCGAATGTCCCCCAACCAACCCCCGGCTGTCACCGAACCGGCCCCCGGCTGTCTCCGAATCAACCCCCGGCTGTCTCCGAACCAACCCCCGGCTGTCACCGAACCAACCCCCGGCTGTCACCGAACCGGCCCCCGGCTGTCTCCGAACCAACGCCAGGCCGCCCGGTGCCGGGCGGCTCGAGCACCAGAGCCGCCACACGCGCCTACCTGCCCAGATCATCGTCCTCGCCCGGGCCCATGTCGTGGTCGTACGCGTCCACAATAAGCCGCATGCCTCTGACGTCCTCCATGGTGCTCTGCGCCGCACGCGCGCACCCACCCCTCGGTCAGACAGCGCGTCAGGCACGTTTGGCTCGCCGGCCCCGCCCGCTGGACGGGCCGGCGAGCGGCAGGCGCCGAGCGGCCCAGAGTGGCGGTCGGCACACCATCGGAGGGGGATGGGGTCACATGAGGTCACGAGCGCCGAGTCACGCCTGCGCCTCCCGGCAGGACACAGGTCGCGCAGCCCGCCCTCGTGTGTTACCGGACGAGGTTAGTCCGACACCGCCGCGGCCGCGGCCGGCGCCCTGGCGCGGCCCGGCGGCGCGGCTGCTGACGGCGGTTACTGCAGGCGGTGTTAGCAGCAGCGTGGCCTCCACCGGCGGTGGGGAGCACGGGCAGCGGGGCAGCGGGGCAGCGGGGCAGCGGGGCAGCGGTGAGCAGCGGGGCAGTGTCGCCGCTCCGGCGGTGACGGGTGCAGCGGGGGCGTACTCACCTGCCCAGCTTATCATCCTTGTTGCCGGGGTCGTCTGAGTCGAAGAACTCCAGCCAGAGACGCGGCCCCAGCGCCTCAAGCAGTGCAAACTGGACGCACGGTCGCCGGTGACCGGGGGCACACGGTGGAGGGGCGGCACCAGGCCGGCAGAGCACAGCACGAGGGGTGGCGGCGACAGCACGGCGGGGAGCGCACGCCATCACACGCAGCGGGACACGCCCAACTGGCCAAAAGGTTATCGCCTCGGGACGAGCAATCACTGCACACAACAGGGCTGCCAATAGATGTAAGCTTGTGATGAGCCGTACAGCCGGCTCGCAATCCGGCGACGGAGGCTGTGTATCGGGACTTCAGTTAGTACTCAGAGATGGCTACACATGGCTCAACTCAAAAGCATGAGACAAAGCATGGATAAATTCACCGTGGCGCCAGAACCAGGCAACAGATTAGGATCGTGTTATTTATCGCCCTTTATCATTCCCTGGAGCAGCCACGGATCAGCGCACGCACACTTGGATTATACGTGGGGCAGTGAGCCAAATATGACGTCACGCTACCTAAAATTAGCCACGATAGTTTACTGAAAGCGGGCCAATGTCTGTGTGTTCATATTTTTCCTGTGCGGGGAGATAAGCGTAAATACGCCATCTCTTCTGGCTGAACCTTCCAAGCTATTGAGTTTTGAAATTCGGTATCATATATTAACCATTCTCTTCATGCGCGCCATCAACTTTGCAAGACACTAGTGCAGCCTGGCGGCCACAGGAGGGAGTTCAGAGAAGCAAGTTCGTGGAATTCCAAGTGTTTTCAATAGCCGTAACTTTAGGTGAAATGGATGGCAGGCCACACAACTGCAAGTCTCATTTCTTCGAAACGATCCATTCAGATGACGCATGTTGGCATCTGAATTATGTCAGGATGACAGCAGCCGGTTCACGCAATAAAAACGGCTACAGTGTCCCAGTTTCATTATAAATGATCCACAAAAATGGCAAACACCTAAACGTGTTTTTCATGGATTGTGCACATTCAGCAACAGCAATATTCTGGACGTTCCTTAATACCTTTTCTTTTCATCTTTTTTAATTTAGGAATTTTTCGGAGTTTTGATGGTCACAAATTGGCCATTCAAGCTATATTCGCGCAGCAAATATGTGCGAATGAGCGGTTTATATTTACTTGCATCAAAACCTGCACATCATGACACCGTGAGATCTGCGCGTTTGGCTATTTGAGACACGTTTTGTGGCATTGTATTTCTTGGTTGCTGCTACCGTCGCGGTTGCGTTAATATTTTGTTTTTACGCTGCAGACTAGTAGTAAAGACAACGACACTCTGTTTGAGATCTAAGCCGTTGATCCCAATTTTGAAGTCCGATGGACGTTGGCACAGCCCAATACCAGCCCCCAAGCTTCATGAAGTCTTCCGGTAATAGGTTTAAGTTGGCTGCAGCTTGCCTTTCAAACCCATAGCACAAAAGGGCATCCAATTCGGCGATAGCACAAAACCTGTAGAAGTCACTAGCGCCACAGCCACACATACCTACGCCTCACAAGCTCCACAGCGTGGCGCGTTCTGGTCTGATGCCGAGGGGCGACCTCCCAGCAGAGCCGGCGCCACAGCCCCCCCCCCCCCCACGCAGTCCTGGTCAAGCGGAACACCGCGGCGCCGTCCGGGGCCGGCCGCGGTAGGGACGGCCTCACCTCGCACACGTAGTTCCAGACGGGGTCGACCGTGTCCTGGATGTATTTGGTCTTGAACTGCTTGGAGCCGATGTAGATGAGTGCGTATGGGTCGGACCTGCCCTGGCCGAACACGTTGCGGTCCTTCTTCATCAGGTCGCGTCCTTCGATCAGGCGCACGCGCAGCACGCCCTGCGGCAGGTTACGGCTGGTCAGGTCACCGATCACCAGGTCACTGGTCATCGATGCACAGATCGCCAGATCGCGGTCGGCAGCGAATCATCAGGCCACGCACTATCCGAACACAGGCAATCAGCTCGCCGATCAAGTTTTCAACCATCAGGTCATGTGTCGTCATATCACATATCACCAGGCCGCAGGATCATCAGGCTAGGTTACAGGTCATCAGCTGGCGGTCCTCTCTCAGGCGCAGGCCCTGGGGCAGGGGCGGGTGACGGGCGCCTGCCGCAGCCCATGAAGCACCGGCCAGCGTCCGCCGCACAGAGCGCAGACGGGGGGCGGCCCCCCGGGGGACGAGACACGGTCCCCAGGGGGGCCGTATCAGGGGTGGGCGTCAGGGGTGAACGTCAGGAGTGAGCGTCAGGGGTGAGCGTCAGGGGTGAGCGTCAGGGGTGAGCGTCAGGAGTGAGCGTCAGGGGTGAGCGTCAGGGGTGAGCGTCAGGAGTGAGCGTCAGGGGTGAGCGTCAGGGGTGAGCGTCAGGGGTGAGCGTCAGGGGTGAGCGTCAGGGGTGAGCGTCAGGGAGTGAGCGTCAGGGGTGAGCGTCAGGGTGAGCGTCAGGAGTGAGCGTCAGGAGTGAGCGTCAGGGGCGAGTGTCAGGGATGAGCGTCAGGGGTGAGCGTCAGGAGTGAGCGTCAGGGGTGAGCGTCAGGGGTGAGCGTCAGAGGTGAGCGTCAGGGGTGAGCGTCGGGAATGGATGCCTTCGGCTACTGAAAGCGCACCCCATGCGCACGCCAGTGGCACTGGTCGCTGGGACAGAACGCGAGGTTATGGAACAGCTGTAAATCTGAGCGGAAATTATACAGTCCTGAGCGTACAGGAGCATCGGATTCGGACATGGGCAAGAGTACACCTCACCTCCTGAATCTGCGCAGCGATCCGCCAGTTCCGGCACATGTCGCAAGTTCAGCCGTGTGTTGGTGTGGTCTTTCCCGAAGCGCGAGGCCACGTATTTCTTAGCCAATATCGTACGAATAGTGTGTATCGTGGATTGTCAGTAGATGCATGCTCGTAAGTAGGTTAGTCAGCTGAACTTGCTCACAATGTGCTCCTTCAAAATCAGTCCACCAACTTCGCTGTTTCTTTTTTTCTTGTCTTTTTTTGTTGTTTTTCGGGACAAGTTACAACAGCGTTCCGGGCACAAAGCACAAGGTAACAAAATTATACCACATTGAAAACACAGTTTTTGGTCCCTAAATGACAGTTATGTGACCCCTTGCCGTTCATTTCACGTCAGCACGAGAGACCACCAACCGCAGTCAGCTCTGTTCGGGGCGGCCGGCACTGAGTTAAGCGTCTTTGCCTATCTCCGTCCGTTGCCTAACGTCCCCGGCGCGAGGCCTAACCCGCAGCTGGCGCGCGTGTTTCACGTCAGGTGTTTATTTTGCGTATCGTGCCATTGTTTGTTCCGCTGCAGACGGCGCCGCGTGTTCATAGAGGCTGTGACCATGCCTACTTCCACGAATGCCGTCGAGGCGGCTACACCATCGCATTAGCAGAAGCAAACCGTTCGCCGCTGTCTGAATGTCGCGTGGTCGGTAAGGACAATGAGGCCACCTTGCACATTAGCATAGCGTGCGGCTCCGTTCACGGGCTACCGATGATCAGGGCAAACCATCGTCGGAACCATCCACTTTGGTCAGACGAGTCAACACCACTATCGACCGGAGCCGTTCCGCGAACGGCGCCGGCCACACAGACGACGCCAGCCCGGCAGGCGGCCGCCGCTCGATCAGCGCGGATAATAGCCGCTGACCTGTCCAGCAGCTGACTATTTGCAGTCTCAGCGGCACTTGTTGCTAAGCAACCGACTCGTTAGCGACAACGGTGGCGTGCCGTGTAAAAATCGCCCAATGCCGTATAAATAAACAGCGATCGGTTTGGGGCACGCTGGGGCGCCGGTGGACGGGCGAGCGGAGCGGGGGCAGCACGGAGACGCTCTGACTCGGCCCTCCACGGAGGCAGCTCGCGCGCCCTTCTGGCCTCCTTCGTAGCGCCTCAGGTACTGGATCAGTTGGCAACACAGTAACAAAGAGAGAGATGAGTACAGCAAACAAAATAAACAATCATTGGTCGTTTGGTGAACTATAGAATGTGGGGCAGCGCCGGAACTGGTGCCAGGTGGAAAAACACGCTTCCCATCAATTATGCATGATCGCCGTATCACCAATAGCACCGATAGCGTCCAAGAATAGCATCAGGGGCCACCCGATTAGCGCCTAGATCACGAAATACCGTCGACTAAAAGAAGTGCAATTACGATAAGAGCGTTGTGTGATGCTTTATTAAGCTGAGCGTTGTGTGAGGGTTCAGTCTCCAGATACGCTGAGAGCCTGTCCAAACCTTGAGCATATCATCAGTATCTAAGCTCGGTACCGAGAGGCTGTCCCATCCACAGCCGGCGCAGAGCATCACCACACGGGACGGCACGCGCGCCCTAAGTATTGCCACCACGCCCGAACTGGGCACGTGATACGTACGGAGTGGGTGGGTGGGTGGGGGGGGGGCGGGGGGGGGGGGCGGGGGGGGGGGGGGGCAGCAGCAACGCTTTGTCGACTGCCAGAGCGAGCGGAGCCGACGCCTCCTATCGTGGAGGTGATTTATGGCTTTCGCGAGCCGATAACGCGAGGAATGGTTCGCGACGTGCGGCGCACGGGTCGGGCGGGAACGCTGGAAACAGATCTGTCGTCGCGGCGAGGTGCCACCTCCCCTGACGCGGCGAATTCAGCCACCGGCTTTGAACGGTAAACAACGCCAACGCAGCTTGGCACAGCCACTGTTGGCATGTTACCGAGCACTGCAACCGGATGGTGCGCATGGCTACGGGTCATCCAGCCTCGATGCAGAAACCAACGTCCACGAAATCCAGACGCACGCACGCACGCACGCACGCACGCACGCACGCACGCACGCACGCACGCACGCACGCACGCACGCACGCACGCACGCACGCACGCACGCACGCACGCACGCACGCACACACACACGCACACACACACACACACACACACACACACACACACACACACACACACACACACACACACACACACACACACACACGTGGACCGCCAGCTTGTAAGTCCATGCATCACCAACACGCCGACAGTGGGGCCCCACACCGGCCGGCCGGCGGCGGGCCGCCCCGTCCCGCCCCCGGCACTGACCTTGGGCTGCGAGGCCGTGACCAGCTTGGTGGGGATCTGGTCCGACAGCACGATGGGCCACTTGTTGGGCAGCACCATCATGCCGCCGATCGTGTCCAGGATGACGTTCCTCAGGATACCGCTGCGCCACAGAGAGGGTGGCTCAGTACCCGGCTCGACGCCGCGCGTCGCACACCGGCGGGCCTTCACCTGGACCGCGCCGGCTCTGAGTGACCCAAGAACCGTGACCTCTGAGAGCTGCCACAGCCGTGAGCCGGCCCGCACGACCTCCGGATAACCGGAGTACCGTGATCTCCGAGCCCGGTCTGGGCGCAGAATCTGGGGAGCCGCGACACAGCCCATAATGGCCTCCCGGTGTTGACCTCAGGATTGACCCGCGCGCTCTGGCCGGCCTCACCTGAGGCCGGGCATGTCCAGCACGTCGGCCACGCCCAGCATGTTGAAGTCGATGTCGGGGTTGTTGAGGAAGAACACTTGCATGCCGCCGACCAGTGGCATGGTCTTGATCAGCGGCTTGTAGACGATCCTCATCACGCCGTGCAGCTGAGGGCGACGTCCGGGGTCACGTAGGGGGCCATCGAGGTCATGACGCCAGGGTCATGTCCCGTCCGGGGTCACACAGGGAACTGTCGAGGTTGCGACACCAGGGTCATGTCACGTCCGGGGTCACGAACGGGAGTGCGTGGTCACGGCGCCGGGATCATATGGCCTCCGGCGTCAGGTAGGCAGCTGAGGCCACGGCGCTAGGGTCATATGGCCTCCGGGGTCAGGTAGGCAGCTGAGGCCACGGCGCTAGGGTCATGTGACGTCCGGGGTCAGACAGAGGGCTGCTGAGGTCACGGCACCAGGAGTCGCGGCCGACAAACCGTGAGGTTAGACGGCACGGGGGAGTGTACAGCGTGTTATCGGTCCGATGTAAAATCACGATCAGGTGGAAGACGGAGGGGTGCCACAGGCCACACGTGCGATGAGGGCATCACATGCACAGTGGCAGCAAAACGACACGCGTGAACGCGACCAATACGTGCTGCTGAGAACACGCAACTATCGATTCTCAAACAAGGCGGGAGCATCAAACTTGCTTCAAAAAGCCTGTCCTGCCATCGCAGATATGCACGATCTCCGCAATCTCGTCCCAATTCGGGCATGTATGGCCAGGTCCTCGATGTCACCAGTTGCGCACCGTGAAGTCCTTGATGCCGGCCGACATCCTGCTGAAGCTGCACTCGATCCTCGAGTCGCCGGCGTAGAAGATCTCCAGGTCCATGATCATCTCGGAACGCTGGATGTTGTCCGTGTAGACCTTGACGCCGCCCACGCGCGGAGGCTGCCGGACAGCGCACACTAATACAGCTCCGCTACTGGGGACCTTGACGCCATCCACGCACGGACGCTGCCGGACAGCGCACACTAATACAGCTCCGCTACTGGGAACCTTGAAGCCACCCACGAGGGAGACTGCCGGACAGCGCACACTAATACAGCTCCGCTACTGGGAACCTTGAAGCCACCCACGCGCGGAGACTGCCGGACAGCGCACACTAATACAGCTCCGCTATTGGGGACCTTGACGCCACCCACGCGCGGAGACTGCCGGACAGCGCGCACTAATACAGCTCCGCTACTGGGGACCTTGACGCCGCCCACGCGCGGGACTGCCGGACACCGCACACTAATACAGCTCCGCTACTGGGGACCTTGACGCCGCCCACGCGCGGAGGCTGCCGGACACCGCACACCAATACAGCTCCGCTTCCGGGCATGTATGGTGCGCAGCTGCCCGGTGGCTGCGCCTGGCATTTCATGACACACTGCTCGATCCAGCAATGTCACACTGAGCAACGCGCCGACTTATTGCACGCGGGACATGACAAACGGGACCAGCGTCGAGCGACATTTTCAACTCACGATGTCGCCTAGGAAGATCTTCTCGAACTTAAAGTTATTCAGCTTGTATCCGGCCATGGTGGCAGCCAGGCTTGCCTCCCACTGTGTTTTCAGGAGATCCTTCACATAGTCACCGACAAACGGCCACATCTGCTTCAGCATCTAAAGAAAGACGGAATGTTACACGACGGCACGGCATTTCGCCGGACATCTTCCGCGAGGTTCCAACTCCCTCAACTACCAAAGCTGGGGTTGAGTTTGTCCTAAAGTCATGTAACATGCTCTGCTTCCGACCACTTCTTGTAAAGCTGTCCTCTCAGAGCACAGGCAATGACGCAAGCAACAACACCAAAGACTGCAAAAACCTGAGGAGCATCCGCCTCCATGGCATCATCAAGTGCACTAACAACGCACGTTGCATTGCATCAAGGTGTTTCTTTATCATCGCTGATGCAATTCATATTTGACAGGAAGCGCTCGGAGTTACATCCGAGAGGCATCGCGGCCAGGGTTCAACAAGAATGGGAACCCAGCTTACTTTGTTGAGCCACTCGGCTCGCTCCACGTCAGGAAAGTGCACCTGTGAAAAGGAACACCTGCCGTGAGTCGGCGAAACCAGCAAGTCAAATACCTGAAAAGGCAGAGATGACCAGGGCAGTTCGAGCCAAACCATCCAAGTGAAGCCTAAATGACGTGCCTGCCAGCCCGCACGCGTGCCTGCCAGCAACAATAGGCGCAAGGATGACTGTACCCGGCGACGACGACATGGCCGTAACCTTACTACATCAGCGCAGCTCGCACGTCGATGGCGCTCGACCGTCTGCACAGTGTGGCGAAGGGCACCCTGCCACACCTGCAGGCGCCACCGTCACCGCCGGCATCCCGCTCACCCAGGACGGCAGGTCCTGCAGCTTGGCCAGGGTCAGCTGCTCGCTGTTGAGCGCCATGGCGCGCGACACTTCGCGCTTGGTGCTCTTCTCGCGCTTCCACTTCTCGCGCATGACGGAGAGGATGACGCCGCCCACCAACCAGGCCGGCGAGAAGCCCAGGTAGCCGACGGCGTAGATGCCGACGAGGGCGGCGGCCCGGCGGGCGAACATGCCCACCAGCTGCAGCGCGCTGCTGTCTGACTCACTCATTTTCGCTGGCAATGGCAGCTGCTGCGGGGAGGTGGGGAGCGGTCTCTGCATCTGCTGTGGCAGCATACAGTGTGACAGCATTGTTGCTGAACTGGACCCACATGCTGGTAGTTACAGTTAGACACATCTGTCACCCTAACAGTTTCGGGATACTCCAGCACGGAGGTTTGGGCTCATGAGAACTACTCATTCCCAGCTGCAAATATCACCATGGTGGTTGTTGGTGCTCCATAAACATGAAAGCCAATGGTACACAACCAATATGGTCACACTTCCTTTCTTTGTCATTCACAACCAAGGGAGTTTGGTGCATTAGTCATCAGTGCCCAGAAGGCCAGGCCCATCTTGTCCACAAAAGTCATATATATGACCACTATCACATGCTCTGCAGCAAAACATATGCAGCATGGTGAGCAGTAGGCCATTCTTCCAGGGCCTTAACTAGTAGTGGGCTATCCTCCAAGAACCTTGGCTAGCAGTGGGCTACCCTCCTAGGACCTTTGTTAGAGGTGTGCTATCTTGTCAGGAACTTGGCTAGCAGTTGGCTATCCTCCCAGACCCTTGGCTAGAGGTGGGCTACCCTTCCACACCCTTGGCTAGCAGTGGGTTATCCTCTCACAATCTTGGCTAGCAGTGGGCTATCCTCCCAGGATGCTGGCTAGCAGTCAGCTATCCTCCCAAAACCCTTGGCTAGAGATGGGCTATTATACTATAGATTATATATAGAGATGGGCTATTATATACTCCCAGAAACTTGGCTGGCAGTGGGCTCTTCTCCCACAACCTTGGCTAGAGATGGGCTATCCTCCAAGAACCTTGGCTAGCAGTGGGCTATCCTCCCATGACCTTGGCTAGCAGTGGGCTATGCTCCTAGAACCTTAGTTAACAGTGAGCTTTCCTCCCAGAACCTGAGCCAGAGGTGGGCTATCCTCCCAGGAGCTTGGCTAGCAGTGGGCTATCCTTCAGGGACCTGTGTTTCTTTGTTCACCACTCAATGATGTAATAATCCTGGGTTGCATGCCACTCCAGGCCACATTGGCACAGTGACAAACAAATGCTCCAAGGGGTGAAATGGCTAAACCCTTCTTGTTGCTGGTACAAAAAAACAACTGTGTGGATGTCTACCTGACATTGGTTCAGAGTGCTCATGCTAAATTTTCAGAAGTGTTACTGCATAGTTTTGCCTTTATATTATATTTGCAACATCACAGTTCATACAGGCATTAGCTAACTATGTACTGAAATTGGAGCCAACAGAACTCTGAGGACTTGGATCACCATAGTGCCTGTTGATTGCAATACAGACTTTGCTGCTGGCAAGACATGCTCTATTATCTTTGCTTTTGCAGTCTGGCTTTGATATTGATTTTTTACATGCATCACTATCAATAGATGTTAACTTTTCCAAACATTAGAGCTCTTTCCTCAATTGTATCCCATCTTTATACTTTGATGCACCATGTGCAAGTGACTGATGTCAACACTAGATGTCTCAAATTGGGCCCACTATGTGCTACTGCAGGTAGCCTGTGCCAATTGTGCCTGCAATCAGTCACAAACACAAAATGTTATCAGAGAGGCCCAATGTCAAATTTCTTTCAATCTCCTGCAAGTTTGCATGAAATGTCTGTAAAATCACCAGGTACCTATATAGTGTAAAGCTCTTGGTTGAGAAGCCTGACAGGTTTTCCCTTGCTACCCATCAGAAAAGGATCCATCTACTGTGTCTTCACAGCAACATTTCTGCACTTGAAACTTGGCAACCATCACCTTCATATGTGCTTGGGCACCTGTGGCTTTATTTTGAACACAGTGCTAGATGAAGCTGAAAGGTGATGTCATGAGACATTATCATGATTGACTCTTCCTGGTTTAAAATACCTAATTCATCTAAACGAGTATAAAATATACAGTTGAATAACACCTGATGACATTCTGAAAATGCTTTGGATAAGCAGCAGGGGTGTAGTTTCATAAGATGAGTTTAGAGGCTTGACAGTGGAAAATGACACAACCTACCTGTCCTCCAAAATCTGACAAAAAAGCAGCATCCCACCAGATTGGACACAGTTTACTATCAAATTTGGGGGCTCCAATGCCCCGCCCGCAACTGAAAGGCAAACTAAGCACCTGATAAGCAGAAACCAATCCGCCATACCTCAAACCCAGTGGTTTCTTGGGGCCTACGGGACGCTCGCCTTTCCGTAGTCACTATATAATCACTTCATGCACGTCCCCGCTTCCCATCAGTCAGGTATCTTACCGGTTACGTATCGTCTCCACTCCGCGCCTCTCGCGATGCGGGTGTCCCAACGCCAGGCCCCACCAAGCAGTGACCCGCACACGACGCAGCGGCCACCGCCCACCCCCACTTGCAAGCGGATCGTTCGCCGGATCCGCCCACGCGCAGACCTTTTTCAGCAATCGCACAATATCGTACAGTTTATTTCACCGACAGCAAGGGCGACGGCAAGAGATAAGGCCATTCAATTCGGATAACCAAGAAATGATGACGTCAGGTTTATGATCCTTTTGCTCTGAGCAAGTAGAAACTCACTTCTTGCAAAGACCCTAAGAGCATTTTGGGTCCATCCTGAGCCTCAAAAAATGTGATCATCAGAACTAAACTGATCTGAAAGGGATCTCGATTTATACTCCAGAAACCATACCCATTGGTAAGTGCAAACACATGACGTCAACGGCCTGGCCGATTTCTTGATGTTACATGTTCCCACTTCTCCATTTCCGGACTTGAGTCTTATGACTGGTACTAAACCTTAATCGCTGGTATCTAGGTAGTATACTATTGGTGCTGGTATTGCAATGACTATCAAACTGGTATTTTGATTTAAGCTATAAAAAGTTGTCAGTCAGTTATTGGAGCGACTAGCAGCGGCTCCCATCCAATCATTACGTATGAGATGACTTAAGTGATCAAAGATGTCAGGTTCATAATAATTAACGTATTTAGATTTCCTTAGTAATGCAATACAGCGAATATATAGCTAAATACTTGTCTCCGAGCATGCCGTATGTCATTATGACGTTGCGTTCTTAAACGTAAGTGCCAATACCGTTACTTGGCGAACGCACGTTCGTCACGGGGGAAGGGTGGCCGAAGGCCGAGCGCGAGCACGGAGAAGCCCGCCGAACACCGTCGGGTGACGCGGCCCGCAGTCAAGGCCGGCCGCTCCCGTGTTGAAGATGGCGGATTCGGGTGATGGGGACCGTGCGACCGAAACTGTCAAGGGCCAAGTATTTGCCGTCGGACCCAGATATGCCAACTTGTCGTACATTGGAGAAGGCGCCTATGGAATGGTTGTGTGAGTATTAAGCGTGCTTTGGGTCGCCTTCCCCAGTACTTTTGCATTATTTTTTGAGCGGTGAACGCGCTCCGGGGATAACGCAGCATAATTGCAGTTCAAATTGAGCAGGATAGTAGGTTCTCTCTGGCATTGGCTTTTTAAAATTCCCGTTTTGGGCTGGTAGGCTACTGCTGTAGTTGTGTTCGATGTAACTAACAAATAAATTGTTTCTGAGTCAATGAAATTGAGAGCAAAATCAAGGCCATTCAAACCTTTTTCAGCCAAACTAGAATTAATATCAATGGTTTATTTTCCTCATTGGCTTGGCTTATTCTGACCATGGTTTTGAATCAATTGAAATAGGCCTCAAATCATGGTTTTCATTTTTAAGTCAATGTATTTGTATTATATTGAATATCTGAGAAGACCATCAACCATCACCATGGGGATTTCAGACACTGATCATGTTTCAGTCACTGAGTGGTTAAAACATTATGGACACACAAATTATCTGCATCTCAGTCAAACCCCAACAATATGCCACACCAAATATGTTAGGATAATAGCAGCCCTGCAACAACCAATGGTGATAGTAGTAGCCCTGCAACAACCAAAAAGGATCAGAAAATTTAGCACAGTTTGACCTTGTCTAAGTTTGGTGGATGTATGTTGCAGGTTCAGTGTATCAGTGTTGTGAAAGGGCTGCATGTTTGGTAAAAGTTACTGGTATTTTGTTTATGCATGTAAAATAATTTTGTAACTTGATATGTGGTCAATAGATTGTATTTTGGGGGATGATTGTGATGAAGTGTAGTATATGTGCATGCAACTTTATGCAGTACACCTCTGCTATAAAGCTGTATATATACACCGCTCGGTCAAGGTGTACTTTCCTGCCTAACATTAGAAAAAAATTGTACACCATTCATTGTGTTTAAGGCCAGGCATATTATAAATAATCACAAAACAGGTAGATTCATGCTCTTACCTTCAAATTTTTGGTGTAGGTGCACTTTCCTACCTAACATTAGAAAAAATCATTGCACACCATTTGTCGTGTTTAAGGCGGCACAAATCGTAAATAATCTCAAAACAGGTAGAATCATGCACCTACCTTCGAATTTCAATAACTTTGATGGCGGGCTCCCGAGCGCCGCGCGCACCGCACCGCCTGGACTCCCCAGCGCCGTTTCTGCGTTGCCGTTGCGTAAATACAATATTTCTGCTTGCCAAGAACTTACAAAATGTACGGGACCAAGGTAAACTATTCGCCGTGTTTAAGGCGGAACATATCGTAAATAATTTCAAAACAGAAAGAATCATGCTCCTACCCTCGAATTTTAATAAATACGATAGCGAGTTCCCGAGCGCCGCACGCACCGCATCGCACCGCCTCGACTCCCAAGCGCCGTTTCTGCGTTGTTGCGAAAGCACAATATTTCTGCTTATCAAGAACCATAAAACATGTACGGGACCAAGGTAACAATAATAAAGCAACCAAAATCGTTTCTTATCGAGTTTAGGTACATTTATGAAACACACAGGCAGAATAGTCCCAGACATATCCCAAACTGCCTAACCTAACCAAAACCTAACCTAACCTAACCTAAAAACTAACCTAACCTAACTAACCTAACCTAAACCCTAAGCTAAGATAAGCTAGCCTGACCTGACCTAACCTAACCTAACCTAACTAACCTAACATAACCTGAGAATAGACCAGAACTAAGCTTAGATAAGCTAAACTACCCTCACCGAACCTAACATAACCTAACCTAACCGAACCTAACCTAACCTAACCGACCTAACTACCTAACCTAAACCTACTAACCTAACCTAACCTATAACTTAACCTAACCTAACCTAACCTAACATAACCTCCCCACCCTACATCCCCTTCCAACCCGGCAATCCCATAGCTAAGCTAAGCTAATCTAGCCTACCTAACCTAACCTAACTAACCTACCTAACCTGAGCTTTAGATATAAGCTAATAGACCAGAACCTAGGCTTAGCTAAGCTAAGCTAACCTAACCTAACCTAACCTAACCTAACCTAACCTCCCCACCCTATATCCCCTTCAACCCAGCATCCCATTGGCGTCCATGTTCCATGCCATATATAGGTGCCATATAGTGAGCTTTTATTTAGCTGTCATGTTCTCATTTTGCTTTACATTCCCCACCCAACCCCCCTGCAACCCATGGTCCCGTTGGCGTCGAGGATCAAATTTCATGGATTCTTGTTACCTTGGCCCGGTACATTTTTATGGTTCTTGATGCTGCTTGATGCACAGTAATGTGACCCGCGCAGTAATGGCGCCGGTGTCGCGGGTGCTGTGTGTGTGCGGCGCTCGGGAGCTCGCCATCGTAATTATAAAAAATTGAAGGTAAGATTATGAATCTACCTGTTTTGTGATTATTTACGATATGTCCTGCCTTAAACACGACGGATGATTTACTTTGGTCCCGTACATTTTTAGAGTTCTTGGTAAGCAGAAATACTGTATTTACGCAACGGCAACGCAGAAACGGCGCTGGGGAGTCCAGGCGGTGCGGTGCGCGCGGCGCTCGGGGGCCCGCCATCGAAGTTATTGAAATTTGAAGGTAGGAGCATGATTCTACCTGTTTTGAGATTATTTACGATATGTCCTGCCTTAAACACGACAAATGGTGTACAATGATTTTTTCTAACGTTAGGTAGGAAAGTACACCCTGACCAAATTTTTTATGATTACGATGGCGAGCTCCCGAGCGCCGCACACACAGCAACCGCGACACCGGCGCCATTACCGCGCGCGGTCACAACATTACTGTGCATCAAGCAGCATCAATAACCATAAAAATGTACTGGGCCAAGGGAACATTTATGTGGACATTTGTGGTCCCTTTAAGTGGTTAGATGGAAGCATATGAAGCTAAGGGCTACTGGGACAATGCATGTAAGTGTGCCCAAATGTTAATAGGTACTCACTAAAAAGTTACACAACATGTGTGCTGAGAGGGAAGGGTTGAAGCTCAATGAGCGCTCATCATAATATACCTGGATAAGCTGTCTATGCCCCTTATGCAGAGAAATGCAGGTTTGCAAGGTGTCCTGACCTTCTCTCTTACCAGCATCCCCGACTTTTACTGAAGTGGCCAGTGCTCACTTATCAGCTCTTGCTCCCAGAAATTGGTAGTACTTAAAATAGATGATGTTTTGATGCATAATTTATTGTTTATCCTAATTGCAAAAGTGCCAGTCAACTAGAAAGAGACAATATTTCCATGCATGCTGGCGGCATCCAGGTAGATCAGTAACACATTGATGTGAAGCTAGAGTATGCTCTGTGATGTCTGGGTAGGTGTCATTGGTAACATTCTGGTGACAACAGAAGATAATTTTTGTAATGTGGCTGCAATTCTATGACAGGCTCTGCGGTTTCCGGAGGGTGTGTTGTAGTTGTTTTCTTGAGTTCTGGTGTCCTTTGCAGATAATTTAGATTACATGAAGATGATTGAATATTAGCATGTTGCTATGCACTAGGGTCATAAGTTTGCAAAATCACCTGTTTGGGCTTTTGCTGCACCAAAGTAAGCTTGAATGTAAGAGATCAGAATGGTGAGTTGAAATTTGAGAACAACCAAAACATTTGTGCAGCACTTGTTGGTATGAATGTACTATGGTAAGTTTTTAACAGCATTATTTACTTAAACTCGTGAACGGTATTTGTATTGGTCTGACGTGACACCAACAGCATTACCAAGCTATCTATGGTGTAGGTCATGTGTGCAGGGATTGGTCATCATCATGATCGCCTGTGGTTCACTCTTTAAAGTCGGATCGGATTATTCCCGTTTTCGTTAGGCAGCTGTTTAAGCTTGGACGAAAGGAGCGCACATGATGTATTTCCAAAGTGTCGAGTTATACCTCTTGAAGTTTGTGGTTTCATTCCCCGAAGTTTTGCTCAGCTGGCAACACGCAGCGCGTTACTGTTTGCCCGTTGCAGCCTACGGCATTTTCGCCCGATCTGTCTTGGAAAGCATTGTGAGATTCCCTGCATGTGTTTCTTTTCGTTATCGTCCAGTTGCTGCCCCCCCCCCCCCCCCCCCAATGGTTTTCAGCCTCAGCATTTAATTTCCCTCCCCCGAGGTATCAGCGCCATTGGTTTGGTCCCTGCTGTCTGCAAGCGCACGTTATCAATGCATTTGGGGCGCCTTACCGCCCTGTCTACCTCCAATGCCATCCACTAGCTTTGCTTTACCCTGCTGCGGCGACTGGTTAATACCACGCCAAGAATACTGCTATTGTCTCCGAGATGAAACCGGTTCCGTTGTTCAGTGCCCCTGCTGGGTTCTCATCCGAATCTGCTCCGAAAATAATTTGGATTGTGTACAGTTTGCGTACATAGCACATGCGGTGTGTTCATCTTCAGTGTGTGCTGGTGAGCATGGCAGCGCCGCTCTCTGTGCCGCTGATCGGCCACCGGGTGCGGCCAGTGGTCAGGTCAGCGGCTCCAGCGGTCGCCCCGGTCCAGCCGTGGCTGCTGCGGCGCACCGCCAGGCAGTCGCACCGCGGTCCTATCCAGTCCGCCGCCGCGGCGCCCCCGTGCGGCGGCTGGGCGCGCTCCCTGCAGCGTTCAGCTGGCGCGGTGGGTCGGGGGAGCCACAGAGCCGGCCGTGATGCGCGCCACTCCGCCTGCCAGCCCGGGTGGTGGCGCGGTTCTAACCCAGGCTGCTCTGCGTAGTTTCCATATCAGTTGCGCCAATCTTGGCACACCACCCCCGCCCGGTCGCCGTGGGCTGGCGCCGCCGGCGAGAAGGGCCGCAAACTGGCGGCTGGTCGGTATCCCTCTGAACCAACAGCGGGTCGGGCGCGACCGGGACCGTTCAGTGGTGGACGGGTGTGGTGTCGCTGCTCGCTCGGCGCGTGCTCCGCGGCCAGCGGGACGGCGGCGGTCCCGGAGAGGTCGGCGGCGCCGCGCGGCTCGGGCCCGGGCCACCCGCTGCGGGGGCGCGGCGGCCGCTGCACAGGGCGGCGTCGGCGCGCGCCGGGAGCGGCCCGGGCCGGCACCGATAGCGGCCGCCGCTCGCTTCCGCGTACTGGCCGGAGCCGGCGCGGCCGCGCTGGGCAGCCGGGCCGGCGCGTGCCGGCCGCGCCCGCCGCTGGGCGGTCGGTGCTCGGTACAGGCCGGCGTCGCTGTCGGGGCGGCCGGACGCTCGCGGCATGTAGTTGTGCGGGGCGGGAACGTCCGCTCGCGGGTGGTGTGGATCTTAGTCCGTCGCAGTACTGACGTCACAGCCGAGCTTGCCATGGCGCGTGCGTCCTGCTCAGCTTAGGCTTTTGTTGTCTGTTGTCATCCTCGAGTAGCCTCAGACTTGCGCAGAAAAGTCAGAAGGCGCAGGAAACATGAGATGAAAGAGAATGGTTCGCCGTCGTGGGCGCTTTTGACTGAGATGGGCAGCTTGAATTTACATGGAGCTATTCACAGCCACAACCTTTCAAAGACTAAAAGTGTTCCAATTACTGACCCATAACGCTATTCGTGTGCCGCGCCACCCCATACCAGCCTATTTATACCGGTCACTTGATCAGGAATGACGCACGAACGGCCCGGCCGCCGAGCGCCTTCGCCGATCGTCGATTGTATGGAGAGGACGCTGGGCGCGGTTGGACGCAACGCAATGGAACCTTCTCTATTCCACAGATTATGGTACTATTGAAGACTTTTCGGTTGATAAAAACGGCGTGAATACGTGTGGTGCACACTACTTTATCGCGTGTTGTCCTTTTCTGACTGGCCCTTAAGAACGTGGAACATTTTCTTGCAAAAGCCGCCGACGTAGAGCCCTTGGAGCCACACATTGTGTCAGCCGTCTGACAGTCAAACCTCGTGTCCGTCCATGTGTCGGCTTGCCGGTAGGTGGGGTCGAGAGCTCGCGCGGGCCGCAGTGTGACGCAGTGCTTCCCGGCCGCCGTGCACGCTTTTACGTCACCGCTTCCTCCTGACGTGTAGCTAGGACGTCCGGTTGGGGCCAGAGTGCAAAACACACGCCCTGTCCGGTTTTATCCACGATACAGATAGCATTGGCTGGTGTCGTAAATCGGATTGCTATTTCAGCGGGCGTTTTCTTTGTCGTGATGTGCGACTGTATCTGCACCGTACGTTTCTGTTTCTTCGTAGAACGTTGGCAAGAATCTTAAGCGAAATCGAGCTGGCGGTGGACGCGTGTCCTTATGAGGCACGGTTATAAGCAATTTAAGCATTGTTTTGGGGTTCTTGTTATCGACGCAATGCTCTCTTGTTGTCATTGATGTTCCGTTCTAAGAAGCTCTGCTTGTCCGTTTCAAATCAAGGTCTCAACATATCCTGTGAGGTGGAGCCTGCGGATTGCTTTATGTTCTGGTTGAGTGTGTGGTATTGTTTAACGTTTTTCGTGATCGTTTTATGGATGACGTATTGGCTGTTGCTGGTTTATGGTGGCATGTTCCCCCAAAGGAGTTCCCCTAAACCAAAGAATCCAGTCATCATAGTAGAGCCGTGGAACCCCATCGAAAAATCAGCGCCCGGCGTAAGGGCGCCACCGTTTGCTCTAGGTGCTCTGTTTGTTTGACGTTTGTGACAGCTGCCAACTCGCTGTGAACCCTGTTCCAGGTCTGCCAATGACAATCAAACGTCCACCAAGGTGGCGATCAAGAAGATCTCGCCGTTCGAACACCAGACGTACTGCCAGCGCACGCTGCGCGAGATCAAGATCCTGACGCGGTTCAAGCACGAGAACGTGAGTGGTGTCGGGCTGGCTGTCCTGACGGACAGCGGCGGCGGCGGCGGCACGCCTATCACCCCCGGACAGATAGCGGCGCGACGCTGCCCGCGTCACACGGACTCCTGCCGCCGCCCGGTCCCTGCCCGCCCTGTCCGTCTCCGCCTCATCCGCTCGCCCGCTCCTTCGCTCGGCAGGTTCAGTCGCACTGGTACGATGAAATACGAACGGTTTACCCAAAGGTGCGTTGTTGCAGCCCGACTTTTGTAAGGGTGATATGTTTGGCTTGTGGCGTAGCCATGTTGGTAAGCCAAGGTTAGCGAGCACATGCCGATAGAATAGCAGGGAGCCGAGCCCGGCCATTGTGCCGGCTCATCGGCGAGCTGCATGAACTTCGGCGCCCTCTTGAATGAGTCGGCGTATGACTTCAGTCGTCGAGCGGTTTCCCAGGTGTAGAGTGCCGTACGGCAATCCCAGCACGCATGCTTGGCAGTTCAAGTAAATGGTATTGCGGGTTGTACTTTGCCGTGCACTGAGGTTGTTGGAAAACATCCTGATTCAACAGCGCGTTCTGTTTCGTAAAGGAGGCAGAATAAGCACCATGGAGAAACTAGGGAAGATCGAACTGATGTAAATTAACCGTAATGATAATAGCTGAAGAGCTCCCGACAGAAACGTAGGAACGCCCAAAAAGTGTGGGGGACTCACTTTTTAAGTCGGCTTTCTCCTTGCATCACCGCATCCCTAGGGCAAAACTTTCACAAAATGTGAAAGGGCCGCGGTGTCTTGGTCCTCCCCTGTTTCTACGCGTATGGATTCGTTCGTCACTTGCCATGCCCGGAATTCGACGGTAGGAAAAATGTATTTTGTTAAAGTGAGGTGTCCGGGAGAACTGCCAGCGTACGCTGCAGCGTAGCATTCAAGTACGAGACCACCACGATTCCAAGATTCACACCTTAACTCTGACTTTGACGTGGGCTGGCTTTGATAAACTCACCAGCGGTGCAGATGACAGCCAAATTATTCACAGCACAAAGCCGGATGATCCCGCTGGGATGCAGCCTCCAACAGAGACCGAATGAACGGTGTCGTCTCGTCCGTGCAGTCACAACAGCTGCTTGCAAGCGAAGGCCACCAGAACCGGCGTCGCGCTGGCTGACACTCACGCTGCTTTCTCTCGATCCCGACAGTAAAACGGAACGCGGTGCGGCTGCACCAGTGGCATGCGCCAAGAATTGGAACTAACGACACTGGTCATTGTTTGGGTGGGGAGAAGCAGACGGGCTGGTGCAGAGATGCGAGCGCGCCGCACAAAACATCACAAGGCGAGGTTTCCTGGCCGAATTCTAAAAATAGTGATTCACCTCCTGGTTTTTCTCGTGACGGCGCAATGGTTCTCGACGCAATGACTTCCAGCGCACTGACTCAACAAAAACAGGTGCGAAAGCTAATTGGTTCCGCCGCTGGGGAAATGACTACTGTACGCAAACCGGGCCTCTCCAGCCACCGGAGACCTCGAACGGCTCTCCGCAAAATGGTCGCATTGCGAAATCAGCGATGGATCCATAACGCGATGCTTGAAGTTCGGTCCGCATTGCCTGTAATCGCTGTTTGAAGCGCGCGCGTGGGGTCGGCTGAGGCGGAGTTTGGGCCGCGGACGGCTCGGCGCTCCACACCCCCGATGCCGGTTCCAGGCATCCAGGATGTCGTCCCGGCCGGGCCGCGGCTACCAGAAATACCACGAATGACCAAGTCACGTGGTGTAAGGGGTGGTGACGCGGCGGTGGAGCGGAGGGAAATCCAGAGCGTTTGTTAATAAGGTTGGGAATTCGCCTTCGTGTGATTCCATGGTGTGAATGTTTGTGCTTTAAGTGGGCGTTTTTGACGTGCAAATGACGCAGTGTATGCAAGTGAGACGATGGACCCTGAAGAGAACAATACATACGTGCATACATTCAAATATGTAGGCATGTGTGTATGCATGCAAACAAACATAAATGTATGCAAGTATACACACATACATACACCTCTTCAAACAGGGCATTGACTTTGGGGAAGTTCTGAACGGAGTCGGTGTGGAGGCGTGGTAGGCAGATTCACTCTGAGAGGAAACAAATACGGGAGAGTCCCATCGAAGGGACTTGTGCGTATGTCTGCGACACCTGGCTCACGTGTATTTCGATGACTGATTGTCACCGGTGTCAGATGTGTGATGCCGGCATATATGAACGCTTGCGTGACGGCGTGTCATGTGCATCCGTGTCGTGACTGGCGCCAACGACGTGTGGTGTTCACTCGTGTGTGATGCGGCGCGTGACGTCCGTGCGTGACGCGTGACGGATTGGTGACGCCCGTGTCACCCTTAGGTGATCGACATCCGCGACATTATCCGCACGCCGACGATCGAGAACATGAAGGATGTGTACATCGTGCAGTGCCTCATGGAGACGGACCTCTACAAGCTGCTCAAGACACAGGTGGGATGACGGGGGCTGGGCTGGGCTGTCGGTGCTGGCGGCGGCTGGGCCAACTGTCGGTGCTGCCTCGGCCGGCCGGGCCGTCTGTCGGTGCTGCCTCGGCCGGCCAGGCCGTCTGTCGGTGAGCACCTCGGCCGGCCGGGCCGTCTGTCGGTGCTGCCTCGGCCGGCCGGGCCGTCTGTTGGTGCTGGCGGCGGACGGCCGGGCTGTCTGCTCTTGGCGGCTGGTCTGTCGGTACGGACGGCGGTCGACCGGGCCGTCTGCCCCTGGCGGCCGGCCGGGCCGTCTGTCGGTGCTGCCTCGGCCGGCCGGGCCGTCTGTCGGTGCTGGCGGCGGACGGCCGGGCTGTCTGCTCTTGGCGGCTGGCCGGGCCGTCTGTCGGTACGGGCGGCGGTCGACCGGGCCGTCTGCCCCTGGCGGCCGACCGGGCCGTCTGTCGGTGCTGCCTCGGCCGGTCGGGCCGTCTGTCAGTGCTGCGGCGGCGGACGACCGGGCTGTCTGCTCTTGGCGGCTGGCCGGGCCGTCTGTCGGTACGGGCGGCGGTCGACCGGGCCGTCTGCCCCTGGCGGCCGGCCGGGCCGTCTGTCGGTGCTGCCGGCCGGCCGGGCCGTCTGTCGGTGCTGGCGGCGGACGACCGGGCTGTCTGCTCTTGGCGGCTGGCCGGGCCGTCTGTCGGTACGGGCGGCGGTCGACCGGGCCGTCTGCCCCTGGCGGCCGGCCGGGCCGTCTGTCGATGCTGCCTCGGCCGGCCGGGCCGTCTGTCAGTGCTGGCGGCGGACGACCGGGCTATCTGCTCTTGGCGGCTGGCCGGGCCGTCTGTCGGTACGGGCGGCGGTCGACCCTGGCGGCCGACCGGGCTGTCTGTCGGTACGGGCGGCGGTCGACCGGGCCGTCTGTCCCTGGCGGTCGGCGGCTCCGCTCTCCGCCGTACTGCCAGCCCGTCGTGTAATTCTGTTCTCGTCTGTCGGCGGCGCCCTCTGTTGACGGCCGGCTTGATTTGGCGCTGGCGTTGTTTGATTGCCGATGTCTTTGCTTCCAGTGGCGCTCATCCGACTCAGAGCAATGAGTTTCCGTACCGGTTGGCCCGGCGCCTTGGGCCTGACTCGCTTTTGACGATTGTTGTGAAGGTTTGCGCGAATAGCGGGCTTTTGATGCTGGAATGGCCCGGGTGCTCGTTAACTATATGTTTGCGCTGCGCCTGTAGTAAAATCGCGTTGTAAAGCAGCAAATAAGTTGTTAGCGACCATCCTTTGGCTCGCAATGCGCTACAAATGGCATATATCTCCTGTTGGGCAGGATTGTGCGTTGTGGTGAGGACGTTAGGCTGGCAGGTGCCGCAGCAACTCATGGAGGCTGGGGCGAATCGGTCGGCGTGTGCCCACAAGCGTCTACGCCCTTCCAGAAGCTGAGTAACGACCACATCTGCTACTTCCTGTACCAAATTCTGCGGGGGCTCAAGTACATCCACTCCGCGAACGTGCTACACCGGGACCTGAAGCCGAGCAACCTGCTGCTGAACACCACCTGCGACCTGAAGGTACGCGACGCCGGGTCGGTCCGGGCCGGCGGACCGGTGTGCCCGCGTGCGCGGGACTGGTGGCCGGCGCACGGTCGGGACGGACGGCCGTGGCGGCGCCCCGTCAGGCCGCGGCGGCGCCCCGTCAGGCCGTGGCGGCGCTCTGTCAGGCCGCGGCGGCGCCCCGTCAGGCCACGGCGGCGCTCTGTCAGGCCGCGGCGGCGCCCTGTCAGGCCGCGGCGGCGCTCTGTCAGGCCGCGGCGGCGCTCTGTCAGGCCGCCGGCGCGACCGCTGCGTTCTCGGCGGCCGGCCGTCGGCTGTCGCTCGGCGGTCGGCCCGGCTCCCGGGAACTGTCAGCCGGCGGCCGGCGCTGGCGGCCCTGTTGTAGGGCGGGTCACGCCCGGTCAGCGCGGCCGCGCCGGCCAGTCGACGCTTCCCGGAGGCCGCTGTCAAGCGGCGGCGGCGTGGCGGGGAGCGAATGGGTGTCCGTGAGCCGCAGCTGAGCTCGGGGCATTAGCCCGGCTTACGCCCGGCCGACCGTGAGCCGAGCTGGCCCGCATCTGGTGCCTGCATGGCTCTCCGCCAGGCGCCGCGCTCGCTGTATTCGCGTCATGTCCGCGCACATGAGCAGGTTGTACACTGACGGGCTGGCGGACCTGACTGGGCTTGTGCTGTGACAACGGCCGCGGGCTGACAGGCTGTTGACGGCCGTGCCGCGGCGCTGAGCCACATGACCCCGACCCTGCGGGGATGCTGGTATGTCGGCCCGCCTCACCCGCTGCAGGGGAGGACGCCGCCTCCCTCCCTCTCCCCGTCACACTGGTCACTATGTCTGCCCCTCACCCGCCGCCGGGGAGGGCGTCGCCTCCCTCCCTCTCCCCGTCACACTGGTCACTATGTCTGCCCCTCACCCGCCGCCGGGGAGGGCGCCGCCTCCCTCCCTCTCCCCGTCACACTGGTCACTATGTCTGCCCCTCACCCGCCGCCGGGGAGGGCGCCGCCTCCCTCCCTCTCCCCGTCACACTGGTCACTATGTCTGCCCCTCACCCGCCGCCAGGGAGGGCGCCGCCTCCCTCCCTCTCCCCGTCGTACTGGCCACCATGTCTGTGCCCCATCAACGGCCGGGGAGAGTGTCGCCTACCTCCATCTCCCCATCACACTGGTCACTTTGTCTGCGCCTCACCCGCTGCAGGGGAGGACGCCGCCTCCCTCCCTCTCCCCATCACACTGGTCACTATGTCTGTGCCCCATCAACCGCCGGGGAGGGTGTCGCCACCCTCCCTCTCCCCGTCACACTGACCACGATGTCTGTGTCCCACCCGCCGCCTGAAAGGGTACCTCCTCCCTCCCTCCCCCCGTCACACTGACCACGATGTCTGTGCCCCACCCGCCGCCTGAGAGAGTACCCCCTCTCTCCCTCCCCCCGTCACACTGACCACCATGTCTGCGCCCCACCCGCCGCCGGGGAGGGCGTCGCCTCCCTCCCTCTCCCCGTCACACTGACCACAATGTCTGTGCCCCACCCGCCGCCGGGGAGGGCGCCGCCTCCCTCTCTCTCCCCGTCACACTGCCGCCGTTTCCGGCCCACCCGCTGCCGGGTGGGTCCGAGGGAGAGCGCTGCCTCACTCCCTCTCCCCATCACACTGCCGCCGTTCCGGCCCACCCGCTGCCGGGTGGGTCCGAGGGAGAGCGCTGCCTCACTTCCTCTCCTCATCATACCGGCCTCCGCCGGGGAGACATGGTGTACCTGTCCCAGTCCCCAGGCACCGGCCTGACTGCTTCTCTCGTGGATCCCGGATGCTTGAATCCCGTGTCGTGATTGTTTTTCGCACAAAAGGAATCCGGGATGCTATTTTCCATCGGATATTTGACGAGCGCGCGCCCTAGATCTTGTGTTCCTTTGTGATATCGGTAAATATGCAAAACCAGGATCCCGTTGTACCGTTGCTTCTTTCGCAATAAAACGAGCAGAATTCTGGTTCATCCCAGCTTTTAGGCAAAAGCCAGACCCTGCATCTCAGTCTCCATGAGCTCTCACGCCAGCTTTTGCTCAGATCAGAAGCTGAAACCATTTAACTCAGCACGTGCTGTGCAGCCTTCCTCGTGTACTTTTTTGACTGGGTGGCTGCTGTCGAATCCAAGACTGCAACTTAAACCTATATCGCTCGGTTTAGCGGTGTAAATTTGTTTTGTTTGTTTCTGTGGTGTTCTAATTCGGTGAATGCGTACTGCATGTAAGCCGCTACCATATTTCCATGAGAGCTTCGTGTTTTTCTATTTTACTAGATGACAGTTGCCGTATTACCGAGTGTGGCATGGTTGAAATACAGACTCTTGACATGAGCTGTAGACTAGGCTCTAGTTCTTTCCGAGTCTTGGCTAAACGCACAGGTTCATGGTTTGTGCTAGATTTCTGAGCGTACCTACATGTTTTTTGTTGGATGCATTGGCATTATTGCAGGTCTTTATCCTGGTCCGTGCTTGATTTCTGGACGTAATTCTAGTCATGACCGTGGCTTTGTTACATCCTTGAGTATACTTGAGGAAATTGTAGAATAACTCCCAGACCGTTCGTTATTCACGCACTAGAAGCCGGCTTCTGTGAAGGGAACTGGCGGCGTGCTCGGCTGACATGTGTCGGCCGGTGGCGGCTGACTTGTGCCGGCCGGTGGCGGCTGAGTACCGGCCGGTGGCGGCTGATGTGTGCCGGCTGGTGGCGGCTGACGTGTGTCCGCCGGTGGCGGCTGACGTGTGCCGGCCGGTGGCGGCTGACGTGTGCCGGCCGGTGGCGGCTGACGTGTGCCGGCCGGTGGCGGCTGACGTGTGTCGGCCGGTGGCGGCTGACGTGTGTCGGCCGGTGGCGGCTGACGTGTGTCGGCTGGTGGCGGCTGACGTGTGTCGGCCGGTGGCGGCTGACGTGTGTCGGCCGGTGGCGGCTGATGTGTGTCGGCCGGTGGCGGCTGACGTGTGCCGGCCGGTGGCGGGTGACGTGTGTCGGCCGGTGGCGGCTGACGTGTGTCGGCTGGTGGCGGCTGACGTGTGTCGGCCGGCGGCGGCTGACTTGTGCCGACCGGTGGCGTCTGAGTGCCGGCCGGTGGCGGCTGAGTGCCGGTCAGTGGCGGCTGAGTGCTGGCCGGTGGCGGCTGACTTGTGCCGGCCGGTGGCGGCTGACGCGGGCCCCCGGTCGTCACGCGCGGCGGCGCACGTGTCGGCACTGCTGAGTGACCTCGCCGCGCCATCTGCATGTCGTCCGGGCTGGCAGCCCCCCACGGGCCCGGCCGGCGACGGCAGCCGCCGCCCAGCTACAGTCCCCGGCCGGCAGTGCAGCGTCAGCCGCCGCCCAGGCTACAGTCCCCGGCCGGCAGCTGCAGCGTCAGCCGCCGCCCAAGCTACAGTCCCCGGCCGGCAGTGCAGCGTCAGCCGCCGCCCAGGTACAGTCCCCGGCCGGCAGCGCAGCGTCAGCCGCCGCCCAGCCGCGGGTCCGGCGCCTCCGCTGCACACACGAGACGGTCGCGGCTCGGTAGTGGCTAACGAACGCCGCCGTGTCGCCCGGGCCGCGGCGACGGCCGTCGGACGGCCACGGCCGGCGAGACAGGCTGCTGGCGGCGTGAGGCCGGACAGCGGACAGCCGGTAGCGAACAGCCGGTGCCGCGGCGACGGCGGCAGCGGCAGAAGCAGCGGCGCGCAGCGGGCAGCGGCTGCCGATCGTCCGTGCCGACCGAATCGATGGCCGTGTTTGGCCGCCGCCGGGCGCGCCTGGCGCCGGTCCTGCCGTGCCGCGCCGCGCCCCGCCCTGGCCGCCGGCAGTGTCGCCGTCCCCTCCCCCGCCGCCCGGCGCCCGGCGCCCCGGCCGGCCCCGGCCGGGCCGGGCGCGCCGTCCGCCCGGCCGGCGGTCTGCTGCGCCGGATCTCTCGGCATTCGGGACCGGTGTCTCGGGCCGCGCACCTCGCATTGATTCGGAACTCCTTCACCCCGGCTGTGTTTGGCTTGGCCAGCCGGGAGAATGCGCCGTAAGTCGTATCGAGTCATCAGCTACCGTGAATACTGAAGACGGCATCCGATGGAGGAGGGAGATGAGCAGGGACAAGGCAGGACACATGAGTTATGTTTGCTATTGGGCTCGGACGTGGCGAAAGCCTGCTGGTGGCTAAGCTTGTGCGCCGCGCCGGTTATGACGCCTGGCTCAGCAAGAGGCTCAGCTGCAAGCTGGCGAGGATTTGGAGGATCGTTTGGCCCGTCAGGACCGAGGAAGTGGATTGCTATCGAAATTGAATTTGATATGACGTGAAATGTTGGCGAGGTTCGTTCCGTTGAGTTGTTTTCATTCTCGAGTGACGGAATCTCTCTCAAGCAAAAGTTCAATCACGGAATGATGCCGTTGAAAGCATATTTGCGACGCAGAACGTTCAGACTGAATTCATCCCGAAGTTTGATTCACGACTAGGTGAAAGGTACGTCTTGTGTTTCGCTGTATCGCAGGTATGTTTGTACTGTATTGACGCGAGCTGCGGGGCAAGTGTGCGGTCCAAAGGTGACTTGCACTGCTAGCTGTCATGGGCCTGGCTTTTCGAACTTGTTCTTTGATGAACGCGAAAGACGTCGAATTTGAAGACGTTCAGTGGGCAGAATGGAGAATTCTGTAGGAGCATCAGAATGGACATCGCGCTGAAGCATCACTTAGCGTGCCACTTGGATGTCAAATTTAGATTCCTTGTCAAGTCTAAAGCTCCTGCGAGGAGTCGTCTTCCATATTCAGATAAATCACCGGAGACAAAGGACATACATTTAAATTTATCCAGTATCTGTCCCCCGGCTTTTCACGCTTGGTGTTTGAAATGGATTTCTCGAGTCTGCGGTTATTTGCGTTGGGTTTCTACGCCACTCTTCTGCGGATCTCCGTTCAGGGTGATGGTCAGTATCCCCCCCCCCCCCTGTTTCAGTGGATCGCGATGCTCGACTCCCTCCCCCCCCCCCCGTTCCGGCCGCGGGGGTTCCCACCTTGGGCCTAGTCCGCGTCGCCG